ATGTGGTGTATTTGTGGTATTTTTTTTTTAAAGAAGTAAAATACAATTTTACAAAACTGCAAAACGTTTTTGGTTATCTTTTACGAAAACCAAGAGTGAAATTGACATATTCAATTTTATTAAATATTTATTTGAATAATCAATAAAAAATGTCATTATAAAATTGCAATTGCGTATGTATATAAAATGTTAAAAAACAGAATATACAAATTTAAAAATACACAGTTATTCTTGACTAGAGCCGTGTACGAAGGGCCTACAAAGATCAGGAAAATATTCTTTAATTTTAAATTTTGACTATTAACAACTATTTTTAAACTGGATGCCCAGCATGCTAAAATTGAGCTGTCTCGAGACGAAATTTACTATTTCACAAATTCATCAATCTACTGCTCCTAGGTGTGCATGCAGATGTTTCGAATCCGGTTAATTATCCGCCAGCCGACACAGACTGCTGTGGGATGCCGGAATTAGGCGTTTCGAAAAAGGACAAATCCGGTGACCACATGCCACGTGATTGATGATTTTACAAATAGCTCTCCGCCCAGTGAGGGATTGATGGCACAGACGTCCACAAACCAGATGGAGGAAGATCTTTCGGCATAGTCGACTTATCAAATTCAGCCTCGACGAATCAAAAAAACCCCTAGTTTATTCAAAATTAATTTTGATCTTGACTGGAGAGTAACCGATACATCTCTTTTATTTATTGGATTAATGTGATTGATGACAAGATAATATCAGGAATTTGTTGAGATAAAAATATTATTCGTTCCCTTTATAAATTGTACATACAAATCCATGCATGTAAATTTTAAGAAATAAAATTCCGACCAATAAAAAAACCAACCAATAATATTTAAAATACATAATAAATTAATCTAAAAAAGTATTTAATTGTATAAGAAATCAACAGTTCGTCGTGAAATAAACGAAAAATTACCGACAACCGAGTTATTCCAAGCACGCAGCTCGAAATACGATGTACAAACATATGTTTATAATAAATAAAAATATATAAATGCAGTTAGTAAGTATAAATGAGAAATATTTGATCTAAGCTAACAAACCTTTTCATCAACTGTACTCCTACTTAATAATTAATTTACAACAGTAATTTTTTAAACAGTTTTTTTAGAACAATAATATAGCCAGTTTCCTTATTCTTTTATTTCTTTAGAAAATCCATTTTTCACAGCCTACTGCTATTGGTATTATATTGTAATATAATAGACTGAAAATGGGAGGTGGAAAAGTGCCCCAGAAAATTTTTCTTCAGAAATAAAAGAATAAGGAAGCTAGTTATATTATTGTTCCCAAAAATTAAAAACTGTTTAAAAAATCATATAATAGAAACGAACAAAAAAAAAAAAAGAATATTGTACCAAATAATTTAATGATTTGTTACATTAAGAAACCTTATCGATAAGATAAAAACAAAATACCCACCCACACTTACAAAAATCTGACCTTGTGTTTTTTGCAGCAAAACATTAGAAACGAATCGAGAATATATCAAAAACTTTTTTTTAAATAAAAATTTGTTTATTACCGTATAAGACATGGTTCCCAATAAAAGGGATCGACGACAAAATAAGAACAAAAAATGAAAGAAAACGGCAAATATTACCATAAAAATTACGTTTAAGAGTCCGATGAAGTTCTGAACACCATGCAAATAATTCCAGAACCTTCAGAAAAATAAAAGGTATAGCCTAAGTATAAGAGAAAATCGAAATTAGCTAGAAAATGGAATAAAGTCTTGAACAGTGGCTGTAAAAAAAAAAAAGAAGAATGAAACATTGATAAAACTACAGATATATTAAAAAGCGAGTATATCAAAGAAAACAGCAAAGACGTAAAGGATTATGATTAAGGTATATTTAACAGACTTATGAAAGTGTTGAACACAATCTAAGAAAGAATAACGACAGAGTACAGCTAAAAAATAATTATTCCGCAACCGACAGAAATAATCCAAGGCCAATTAAGAAAGATAAATTAAGAGCAACGGCCAAAATATAAGAAATTGGGATCTAAAATTTTTCCAAAATGTAAAAAATTCTTGGTGAGTGATAATAAAACAAGTGATGATAAACAAGAATGAAAGGAAACGTCTAAAGAAATAATACTTCAACGTATCCAATAATAACATGGAAATAATGAAAAGCGCAAGTATAAGAAAGGAAAAAAAGATCCAAAAGATTCGGTTTTAAAGGCTTCAGAGCCAATTTAAGTATTGACCAGCAATCACATAATAAAAACAATGTATTATATTGCTTATTTTTCTGCCATTATTTTTTATACGAATACTTCTGTATGTGTACCGTTCACTTTTTATTGGCACAAAATATACAATGACAGTGGTATAAAACATTTTCAAGCGAAGAAACGGGTTAACAAATGCAATAATATAATGAAGTCTTGAACTTCCAATGACAAGAAAGAAGAAAAAAAGAACAGTTAAGATGTAATTAATAAAACGTTAATAGACTTAACCTTTCACAAATAATTTATTTACGAATATTTTATTTTTACTCGATTAAGATAGGCCATACGAGGTTGACACACACACGTCCGGCATTCAGAGAAATACTTGGGTACATACAGAGAGCACGTTGGAATGCTACCCGATTTGAGAATTATAGTTGAGCACGCCAGCGAGTATCTGGCGTCCCCCCTGTTCTTCCAAGAAACAGGGTTGTTTTAAATAATACTGATAGTTTTGTGTCTAGAGTGTGTTGAGAGTGAATGTATTTACTGACGTGAATGTGTGTCTAACATAGCAACAGCATGTAAATAGGGTAGAATGTATTTAACAATGTGTAAAGATTAGTGACCGTTAATCGATAGTTATTCAGATATCGTGAGATGCGGTCGGGTGTGATGTAGGTTTCAGAAAAACGTTTTCTTTATCGTGCCAACGTTTCGATCTTTTATTGAGATCATCTTCAGGGCTCAAAGTGTTTGTCTTCTGTGTAATTGTGCCATCCTAGCGTGTCGTGTTGAGAGTATTTAACAATGAGGGATAGTGTGAATGAGTTTAAGTCTCAAAACTTACACCGTTGAGGGCGGGCGAAAATGACCTAGGAACAAGCTTTTGATAGACCCTGGAGCCGTGGTAGGAAGGACAAGACTGAGGTTTCACCCGGACTGCCAAAACCGGTTGATTCTCGAGACCTACCGGAAGTTCCTGGTGAGGATTTGAACTTATATAAATCAGTAATCAATCAGTATATATCTGTTCAGAAATAATAATAAAGAAATATATTATTGGCTTTGACCCCGAGGGGTATCACTCCCAATGTGCTGACTTAGGGTCTCAGGGGAGTTCATCTACCCCGTTATGCGGCTGGGTCGCCAGTAACCACCTTGAGGACTCAGGAGGTCGCTTCCCAGCCAAAGGAGTTAAGCTTCTCCCCTTTCAACGATACGTCATTTTAGCCTCTAACGCATGTAAAAATATAATCTATCCTAAAACCAACATCTTATACAATCGCGCAAATAAATATATTCACATCTATGTAAATTGCGCACATTCTAGTTAGTCGGTGGAGTACTAGATATTCTTCCATCGACCTACACAATAGTAATAAGCTAATCTAAATTGTTGATGGCGGAATATTTATAAAAGTATTCCATCGACCAATTGGAGGGGCGATGGTGAAGGTATATTTTACCATCAGCCCCTTCCCTCTCACACTAATAAATACACGCACTCAGACAAAACACGGAACCAAAAAACACATAAAACAGGTTTATACACGATAAAAGAAATATATTATTATAAGTTAAACTGTAAAGATTTATTTTTCTTGTTCATTTATAGATTGAATTTATTTTTTAACATACAATTTTTATTTGTATTTAGTTTTTTGAATTAAGTTATTCCATTATTACAATGCTGATGTTAGAAACTAAAATATAGTTATTTTAACTCAAGGATCTGACTTCAAGTAAAAAATACATGCTACGTCAAAAGACTTTAACGCTTCGTCATAACATTTATTCATGTTCGACACGACTTTATTATTTGTTAACATCAAACAATGCTATAAGTTAATTAAAACTATAAATAAAAATTAAATATGGTGGAAGAATAAATGAAAATGCAGAAATATATTAAAGCGAAATAAATCGTTATCGTCTTTTCAAAAATATTCACCTAATTGACAAGTATTTTACTATTTTATATAGACATAAATAAATAAAATTTAAACCTCAAAACTTTTTAAAGACTTTTCAGTGTATTTGTAATTTATTCGGAGATGTTATTATGTCATACAATTTATAAGATGATGATGATATGAAGAAATGTCAAAACATATTTATAATGTGATGAAGAGCATTGAAAAATTCTGGGTAGAGACCATATACAAAAGCAATCCTACAAGAAAACACCAAAAACAAAATAAGTAATGTGCAAAGTTAAATCATTTAAGCTACTCGTACATTATTATGATGAGTATTAATCAAGCTTAATTCATGAAATATTTATTTGAAAGAATCGTTTTACGATTATAATTATAATTCGTAATAAGCAGAATTCAAGCTTTATTCAAGGCAAAATGGAAAATCAATACATAAAATAGATTATATTTAATACATAAATTAATTTAATTTACCATTAATACATAAAAGACATAACCGTCATTTGAAGAAATAATTATTTATTTGAGATTTTTCGACTTTTTGTAAAATAAAATAAGACAAGGGGTTTATAAATTATATGTGTAAAATTTTCTGTAAGAATATCATGCTATAGAAGATCTATAACTCTTTCTAGATGTGGTTTTAAATGAAATTAATTGTTTCTATTGTTTTAATGTTTATGGTATTTAGCATACATTGCAATTTTATATATTCCAATTAATTTTTATTTTTGTAAATTCGTCATAGCAGTCATGTCGTCTGAACCTAATGCCATCATCAGTGTCCTGCCGACTGTCTATACATTCTTAGAACAGAAAACTGTATGAAAATAAAACAATTCAACTTACAATGGTGAGCATCCATTCCAGAGGATCGAACTACGTGAAGGACGATTATATTTTTCTGACTCGAAGGAGGAGTGGTCTCTGTACTGGCCCACGACCAATGGGGAATCCTGTTTTGAGGAGGTGTCCTGCGCTTTGGAGTTAACTATTTTCAACCTGACTTTTATAGCAAATCCCACCAAATATCGATATTTATAAATAAATAATATGGATATTTTTCCTGAAATTATTTGAGTGAATAAGAGGTCGAAAACTATCTGCCTGTTTTTCAATTAGGATTAAAATCGAGCCCTTCGGCAGTTTCTAGAGAAGAAATTTTGCGTTAGTAAAAATTCATATTAACATCATTTGTTATATTCAAAAGTACCAATAATTGATACATCAAATATATCAATGCTTGAATAAAATTTTAATATATGTTCAAATCATAGTCAAAATACTATGTGATGAGATTTCTCTGTGATGTGTAGGTCGACGTGCCTGAAATTCGGTCGTTACCGATACTTTTGGCCTGCCCATCCATGCTTGGCTAGTCTGCCAGACATGTTTCGGCATTTTGCGCTCTTCACTGTGACTAAGAACTCAAAAACACCAAAGAAGATGACGAAATGCCGAAACGTGACTGAATGTCCAACCCTGCGAGGATAGGAAGACTATCGGTAACGGCCAAATTTCGAAATATTAAAACCACATTTTAATCTCTAATTTGGTCATTCGCTCATCCTGGTCCTCCTACTCTCCATGGTGTGTTTATCAGACGTGTTTCAGTATTACACCAATGGATAGTGCCTTTTTCCATGTAGTCAAGACCTTATCATAACTGTTTTTTCATCCACGCTTTCTTATTTTAACGTCTGTGTATATTTCAAACGTCTGCCCAATTGCAATTAGAAAATTGTTTATTATATATATTTTTACTTCGATATTGAGGAAGAACCGTTTGTCCGAACAGCCACCATGAAAATGCCTGAAGTTTGCAGTCATAAACTGCATATTCAGTGCACTGGAAAACTAACTCAAGTTAAGTCAAACACATGTGATCTTAGCACATTTGACACAATAAATCATAAATTGCTGAAAGATAAATTATCGAAATATGGTATAAGAGGAATGGCTGCAGGCTTCTGCAGCTCTTCCCTTCGACAAGTGGCAAAATAAGAAGTCTAAACTTTGAGAGATAAAGTGAGGTGTTCCCCGGATTCACTGTTGGGTCCTGTATGTTTCATTCTGTCTGACAATGACCTGGTAAATAGTTTGAAAGGGATAAATACAGAGAATGCCAAACCGTATCAATTTGATGATGACTCTCCATTTGTAGTAATAGCCAAAGTCCTGCTCTGTTATAGACCTATTCTGCAAAGGCACTTGGAATAAAGGTTCCACTCAAATTCTGATAAGAGCCAGAAATTCCTCTTTTCACTAAAAAGTGATAAAATTGAAACCTCTTGCAAATTATTGGGCCTAAGATTGGACACATATCTCACACCTTGCAAGTACGCTTTCTTCATTGTGTTGTGTACTGTTACAAAATATCTGGATATCCGAAAAAGTGTATATTTCTCTCTTTTCCAAGGCATAATGTCCTAGGGACTGTTCTTTTTGGGAAATTCTAGTCATTTATATGAAATCTTATCGGTGCAAAAAAGGGTCTTAAGAATACAGCTGGGAAAATCAAAAACTTAACATTTTCAAATGAACAATTTCACATCTCTCGTTTCGACAAAAATAAGGACCAGTACGCAAACCAATAGTACCAATACTTCTTGTATAGCCGCTATTACAACTTTTGGTTTGTATGTTCATTTCTTTGCATGTTGGTATTGTATATATTAATTCTTTGAAACAAAACGTATGGCAAGTAATATAAAAATAAGTCAATGCAAAAAATCGGAAGATGTGAAATGGTATGCTTACAAGCAGATTCTGCTACGCTGAAAAAGCTGAGCATCCAAAGTGATGGAAGAACAACTTCAACGTCCATGTAACTGAGTCACCACTTTGAACACCCGTTTTCAATTTTTGTTTGTTTCGATAATTTTTATTTATGTATTTGTTTTATTGCTATATTTACTAAGAAAATATTTGAGCAAATCGTCAAGCTATATTTGTATTTGTCAAACAAATATGACCGAACGCGAGGGGTAGGGGAGAGTGGTCAGATAGTGCTGTAAGTTTCGTTTATTTAGTTTGAATAGGTTTTGACAAATTAAAACTAAACTAAAATTCCAAAAAAAATAAAACGTAAAACGTAAAAATAAAAATAACGTACTGAAAAACAATTACAATTAAATAAATGCATAATAGGAGGCGATTTGCTTGGATACCAGGTATAATCCAGTAATTTCTTATTAAAAATTGCATCCTCTCATTCTCTATTCTTAGTCTCTCTCTATGACTTTCTCATTAAATAATAAAGAAAGCTTTCGCTCATTATCTTATTTTTCCCTAGCTTTTAGCTGCCCCTCTTGCATTTTTCAACAAGGTATTGTAAATTTGCATAAGAACTTAATTCAATCAGTCTCTCTCTCTCTCATTCTCTCTCTCACTCTCTCTCTCTATCAAACTCACATTCTCTAACATTCCCCTCACTCACACGATCTCTCTCCCTCTCACGCTCCCTCTCTTTCTCTTTCGCTCACACACACTCTCTCTCTCCCTTTCTCTATCTCTTTTTCTATCTCGCTCTCACATTTCCCTCACTCACGCGCTCTCACTCCCTCTCACTATCTCTTTCTTTCTCTCTCTCACACGCTTTCTCTCCCCTTTCTCTCACTCACTCTCTCTCTCTCTCTTTCTGTCTATCTCTCTCGTTAATAGTTTTCACACATTTCGATAGTTAAGATCGCAGGTAGAAAACATAGCGAACAATTTTCAATAAAACTCATTTTCTCCACCCCAAATCAAACGGAAAATATAAATGAAAAGACCACCCCGGTTGGAAGCCGAGAGTAAATCATTTGTGGTATATATTTGTTCTGTCACGTAGATTGTAAAAAGACTTGAATCCCTTTGAACAAATACCTACGTTGATGACCGGTTTCCGGATGGCACTACCCACTTTCTGATGTAAAATCGGTGATTCCTCATCGCTTATTCTTGCATTACCGTCTAATTGGACGACTTGTCCCCCTTAACTCGAATTTATCACCGGCATGTTAGAATTATATACGGTGAAACTAAAAATAATTTCATCCCTTCTCGGTTTAAAACAAGTGATCTATTAATTAGAGTCAAATAATAATTCATAAATAGGAAAAAATTAAAAAAAGGATATCAAAATTAAACGAAAAATACACTATACAAATAACATTACTGAAAGTACAAAAAATCAGTCTTACGAAAATTCCAAATAAAAAAATAATAACAAAAAATCAAATATTTAAACGATGATGAATCACGAAGGAATACAAATATTAAACAGAAAATGCCTAGCCATTAACAATAAAATACATATTATTTACAGTAATACAAAAATAAAATAATAATCAAAATAAACAAAAATTAAAAATAAAACCTCAATAAAAACGTTCATTTATTTCCTAAAAAATCATTTCAATTTTGTAAATATTCATAGCAATAAAATACAGAACAAAAAACAAGAGATATTGCAGAGGTAAAACTAGAAACAAACTCAAACCAAAATTATATACTGTAAAATTTCAAATACAAACTAAAAAGGTAATAGACCAAAAAGAGAAAAGAAACAAAAATTTCAGGAAAAAAATTCACAATAGACGACTACTAAACAGCAATACTTGGCTTGGTAATATGTCGTTGAAGGGCTGGAATATCCGGTGTAACATTAAGTTATAACAGTCCGTACTAACTACTACTACATACTAAGTAGAGACATACTTCCTTGTTACAGAGGAACGTTCTTGCTCGGATGGAGTTGCAAAAGTGTCCGATTGCGGAGTTGATTCTGACGGAGAAAATTAGCCATTGAGTGATGATGTATCAGTCCTATCGGTGTGAGTGCTATACGCGGTATTGGTCAACGGATGATGAAATGTTGAGAATGTGTCCGTTAGAGATATTGTCGTTAAAGTGCTATAATATCCAGTATACTCAGGAGTTGACTCTGTCGGGACCGATGTTCTCTGAACTGATTCTGAGCTAGGAAGGTGGGAAGTTTGTGGTGATGTCTGAATCCCTGCCGTGAAAGTTCGAAATGATTCAGTTTGGGGGTTTGTCGTTAAAGTGCTGTAATATCCAGTATGACCGGAAGTTGGACCAGTCGGCGATTTTTCGCTAGTTGTAGGGAGATACGTTTCTGTTACAGGGACGCTAGCTGGCTCAGAAGAAGTGGCGAAAGTTTCCGTTTGCGGAGCTGATTCTGAGCTAGCAACGTGGCCAGTTTGTGGTGATGTCTGAGTCCCTTCCGTGTTAGTGCTGTACGCGGTATTGGTCGTCGGATGATGAGAAGTTCGGAATGTTTCCGTTTGGGGATTTGTCGTTAAAGTGCTGTAATATCCAGTATGACCGGAAGTTGGACCAGTCGGCGATTTTTCGCTAGTTGTAGGGAGATACGTTTCTGTTACAGGGACGCTAGCTGGCTCAGAAGAAGTGGCGAAAGTTTCCGTTTGCGGAGCTGATTCTGAGCTAGCAACGTGGCCAGTTTGTGGTGATGTCTGAGTCCCTTCCGTGTTAGTGCTGTACGCGGTATTGCTCGTCGGATGATGACTATTATTTTCAGTATTTCTTGTTTTTGTTGACAGTTCTGTGCTACCCTTGTATGATTCAGTTAACGGGTTAACCGGATTTGTAGAGTAGTTTTCTATTGAAGTTGTAGACGATTTTACACTGCTTGTTGTATGTTTCTTTCCCGTTACTGGATTGCTAGCTGATATTGATTGCGATTCAGTAAATTCTCTTGTAATGCGTTCTGATGTTTTACCCTGGCTTGAATTTTTCTCTTCGGTTTTTTCAGTGTGTTCTGTATTTGTTGTTTGTTCTGTGCTACCCTTGTATGCTTCTGTTAAAACTTGGACGTCTGGAGTTGTATAATAACCACTAGTATGTGACGGTAAGTTTATACTCCATGCTGTATATCGTGTTTCCGTTGGAATGTTCGTTTCATTCGATGTTGGAACTGTCCATTCAATTTCTGATGTTCCTACAGCGGTTGAATATCTTCCTTCTGTATTTTTGTTATATCTCGTTTTTTTTGTTGAATATTCTGTGCTACCCTTGTATGATTCTGTTAACGGGTTAAGCGGGTGTGTAGTGTAGTTTTCTATTGAAGGTGTAGACGATTTGACGCTGCTTGTTGTATGTTTCTTTTCCGTTACTTGATTGCTAGCTGATATTGATGGTGATCTCGTCGATTCCGTTGTAATGAGTTCTGATGTTTTACCCTGGTTTGAATTTGTTTCTTCGATTTTTTCAGTGTGTTCTGTATTTGTTGTTTGTTCTGTGCTACCCCTGTATGGTTCTCTTAAAACTTGGATGTCTGGAGTTGTATAATAACCACTAGTATGTGACGGCATGTTTATACTCCATCCTGTATATTGTGTTTCCGTTGGAATGTTCGTTTCATTCGATGTTGGAACTGTCCATTCAATTTCTGATGTTCCTACAGCGGTGGAATATCTTCCTTCTGTATTTTTGGTATATCTCGTTTTTGTTGAATATTCTGTGCTACCCTTGTATGATTCTCTTAACGGGTTAAGCGGGTGTGTAGTGTAGTTTTCTATTGAAGGTGTAGACGATTTGGCGCTGCTTGTTGTATGTTTCTTTCCCGTTACTGGATTGCTAGCTGATATTGATGGTGATCTCGTCGATTCCGTTGTAATGAGTTCAGACGTATTATTTTGGCCGGGATTTGTTTCTTTGGTATTTTCTTTTTTTCCTGTTTTTGTTGACAGTTCTGTGCTACCCCTGTATAATTCTGTTAACCGGTTGTTGTCGTACGAACTGTAATATGAAGTTGAACTAGTAGACAATTTGGAACTGCTTGCTGTCAGTTTCTTTTCCGTTACTTGGAATGAAGTTGGTTTTGATTCTGAATCCGTAGAGTCTGTTTGTGTAGGCGTTTCTGACGTTCCAACCTGAAAAGAATTATTTCCCTCGGTATTTGCCGTATTTATTGGATTTTTTTTGTTACTTATGTGCGATTCTGTTAACGGGTTACTGTTTAATGTACTGTAATATCCCGTTGAACCAGAATGTGTCAATTTGTTGGTTGCGGTATGTTTCGTTTCCGTAAATAGGATGGGATTAGTTTTTGATTTAGATACAGCAGTGTCAGTTTGTATTGGTGGTTCTGAGATATCAACCAGCCCAGAATTGATTCTTTCTCTATTTGCTGTGTTTGTTGGCGGACGTGTATTACTCCCATGCGATTCTGTTAATGGTGGGTAGTTTGAACTGTAATGCCATGTTTGTGCTTTTATGCTGCTCGCAGGAATTTTTATTTCTGATACTTGAACGCTGGCAAGCGTTGAACGGTAGACAAAAGTTTCACGCTGCATATTCGATTCTGTGCTACTAGCTTTGCCAGGTTTACATAGTTCATTTGGTCTTCTTGTACTGTGCGTCAAACTATTTTTTTGACTGCTCGTTTCAGCCAATTTCGTTGGGTCGTTCTCTATACTCGTGTACCGAACATGATTTAAAATTGGACTTATTTCGTATTTTTTCTTGCCTTTACTTTTGTTTCTACCGGTCAAATGGAAATCTTCACTATAAGTTGGTGTTAAAGGTACGTCTTTGTTCACATTTGTATTGTCCGTATAATTTGCTATAAACGATTTGGTATTTGTTTGTTTTCGTTTTGTCTGTTGGGCTCGTGAATGGTTTTTCTGAATCTTCCAATAATTGAATGTTTTATTATTTAAATCTTTTCCCTCTTTATTTGTTATTGTTTGCGTTAATTTTAAATTGGTGTTTACTTTTGTTGGCAGGGAATTTCTTTTTCTCAATTTTTTTGTTCGGACTGTGTGAAATAATTGTAAATTATCGACTGATTCTTTTGGCTTCATCCCATAATGGACTCTTTTAGTTGTTATTTCAACGAATGGCGACGAATCTGATGATAAATCAATCAATTTATTTAGCATATAATTTTTCGTTTTCGGATTTAATCCTCGTCTTCCATTTTTACCGTTCGATTTTATTTTCGTTTTAGTCCAATTATAAATATTCTCGTCCGACGAAGCCCTAATTGAGATTTCATTATTCTGTATTTCTTTTTGAGATTCGTTAAAATTGTATTCCGAAGTATCCTCCTTCTCTCCTAATAAGGATTTAACAGTCTTCATTGAGAAAAATGATATGTTGTAAATATGTGAGTCGTTATTTTGGGCGTAATTGGCTCGTCTATTTCTTTCAAAATAGTCATGGCCAATGGTGGCATTTTTAGCCTCCAATATTGTTTTGTTCACTTGCCGAACATCGTTCGTCTTTTGGTTATAACTATGTGAATCTGGCAGATGTGCTGCTGAACATATATTCGCTGACAAGAAATGCTGAAGGAGAATGAATCCACTCCAATATAAACCTAAATAAAAATTATAAAATTATATTTACTGGCAATGATAATAAATATTTAGCCTTTTAGAAAAAGGCAATAATCAATAAATATTTATTATTGGTGTGCAATAAAGGCTTTAAGTACTTCAAGTCCAGCCATAGCATACTCATCAAGAGCATTTTTGTTTTTTGGGAGAAAAAAATTATAGTGTTAAGTACATAAAAATTTAATCTTACCTATTTTTCTCCAATAGAGATATGGCGTGTAATATGCTCGAATATTCATTTTAAACAGGCCCCATGTTTACTTGTAATATACCACTTTCAATAGGGAACTGCCTCCCTAGTCACAGACAAATCTGTAAATAGCAAGTCCAAAATCTTTACTCTCACGTTCTAAACTTATAAAAACATGTACATATTAATATGTGCTATCATGTGATAAGCATTAACTATCTTTGATTTTTATTGATATGATGGAGTGAGTATATCAATTGAATAATTGAGAAGGTGGTTCTACTCACAAACTGATTCATTATTTGCATACATTGGGGAATTTTTAGAAAAATTAAGAATACTGAATCTTGAAAGATTTTGAAGCCATTCTGCCTTTACTTCTTTATCTTACTTTAAGATAAGGTGAACAATTTGTCAAAAAGTGAGGTATACCAGCTCACATGTGAAGACTAATATTAGATGATAAAGCGGTGAAAAATAAAAATTAGGGTTAAAGAACACATGCCAAAATCAAACAAATTCTCTAAATTTAAAGACCATTTAAATGATACTAAGTAAACATCACTTCGTCGTTAATTCAAACACAAACAGTTTGTGAGTAGAACCAGCCTTTTCAATCATCTTTGTCTCGCACAAGTCAGTTGTTGAGAAGTAAATAAGCTAATTAAAAATCTCAAAATAGAAATTAAACAATAACTAAAAGCAGACCTCTGCTGGAGGACAGAGATTGGAAATACAAGTATGGCTTAAGATCAACAACGATCATATATGGACCATAGGTGATCAGATTTGAAAAGACTGTGAACAAGAGTTCTATTATGAAATTATATTCAGCTAAAATTATTAACAGAACATTATTCTTGTTGTTGATGATGTTATTAATTGTTTGCTTTATCAAAATGGGTGAGCCAAAAGCCAGCCTGCTAAAACCCCATTAAACATCAAAAATTGTATGTTTTATTCCAGAGGTTCAAAATTAATTTTAATTTTCATAAAATTATTATTTGATTGGACTTAAAACATCACATAGTGAAATGCAATAAATGTTATTGAACCAATTAATAAAAAAGTTATTTTCATCCGTCTTTGATGTATTTGATGATGTGGATGTTAGTTAAATAGGGCTTTTTTTCTGGAAAGACAAAAACAAAAAAAGGATTATTTTCATCCACACAACCAATTGATATTATAAATTTTCTATGATTAAAGTGATTTTATTTAATTATTGATGTTTTATTATTTTTTTAAGATTAAACTTCAGAGTGAGAATATTAAATCTTTTGAAATTGTAATTGTGTACTGATAATTTTTGGCCTTTTAATTTCTACTATGAACAATTCAGAAAATGATTAATTTATTATTTGGCGGTACATCAAAATCTGGACACTTCAATTAGATTAAAATTTTTCAGTATAAATAAAATCAGACATCTGCCAGAATTTAAACAGCAGCAAATAAAGTGTGGATAAGAAAGCAAATGCTTAATTAAACCATTACATTCAAATTAACTTATTTTATTAGGTAGTGTGAGTTAATCATTGGTGTAACATAATCTTGATTACAACTTCCTTGTATTCCTAACAATTCCATCATTATTTTGAAATGTACACTATATACATTTTTTTAAATAATAATTCATTTATTTAATTATTAATTAATAGTTTATATCATAGTATAATTTAAACTGAGATTTGTATTTTAAAATGTTAATGGGACAACTAAGTAAAACATGCATATATATTTTGATTTAACTTACACTGTTTCAGCTCATAATTATGTCTGCATATCGTATGAGGGCGAGAATAACACAAGTATATCTACAATTATGCCATATTTGCAACTGAAACTCTTGTTAATAAAAAAAGTTTTTTTTGCATGAGTTAATCCATTCTTATAGCATTCCGTCTCATCACAATGAAACAACCTAGTCTGATCACCTTTATCAATAATGCTCTCGACCCAAATGCAATCTAAAAAACTTGAGTAATCTGCTAATCTATGTTGTTACCTAATAAATAAAAAAATACAAGTGGGCACTTCCAGGCTAAGAAACGCACGTACAAAAATTTTTTTAATTTTTCTTTGATGATTTGGTCTGATTGAAGTTGTTAACCAAACATCAAATATATTTTTAGATACCATTCATTTTATGAGAGCCCAACAAAAATTAAAAAAACATGAATATTACAATTTATATAAATCTTATTTTCAAATGTGTTTAGCAGGCTTAGAAAAATTACAATAAATTATATTTACTTTTTTAAATCCATCCAACAACCTAAGTAGCGTTTATCACTTTAATATACATATTTCAATTTCCTTTTTGTTAAAAATGCAAAATTATGTAATAATATAAAAATATGAAAATTCTAAGTTGTCTGTCAATCTTTCTTATAATGATCGGAATATATGATTTGGTAGTACTTACAAAACTGAACAATCTCAAACTTCCGCCTGTTGTGAAGTTTTGTTCAACTAGTGCTCAAAAAATCATTGATGACCAACACAAATGGATCAATATTATCCTCCTATAATTTTTTACAAAAATTAATATAATTTGTTTAATGATTCAATCGAGTTCTTAAATATATAAATTAAAATCAATTTTTTCTCAACCAACTTACCTCCTATCCTGAGCTATGTTGGATAATTGATATTTTCATTATGTTTGGTGGTCTACTGACCAAATTACTTCTTTCCATTAATTATTCTTTTTATGTAAGGTCTTGGTTGAGATGAAAAGCTAGTGTCTCGAGCAGGATCCAAACCCATGACCTTCGGCTTATTTATTATAATTATTTACTGCATTCTATAAAATATTCCTATGCACATAATGAAAAATCCTAATCTACCAGCATTCCAAGGCATTCCTAATCTACCAAGTTTTATCCAAGAAATCAATTCTGAAATAATTAAATGTGTTTATCTAATTTAATTTAGTTGTAGTATAATCAACTAGGCAAAGAACATTAATTTTTTTTTAAAGTAAGGTTTTGGTTGAAATGAAAGTCACGATAGCTCAAGTGGTAGAGCAGCGGCGTATTTAGCCGAAGGTCGTGGGTTCGAATCCCGCTCATGGCAGCACTAACTTTTTCATTTCAACCAAAGCCTTACATAAAAATATTAATTAATTAAAAGAATTAATTTGGTCAATAGACCACTAAATGTAAAGGAATTAATTAAAATAATATTTTTTATTTGTTCAACATAAAAACCTTGAAGAAAAATTTTATTTTGGGAGAGGAATATATATTTAGAAATTTATGAATGATTAATAGAACTCAATGGATCAATGACTTTTGAGTCTTTGGTCTATGCCTGTTAATTTTTTTTTTAATGAAGTGCAAGTAAATTCGGTTCAAATTCAGGGCTGTTGGATTCAAACCCAGTACCTTTACCTTACAGTGATATGCGCAAAACTGTCGCAGCCACTAACGCCCCTTAAATAACTCTATAACTTATTAGGCAACATTTTCCTTGATATTTTGATCATTTTATTTGTGAATAGTTGTGATAAAAATGGCTATAATTTCTATAAAAGGTTAATGTTTTTGGAGTATTTGGAATGTGGACAAACAAGGTGGATCCCAGTAGAATTAGAAGGTTATAAATAATTTTTATTGTTAAAAACATTTTTTTTTAAAATTGTATTTACACATTGCACTTAAATACTAAATTTAAAGTCTTTATATGTTCTCAGATTTTTCTTTTCCAACTAACAATGAATATTGTTTTTTATCTGTTGGAACAAGACTGTAGAGAAATATTGATGTAATAACACATGTAGCACCAAGCACAAACATAAAAGTTAGTTTAAACTGAAAAAAATACATTGAACATACACAACTTATCACTATCGCTAATGAAGTCGCAAATCCTTTAAGTATGTTATCAGCATATTTAACAACTAGCGCAACGACGAGTCCACCCCCAGCTTGAAGGAAGACAAGGTAGAAAATAAAGAAGTCATATCCGTACAACCAACCTTTAGAGTTGATTTCGGACCAATCTGTTGTTATGCAAGTGATGAATCCAAATGGGAGGGATAAAAGAGACAGTTGGACATTTCTCATCCAAACAGAAATCTCGTTTGAGCCTTTGAGTATCATTTCAAAGTAAATACCTGCAAATCCAGATAGAACGCAAGCACCAAGAGCAGCGGAGAAACCGATTACTTTGTTTTGCCCTTCCCTAGGTGATTTGCCTTCAGAACCTGAGAGCTGAACCAAAGCGACACCAACTACAAGAACAACGAGAGCAAACCACTGGCGCTGGGAGAGCTTTTTTTTCAAAAGCGCTACTGCGAAAAGGGCTGTTGTCAAAATTTTCAGCTGATAAGTCACTTGATAAGTAGCAGCATCCAAATGGGATGCAGAGACGTATAGAAGGTTATTTTGAATTATGTAGACAAAACTCGGCACACACACTTTCAATGTATCTAAAGGCTGTTGTATGACGGTACTGTACAAGGACGAAGACCACTTCTTACTACAGAAATGATTTTCTTTATACACAAGAAATAAACAAGTTAAAAGTTTCACAAGTTCAGACATCACAACAGCTGTTGAAGATATGAACATAGGTCCAACTCTTGTTCTCGCATATCGCATACTCAACCCAAGAACAGCATTCTGCAAAGTCAAAGTGACCAGGCTGGTCACTTTGAGCACCTGACTTTTGTTATCAACTGTCATGTTTTGCTGCAACCTGTTATAAACAATAAAATAAGAATTAAATCTCTTATTAAAAAAATAACTTATCAAAAGACTAACTTTAAAACTTTCACTCATGCCTTCAGTACCTCTAGTTATACATTTCACCTGTGGAAGTTCAAAGTTGGATATCTTCTGGAGAAGTGTTGATGGGTGTTATTACATAATAAACCAAGAGTCAGGAAATTAAATATCCTGTGTTACCTGCAATTTTAATGCTATAATTAAATTTGGTGGAATTGCATTGTGCACTTTACTATATTTCTTTACTTCCAACACTATTGTTATAAACTGTATGTAGTTGAATTTGGGACTTACTACAGTGACAGAGCTCTTGCCAACATATGTGATCAATAAAGATGATAAATGACAAATAGTCACCAGGGTGATAAAACAGTAAGAATTTAAAACCTAAGTACTTATAACAATAATACAACTTGGGAGTAAAGATAATAGTAAATATCATTTACTGAGGTGTTCTGTTAATGCTAGTGTATAATATAACAATAAACTGGATAACTTGTTATTAATGTATCTTTTAAGCCTGAACTGAAACTGAAAATTGAAAAGTTCTTTATTTTTTGTCAGCATATTCATTAGAGTGAATCTTTAAGCTAGATCACTAAGCTGCCTGACTTTTGGATGTTGTTATAATCCTCTTCAATAATGATTGTTTGGAGATCGTGAGATGCAGTCTGGTGTGACGTAGGTTTTAGAAAAACGTTTTCTTTATCGTGCCAATGTTTTGATCTTTATTGAGATCATCTTCTGGGTTCAAAGTGTTTATTTTCCGTGTAGATGTGTCATTCTAGTGTCTCGTGTTGATCATCAAGATCAAGAAAATGTTTTTCTAAAACCTACAGCACACCAGACCGCATCTCATGATCTCCAAATAATAAAAGAGAAAATATATACTATACTATACTAATACATCTACATCTATATTCACAGTTTTAGCGATTTTGTGTAAAGATTTCCTCACAGCTTTGTGGTCAACAATAAACTGTCTTAGCTCTCGGTAAATTTCCATGGTGGTAAATTGAACTGGTGTTTCACCTCTCAAGTTAAAGTAAAAAGCAGTACTTTAACATGAAATATAAAACCACACAAAACATTTTTGTTTATACTGAGTGGATTAAAGCAAAGTGTATGTGTACTTATTAGGCGTAACAAACAAAAGGCAGACATTTATTATATAACATTATGCTCCTCACTAATTCCAAAATGATATTGTGTAATTTTGTCCTCTAAAAAAATAAAAAATTTATGTTTTTGGCTTTTAAATACACCAGTTAGTGAATGGTTTGAAATAAACCAACTAGCTCTTGACAAGATCGCTGTCAGACGCCTTCACTCCAAAACAGTCAAATGTCAAGTGAAAGTAGTTTCTTCACCTCCTGACACCATTTAAATTTTTTTTTAAATATTTAAAAAAATAATTTTTCAGAAAAGAGTTGTGATTATTGGTAAAAGGGGGAAATAATATATATTCATTATTAAGTAAAATTAGATTGTACGGTGTAGACTTTTTTCGTCAACTTCATTAATACATATTACAGAAAAAAGTTTTTTGTTTTAGTCTTTCATTGCTAATTACATCCAAAATTTTAAAAAATGATTCTCAGAAAATATACTGTAGTTTTTTAAGACAAATTTTTAATTGCATAGCGTTAAGATCATTGAACATTTTATTATTTGTTTTAGTATTTAGTCACTGTTACACTCTAAAAGGTTGTAACATCTCAGTTGCATTAATTTTTTTCTGCTAGCGACAAGATCGTAAATGTCAGATGACAATATTCTAAAAGGTCAAATGCAGGCAGTAGTTTTTTCACTTATTCCCAGAGAAATTATTAAAATATTTGAAAACATGCTACTAGACACTTTAAACTTTGTTGTTTCGACTTGATGTTTTTTGCCACGTAATTTTAATTTGGCTTTTAAATATACCAGTTATTGAACGGTTTGAAATAAACCAACTAGCTCTTGACAATAGTGTTTATAATCAGTTCTTTATAAGGAAAATGATATCAGCATCGCTATTATTTTGTCCTTATAAGAAAACCGCTGATAAAAACTTATACATTTACCTGGTGCTATTACATAGTAGAAAAAATGTTTTTAAAGCCATTATCGTTGAAATACTTCAAACGACTTTACTCACAGAAACACGTTCAAAGGTGTACGCTGTCAGTTACCTTTCGATTGTTATAACAAGTTAACAACGTTTTCCTGATGATGAAAGCTACCATTGACAAGATTGCAACTGTCAGACGCCTTCACTCCAAAAGGGTCAAATGTCAAGTGAAAGTAGTTTCTTCACCTCCTGACACCATGATTTAAATTTTTTTTTAAATATTTAAAAAAATAATTTTTCAGAAAAGTGTTCTGTAAAGGGGGGAAACAGGGAAAATATTAAAACCCCAACCAAAAAAACAAAAATTGGCTTTTGGATTTGATTAGCCTTCCACTGTTGATAACGAAACAGAATAGGAATTGTTCACTACAAAATATTGACCCAAAGATCGTTCTGAGGGTAGAGTAAATATTTTGTATAAAATAATAAAAGCCATGTTTTCTTCAAAGTTTTTACGATTTTCTTCGGTGAGTAGGAAACGTATAAAATATATTTTGGCTGTATTAATTGTTTGTCAAATAGGCAAAAAAGGCTTTTGGTTCGAAACCCTTGCATAATGGATTCAGCAGAAGATTCTTGCACGATGAGGGTGACCTGGTTCAAGTAACTGAAATCGATGGAGTCAGGAGAATAAGGATGGTAGATAACAAAACCAAGTGAGAATTGTTATTGACAAAACTAGATTTACAAATCAATATTTTATTTTTCAAATTTATGACTTAAAAATGTTCATTATACGGTTTTGGACAAAATATCGTAGTCATTATTATACATAAATTTTAGATATACATCACATTAATATTATTTGTTATATTTAAAAATACAATTATTTATTTGTTTTAAAGGTACAAATAGGGAAAATCATTGTTAAAAACCTTTCACTTTTGTCTGTTAATTAAACAAAATATTTTGTTTTTATTTTAAAGGTACAAACAGGGCTTCAAGCCCCTTTACATGGACATATAGAAATGAATTTAGTTTTATAAACTAATTCCAAAACAACTATCATAAGAAATACGACAACTTCATAAAACAACTTCGTCACCTGATCATGATTTGATAACAGCTGAAGTTCCTCAAGAACTTCTCGAAAAGTCGTTTTTCTTACTTCTTTATTTAACGCAATATTGAGAACTACACACTTTCACATACAATGGAAACTTTCTTGCATTAAAATGATCCCTAAGCCTCTTAAAAGCTCCCCATAATCTTATTAGTTCACCTCCCCATTAACATCCTATTAGTTTGTTACCCGTTCCTTCTAAATTATTTGAAAAATCAATTTACAAAAAAATTATCTCTCTTGCTACTTTAGACAACATCTTACCAGACCATCAATTTGGCTTTCAAAAGGCCTTCAACAAAGTTTTTTTTTTTACAAGGTTTCGCAACAGCAGAGGTCATATAAACCCTCAGGGTTGATTGTCTCATTTGTAAATATGTCGGGTTCAAATGTAGGGACAGTAGATTCGATCCTGGGTCCTTTACCTTACAGTGATTAGCGCTGTGTCAACAACATCGACACCCCCCCTTATGAGGGATTATTACACTAAATAAATTTATTTTTACCATATGTCTTTTATCTGATTATACAATCGTACCTTGAGGAAAGATTTTTCGCAGTAAACCAGGAATCAGTAAGTAATGAGATGAAATAAGTGCTTGCAGGTGTGCCACAAGGGTCATTACTCCGATGTTGTATAAATTTTATGTATGCAGATGACACACCATATTAACAAACCATCCTTCTACATAAGCTTCAATTATATTAAAAAGCCACATATCAACAAGTGAAAATGAAGCAATCTTCGCTAAATAAAGTTTAACCACTCAAAGTCATAACATATCACCTTTACACTCCACTGTGGGATATACACTTAAACAATGAACCTGTTCCTCAATCTGTCAAAGTTAACTATTTAGGTCTTATATTTGATAGAAGACTGACTTGAAATCCACACATACAACTAAAAAAACAGACTAAAAATTATTTAAAATGCTTTATTACCTATTCAACCGATAATCAGAAATACCATTACAATCTAAACTTTCGACATACACATACCTACTCAAACCTATTTGGATGTGTGTGGGTGCCAAGCTTATGGATCGGCCAAATATTCCAATATTCAAAGTTCTCAATCCAAAATTTTAAGATTGTTTCTACCCCTGTCTTACGTAAACAATAAGGCACTTCACAGACATCTTCCCATGCCAACTGTTTTTTCATTCATCAAAACATATTACGGACGTTTTCACAGTAAATTACAAGATCGCAGTAACAGTACTAACACGCAAATATGATTACTTCATTCCCCACAATTACCACATAGGCGACTGAAAAAAAATATGGATAAGAGACCTCTTGAATGATTAATATCATATTATTAATCCAGATCGACTGCCAATGAGTAGCTTTCTCTGTAATGCCTGAAATATCGCAGTCACAAATTGAAATCCAATCTGTTGGTTGTATATAAAACAGGTGCATAAATTTACTAAAAAAAGTTTTTTAAACATAGAAAAATAACAATAATAATTATAAAACCTATAATAAAATATACAAAACAATAATGACAATAATACATCCTTTAAAATATTGATTATTTATAATTGATGATTAAACCACATAAAGAAAGAAAAACAGAAAAAGAAAGAAGATAAATGGAAACAGAGAAAAGAAAAGAAGATATCTCATTTTTAAAAATTCAGATGCCATGGACTTGAACCAAGTCACCAAGGAAGAATAACGTACTTCCCAGGGAAGCAAATTCCACAGTTTTGCCCCTGCAATTCTGAAAGATAAGGCTAAAATTTTAGAGGAAGTTGAAGGCTTGAAATATAAATTGGATAAGGAATGTGGGAAAAAAGTTTATAGATATTGAGGACATTTATTTGATTTAATTTTAAATATGTATATTAAAACTAAAGTTAAAAGTTTATAAGTACTTAGAATTAAGATTGCTGAAGAAGTTAAGGAAGAAATATGATCTCTTAGTTTAATATAACAGCATCTAATGCAGGGTTGATAAGCAATTTGAGGGCGATGAACAGATTGAAAGTCTAAGGAAAGTTTAAAAATAGCGCTACCGTAATATAATAAAGGAATTATTAGAGATTTAATAAGGAGGACTCTAGTTTTCTGGAGGATGAAAAAGCTAAGGCGTCAAAGAGAATGGAGGCAATAATAGAACTCACATGGTAATGCCATCTGAACTTGGAGTAATACCAAGATTTCTATCCCTGAGCAGAGTTCTTTTAACCACATAAGGATATGAACCAAAAAAGTGCCACGGGAGTCTATCGTTGCCTATATATAAGCAAACTCGGTGAGGGTTCGAATTCCTTGATCCCTTTTCGCTAATCTGAAAGAGTGGTATTACCTAGCCAATTTTTCTCTTCTTATGTGCAATGGAATACGCCCTACTTCAATTATAAGGCATTTGTGGGGTAGATGCCATAGCTTCTATAGAACAAGAGCTTTGTTTGCAGTTGGTCAAGGTGGGTTTGTGTACAATTCCCATAGAAGATGGTCCCATAGTCGAGTAAATAGAATAAAAGTTCACCATATTGTTAAACGTGTACGAGCACCATATTCATTTTTTTAAATATTTAAAGCTTATTCATACTTTTTATCCACATAGTCAATTTCAGGTTTATTGTCATAAAATCTTAATTTAGATTGATTAAAATACCGTTTAAAAATTTAATTTTCAATGGTCTTTTTATGTATAAGCATTATACTGGACTGATTGATTGTTCTTTGCTTTAATATAACAATAATAAAGTGCCTTTATTTATACATATAAACAAAATTAATATATTTTATAAACATTTTACGTGCATTCTGCAGGCTTTTTCCCATGGTCATAGACTGTCAGTGGGGATTTTGCCTTGATAAAATGACTAAACCAGTGAGAAGTACATAAAATAGTGAGATAATAAGTTGTAAGGTGCAGTTCAACTTTATTGTATGAAAATAAAAATTTAAAAATCATGTTTTTTATAACATATGATTTTTGAACAAAGAATTATGTATCAATCTAATAATAAACATTTAAAAATCCAACACCTAGCCCATCTTGGGTTGGGTTACAATATCAATAAGAAAACAAAGAAATGTACTGAAATTACCAGTGGAACGTAAATATGTTCTTTAGGCATAAGATAATGGCCGATGGACAATCCTTTACTGCGGTATGTATCACTTAATCAATCTAAAGAGGATAAGGGTTTACAAGGTTCCGCAGTTGGGAAAAGGATTCAAGATGACTGCATAACAAGAAAATGCCATTAATGCCGAATAACTGCGGGATGTAAATAAATCTCTAGATAGTCAACACAGGGGTGAGAAAGATGCCAGTGACACCAAAACATGATGTTCCTCCACTGGTCTTCGACGATTGCCCACTGGACCGGCGGCAACTTGGGTACATGAGCTGGGGCCTTCTTCACACAATAGCCGCTTATTACCCTGAACGCCCGACTTCCCAAGATAGAGAGGACATGTTACACTTCATCCATCTACTAGCAAAGTTTTACCCGTGCCGAATGTGCGCCAGACATTTTCAAAGCGAGCTTCAGCAATATCCTCCGAGAGTCAGCAGCCAGAGAGAATTCGCTGAATGGCTTTGCACTTTGCACAACAGCGTCAACCGGCGGATTGGAAAACCACTTTTTAATTGTAATGTTCTTGACCAGCGATGGAAATACGGATGGGATGACGGCTCCTGCGATGACTGAGAATAGTACAGCTCACAATCTTAAGGAAAGTCTTGTCTGTAAAAAGTTATACGTAGAGAGCTCCCTTTTGTAAAACAAAATCAGTACAAAAAAAATATAAAAATTATCTTAGAAGTCTTATCATTGTGTTTTGAATTTTTTTATTGTAATTTAATAATAGAATGGCCTTTAATTCCTTAATTTAGTTGTATAAAGTTAATGAATTACAAAACTAGGAGTCTCAATCAATAACCAATAGTTTTTGTCATGCAAGGGGTTCTTGGTTTGTATTCCGGTGTTTGAATTGAGAATAATTTTGAGTAAGTAAGTATTGTAAAATGGTTTTGACCACTCATCCAGGTTGTGGAATACTAAGTCCTTACACGAATTACTCATACACAGTAGTTGTTACAGACAGTTTATGTATTCCCAGCTCCATGTGCAAGAGTAAGTTTAATTAATTTTTGTATCTAATTATGAATCAACAGTTTTGTCATATATTCATCATAATTTTGTTAAATGTTTATGTTGGAAAGATCATCTTTAATATGTGTTATTTTTAGGGCTTTTCATTAAGGTGTTATTAACTGTTTGAATGTACAATGTTCTAGCATCCTGTGCCATTTTCAAGTACAAGGTTTTATTTCCGGAAAAATATTTTAATTTAATGTTATTCTTAATGAAAGAATAATTAAAGAGAAGAATAATGCTAAATTGAAATAATTTTGCCAGAAATGAAACATACTTGAGAAGGGCACAGGATGCTGAAATGTACATTCAAACAGCTTTTTAAAAGCACCTTCATGAAAAGCCCTAAAAATAACAAATATGAAAAAATCCATTCGTAGGATAAAAAGGACAACAAAAATTAAGGAAAGAAGAATCTTTCATAATCTCAGAAGTTAATAAAAACCAGATACTAAATTTTGAATTTGTTTAAATCTATCAATAAATTTTGTTAAAGAAAATAAATATAGTTTTTTGTTGTCATAGTCAATTATGGCTAAATAGAGTCATCATATTTGTTGTTTGTATTGATTCTTTTACATCAGTAAATAATCAACTATATTTTTGTTATTTCAGAAATTCCATGTCACTGGAAATGACAGCGGCCCTTGATAGGAATATAACAACTGGATTGCATGAAATCAGTCTCAGATGTATCGTAATATCTTCTTCAGCGTCGGTGTTCTCTTCGGGTCACAACCTCAAAGAAATTGTAAAACTTATTTTCAGCATAAATTGCAAAATGTAAAAAGCTTTTAAATTTTTTCCAGGCGAACAGCGAAGGACGAAAAGTTTTTTATACATTTAGTGACCTTATGATGAATATGATTAGATGCCCAGTGCCAATAATTACTGTGGTTGACGGCTTAGCTGCTGCAGCTGGGTGCCAGTTGGTAGCACAGTCCGATATTGTCATTGCATCACCCAATGCTAAATTCTGCACACCAGGGTATGTTTAAAAAATACTTTTCTAATAATAATTAAATATCATAATGCTATTGAAAAATTCTAGAGCAAGAGTAGGTGTATTTTGCAACACTCCTGGTATTGCTCTGGCAAGGGCTGTGCCACGCAAGTTGGCCACTTACATGTTATTCACAGGAAATGCGATCGATGCTAATCAAGCCCTCAGAAGCGGCCTTGTTTCAATTGTTGCAAAAGAAGGCGAATTAGGTTCTAAAAATATCATTAGGTGATAAATTCAGATGACAATAATTTCATTAAATTGTAGAAAATGAAGTGAATAATGTAACAAACGCAATTAAAAGTCTAAGCCGAGTGATTGTTCAACATGGGAAACAATTTTTTTATAAACAAATCGATATGACTACTGAAAAAGCATACAAGTATGTATTACTAGTATAATACAATTGTTTGTCCCTTAACCAATAGTTCATTTTAGTAAGGGAGCTAAATCCATGGATATAGGGCTGATGTTTTCTGACAGTACAGAAGGATTGAAGAGTTTTTCAGAAAAAAGAAAACCTAACTGGAAGCATTTGCATTTTGATTAAACACACAATATCAATGATAAATCTGTTAACAAAGTGTAAATACATTATTTTGATATAAATAAAAAAAATAAAACTTTTACCATTTACTGGTATAGAGTAGAGAAAACATGTGACAACAATAATTTTGTAATCTTTCATTAAATAAAAATATATGTTACTGTTAACAAGTTTTTGCCTTTACCAATCTTTATGATCATAATTTAAAAATTATATTTTATTATAAAATCCCCGAAATATTTAATGTTAAATGGTCGTTTTCAATCATCCTGACCTTGCCTAACTTCACAGGTTTGGTTTATGTTTCCCGCAATTCAACATTTCTTGATCAAAAAAGATTAATTAAATCTGTTGTGAGAACCTTCCTTTTTAATAAAGTTGATCAACTTGTTTTAAGTTTTATTTCTTTTATATATACTTGTACAGAATTACAATATAAAACTTTCCGTGGTAGCAGTAAATGAAGGTATACTTTCTCTGCATACGTATTTGCACAACATTTAAAATTATTTAATTAATGTAAACTATTCTTAGGGAAAAAGTGAAATTAAAAATATTAAAAAAAACTAATGATAAGAATAAATAATTTAACAAATTATATCAGCGAGCAAGTGAAAATATTAAGCATTGGTCTTATGATTATTTTATAATTATTTTATTTTTTCACTGAGAGAAGAGTGCACAGCAGCAGGAACAATATTTTACATTTATTTCCAAGTAAGCTTATATGGTCGTAAAATTTAACTTACTGTCCATTCATTTTCTAATATTTAACTGATGGATACCCTGGCACAGCAATATCTCTAAAATCAACCTCTGTGTTTATGGTGGATTCTTATTTTCCACCATACAAAATATTTTTCAATTTTCTTAATAGCATTGTTTAGTCTGTTACCACAGCACTGACATCCGTCGGGAAATAATGCTAGATTTTTTGCTTAATAAGCTAAGGAAAGTTATTTAGATATAATAAGAATAGGGTAGGGTCTAATACTGATCCCTGAGGTGGCAGAAATTGTATGAATAGTCAAGTTCCCATTTTCAATGTGGATTTCATATAGCTGATTCGTAAGTATGAACATTGCTGTTTCCTATTGCAATTGCTATATCGCCTGTTTTTAAACTATTGATGGCTCATAGTAGTTTTGTTGCATTTTGTAAACTTTTTTTTAATAGATAAATATTTATTACCATTTATATATATCATTGATGTACATCTTACAATTCAATGTGCTTTCCATTTAAAAATAATAATAATACCGTTAAAACACCCTTAAAAATTAATAATAATAATTATAATAGAAACAAAACTGATTTTAACTATCACCAATAAAGAATCCAAAATTGATAGTAAAAGATTTTGTTTCTTTCCTTTGAAGTCATTCCAAATTGTTTTGAGAATTTTCCATTTTGCAAAACTCACCCAAATAACTATTTAATATGAAAACATATTTTTATTTTATTTTTTTTTTTTTGCCACAGAGTATGTGAGAAATTTAACTAAATCTTATTTCATTTTCTGTGAATAGAATGGCTTTAGTCTTGCACGGATTAATTTTGATATCAACATTAATTAGAACTGGATTTAGCCTTTTAGCAAAAGTAATGTGCACTATGATGCAGTATAAAATGCAATATCTGCATACAATGCCTTATTTAAAACAGGGATGACATTCATATAAATAAATACAGTAGGCCCAAGTACAGATCCTTGGGGTACTGCTGTCATCTGCTGATTACATATATGCATTGGGCCTATACACAAGTTCTATTTGTTTAATTATGAACTTTTAAAGAGAAAAGGAATGTTAAAGAATGGTATTCCACTTTTTTTTTTTTTTTTTAAATAATGTTTATTACAATCTACAATAAATACTCATTTCAGTTTTGCTAGTTTTAGTGATTAAATCACCTTTAAAATATGGACATTACAATTAAGTACAACATTACCTAAAAAAAAATTTAATAACAAAACAATAACGGAATGGCATTTTTAAAATTTTTTTAGTAAAAAAAATTCAATTTAAACAAAAAATTAATATAATGAAATACATGTTACAATACATAAAATAATATATACAAATAGCTAAAATAATAATTAGAAAATACATTTAAACAATACAAGTTTATATAAAATAAAGCGTATCAATAAGTGATGTGTAATATTAAGTAGTATTATTAAGTACTATTTGGTTCCTGCGTAAACAAATCACAAATACTATATATATGTATGTATATAATACTAAAAATAATTCTGGGATTGTGTTTTGGATTTAAAGCCTTCCAAAAATCATCACTATGAAAATATAACTTTCAATATTCCTACATGCTAACAATACTGTGGTTGTGATTTCCAGGCACTTACGTTTGTATTTTATACCTAAAATATGAATTGGCAACTAATCAAAATTTATTCAATCGACCCCAAAAAACATATGTGCGACTAAGGTGTATTAATTTTGACATAAGATAATAGAATTTTTTTGCCAGACTCATAACATTCCCAATTTTAGAGGTAGGGTGGTTCATTTTGATAATTTTTAATTCATGCTAGCATTTGATATTCAAAACAAAGATTTTGACTTTACAGTAAATAATATATTGAATTGTAAATAAAGAATGATATTTTCATAATATAAAAAAAAGACCTGCAACATTTTTAAATCGACGACCTTTTCGGCTGCAGCTTATTCCTGGCCATTCCGAGTGTAAACGAGCAAAAATATTATCACAGCTTTTAAGATTCGGCTTTTTTCCCTTTCTTACAATGACAATTCATGGCATTCATAAAATAAAACATCCATTGCAAAAATAAAAATAATTAAGATCATTAATTTATTAGAAGAAAAGTTAGTTTGAATGTTATGAGACAAGATGGTGTAAATAAAAATTAGTAGGTTTATAGATCTCAAAAAAAAAAAAAAAAAAAAAAAGTGTGGGACAAAACTAATTACACAAAAAATTGGAAAAAATGGAACTTACAATTATTTTTGGCACAGTACACAAGCCAATGTCTATGGAATGTTGTAAGCTAAAATAAAACTGTAAAATAAGTTACAATTTGGACATATACAAACAATGTATATGCTTATATTTTTAACATGAAAACTTAAAGGCACACCATAAACAAAGATACTGTTTTTTTTAAGATTATTTTTTTAAATAATTAAATATAAGTACAATAAATACAACTTTTAAACAGAGAAATCCCTGTATTAGAAATATGGTAAATGGATGGAGGATTTCTATTTCATATAGAAAATATTATATTTTAAAGAATTCACTTCATGATTATTGATATAATTATCAAATTTCATTTCTTCCTTGTTGGCTATTCATAAATTTCAACAGATGTTACCAACAATATAAAGCACTAAAGACAAACACATTGAACATAGTCATGAATATTAAAATAAATATTTTTAAAATTTACGAACATTTATTGAGCCTTCAGGTTGCCATATATATGTTCAATTTGCCATAAAAAAACATATAATAAATATTTTATGTAAATAATAACATTTTTAAGGCCACATCTGTATAAATAAAACATTTTAAAAAATATATTAAACCCTATATTTTTCTTATTGTGGAAATGTCTGTCGTTCGGTTAAAATAGTTTATATTTAAAGCTTGTGAATATCTTTTGCCCTTTCATTACTACAATTTAAAATACTTTAATTCTAATTTTTGGAGAGTCAAGTGCCAATTCGGGTAATTTAATTTTCCTATAAGGTTTTTATCCGGTACACACCTAAAATTACATGGTCAATGATTCTTTTATAAGAAATGCCGTAATTGATTGACCCGACTTACTAACTGATTAACAATTAGTATGTGCGGAAGCTCTCATCAAAGGTACTAAAAGCGAAGGGGGGCCGGCTTGTCTGAGGAAAGGATGCTGCAACAGCTCAGCAGCAGTAGCCCTTTGGCCTGGATCTCGGACAAGAAGACGTTCGAGAAAACCTTGCAGTCGACCTGATACCTATGAGAACCAATTAGATTTATGTATAAATTAGAAAAATGGATTATTTACCTTGTGAGTGTTTTTCAGCTTGGGAGGAGCCATATCACGAATTTTTCTCATAGCTTGGAGTGGCGGCTCATTAAAGAAAGGAGGTTCTCCATCAACCATCTCAATGACCATAATTCCTTTTAAAAATAAATAAATATTAATAATAATATTAAAAATGCAGAAGTAAAATGTCCTTTTTCCTGCCTAGATTACAATTTAATTTATGGGGAAATTTTTATTACTATTTTTGGGCTTTTTCGGAAGGTATATCACCACACTAGTTCAGCATTTGTATTTATTACAGGTAAACTTAAATATTTCAATAAACATTTTTTGTGACAACCACGTGATTGGTTAGGTATATAGGTGTTGAAACATCTTCTGAATAAGCCGAAGAAATGTATTAATAATGACATTAATTTTTTTTTTAACATACCTAAGGACCAAATATCAACTTCTGGTCCATAAAGGAGACGAGAGATGACTTCAGGTGACATCCAGTAAGGAGTACCAACAAGTGACTTTCTTTTTGGCAATTCTTCAGATACTTGTGCACAAAAACCAAAATCTGACAATTTAACCTAAAAATCATCATTTGTCAAAGATATTTTAACATCAACTTCATACAAAGCTATAATTGAAAAAATTACCCTTCCGTCAGCAGCAAGGAGTATTGAATCACTTTTAATATCCCTGTGTATAACTCCTTGAGAATGTAAGTAAGCAAGTGCTTTAAGACACTGCTTGCACACTGTTGCTATTTGTTCCTCGTCCATTCTCGCATGTGTGACAATGTCTGTGAGAGCGCCTCCTTCGAGATATTCCATGACGACCCAAAGCTCATCGCCGACTAAGTAGCTTTCGTACATGTCTACAATGTTGGGGTGATGATAATCCCTCATGATGACAACCTCGTTGAAAAGAAGCTCTCTCCTCTGCTGTTTCCTTAGGTCCATTTTTTTCACAGCAACTTTTCTCCCAGTTGCCCTGTCTGAAGCAATGCAAACGGTGCCAGTCGAGCCTTCACCGATTTTCATAAATCCTTCAAGCCTATCCCTTGGGTCTCCAGGGCTCACTACTAGCTGCAGTGCAGCTCGGAACTGATAAATTCAACAATAAAATTTTGAAAATCATAATTAAAAACACTAAATTAAGGTGAGTAAAAAACAACCCTGTTATCAACTTTTTGAAATATTGTATTTCCCATTCTGTCTTCCAATTTCATTGCTATTCGTGTAATGATAGGCCTTCTCTATACTTGCCCCTTCACCTTTTTCCTTGTTAATATTTGATATTCCTTCATCCATATTACAAAATTTCAACCTGTCATTTCTACCCCATATTCCTGACCTTTCTCATTCATGTAAGTACCTTCTCTAAGCAATGGCTCATACCCTTAACGTATTGACTGTAGTAAATTACCTCACAAGTATGGACACATAATGTAATTTGCATAGGTTAACCACTCACACATGTTAAATAATTCTTTCTTTTCATTTCAAACGCCCAGTAAACATTGTGGCACACAAAGCATCACATCAATGTGTTTATACATTGGAAAACATAAAACTGAAGTAAAAGACATTTTTTAACCAAAATCAGTCCTGTCTGTCAAGGAGACCAACTTGTACATGACAATTAACCATCAAATATTCTAGTCTACAATATTCTATTATTGCAATTTTTTTTTTTAAATATAAAATAAATAAAAATTTTACAGTTGAAATGGTCATTTTTTACACACCCTAAATAAATTGTGTTGGTGTCTACCTGCTCATGGGATATCCTTTGCTGGTCTTGATGTTGCTGTTGCTGTTGTTTAGCAATACTTTGCTGCATCTGTTGGCTTTGCTGTTGTGCCGGTGTCATCGTACCGTTGACTTTATTCATATTTTGGTCTGGACTACGAATTTGTTGTGGCCCTCCATTATTTGCCTAATAAAATATAACATAATAAATATACAACGTTGGAAATGATTTCTTTGGATTTCCAAGTTAATATTTTCCTACGTTTACTTTTCTAATTAAATCTATGAAATGTGCAGTGCTCTATCAAACTAAAAACATAATATCTAATGTCATTATACAGCTTATAAAAAGAAAATGCATCATTTGAATAATAATATTTAAAGTACAAATAAAAAGTCTTTAATTTGATAATTATTTGTGAAATAAATATTTTATTAAAGCCTTAGTAGTATATTTATTGGACATTATTATTCATGTTATTGTGTTATTTTGTTCATTTGAAGTAGTTAAAAAGCAAAATGGCATATTTACAACGCATAATTTAGTTTTGTATTATAATATATGCAGTGACTTGTAAGTGAAACATAAATGTGATTCAATTTTAATGGTTTATTTCATATTACAGCATTAAAAAATAATAATGTTAGATCATGCCCCAAACAGATTTACACTGAAAATGTATTTGATGAAAACATTAAATTTAAAAAATGTGCATTTAAAAAATATATATTTTAAGTTTTAATATGTAAGTATGCAAACATAAATTTATAATGTGCAAGGTTTAGTTCAAAACAAAAATCTCTGGACAAATGGATCAAACTAGTGATTACAAATACTACATGTTTTTCATTTGTGTTAAATATACAAAAAAATAACAGTGGTTTAGCAGCGTTTGACAGGTTTGTATAAAAGCCCTGGAATAGAACAAAACCATTCAAAGCCTAAAACTTTCAACTTCGTAACTCACTCTGAAATGATGTTGAAAATTGCTCATATAGTAAGAATCGTAGTACTGCATATTACTGCTTCCCATCCACTACACAAATTTTTGTTTCATAACATTCTATTTAATGACCATGTCTACTATCTGATTTTCTTAAAATTTTAATACAACTTACTTGAGCTGGATTGTGAAAGTTGTTTCCATTCACGACATGCTGGTTTGATGCAGGATGATAAGGCGGCAAAGGAGGCCCTCTCCAGTCGACTGGTGAGTTTCCTGGTGCGCCTCCCTATTGCAGAATTAAATTTAACCTATCATAAAACTTTTATTTATTTTATTTTTTTTTTTTTAACAAAACTTACAGTATAAGGCATAGTGAGCATTTGCCCTTCTGGAACAGCAGGGGGGATATTGGAACGAGGTGGTCTCCTGAGCCTCGGAGGACTGGATGACCTGAGTGAATTAGACCTGGCGACATTTGAAGTCTTTGGAATTCCATTTGTCTGCTCTTCACCAGGACTGATTAACCCCCTAATCACTTTTGTATCACCACGTACAATTGTCTAAAAATAAATCAATATAAAAAAACAAAAACAAATAAACATTACATTTACAATTTTCTGTCTTTACTTTAAGATCGAGAATTTCAGTTGGTGTAATTTCTGACGGATCCACTAAAGGAAGAGGTCGGTTGGTGCTCTTTAGAATTTGATTGTTTCCGACAATGGAAGCCCACTGTAGAGGAAGACCAACAAATTTCCCTTCTCTCTTATCGAAGCCGGTGTGGACCCTATGTTCGAAATTGGTCGGTGGAGAGATTTGGGGCTTTCTTTTCTTCTTCGCAAACATATCTGAAATTAAAACAAAGATATTTTTTAAGTACGACTAAAATAAACCAGAAACAGAAGCATACAGAAGAACAACTGACTGAAACTATAATAAAAACAAAAATAATTTTTAAAAAAATTAACCAGCATTAACAAGAAACTATGTTTCAGGTTTACGATAAAATCAAAAGAAACTATTGCTTTGGTTTGCTAAAAGATATAAAAACAAAAGAAACAGCAAAAAATATTTTTTGCTAATGTTTTTATCAGAATGAGAACAAATAGACCATGATAACTAAGTAAAGTGTGACTGTTATATTCAGTTTAAAAAAATGAAATAGAGAAAACAAACAATTTACAAACTAGAAATTCTGATAATTTTAATACCTAAATGAGTAATTTTGTTTTCTAAACCCTACCTTTGTTATCCATAACTGGCTATTCTAGATATTATAAATGCAATGAATAAAAAAATTAATGACACTACACTATTATTAAACTGTTAAAAATGCCGTCAATGCACTTTCAAAACAATAGTCACACTGACCATTCAGTTAACAACAACAAAAAAGTGTTGTTTTCCTTTCCTTGATTGTTCCTTTAGATTGTAAATCCTTTGCAATAGTAAAATGCTGTGTTAATTTACGAGTGGGTGAACTCATGGCTGAACTAGCACTGGTTCACTTATTGGTACCATCTTCACTCACCAAAGATGGCACAATACCGAAACATCTTTGAGTGTTCAGCAAAACTGCGAGTGAAGAGGACCCAATAAGTGACCTACAGCCAGGTCAACATTAGTAAAATAATAGTTTCATTGAATGCACTCTCCTTGTCATTGATAATGCACAAATTGCTGACACTGGATTATACAGAGGTGCAAGATTTATGCTGTTATATTATATTTATTTAATAAACCTTCATCCTGTTGATGAGTTTGACCTAAATTGATGCCTGTTTCAGTAATATTTTTCATTTTTCTACGTGAACAACAAAATATAATATTAATATAGTTTAAGTGAGTGTATGATTTATTCTTATCATGTTTTTTTTATTCACCAAATTTGCCTGTATATTATCATTTTGCCAAACAAAAGCGTTGATAAAAAAACACAATCAATAATTTATTTTCAATAATTTAGTTGATTTTTATAGATTTTGTTCTGTAATAAGCAAAAATAAGACCAGAGAATGGACACCAACCTCGGAAATACTAAAGAAAATTCTATGCAATTTTTTTATGCTTGTAAGTAATTTTCCTTTGATTGATCTTTTTCATTTGTCAAATAATAAAATTAAAATTAATTATAAAGGAATTATTTATATTTTTCTTCTATAATTGGCAAGTTTTACTCAACGATTTCATTGTACAATGTGAATACTGTTGTCTGTTGTTTTGCATACAAATTTTTGATAACACCATTACCAGCTTGTACCTTATATCTTTTTTTTGGGCTATTCTAACTGATTTGTCTGTCAAATCTTTTTGCATTTTGCCAAACAAAAGCATTGATAAAAAAGCACACAGGACAAGAAGGAGATTGTAAAATGCCAAAATGCAGACCATAATAATTGGAGACGAGCAAGTTATAGGTTTATCTTGTCACAGACTTACAATTTATTTTTTTGTTGCATTCATTTGCAATATATTTCATACAAAGAAAAAAAATAGTTAACTTGATAAAGTAATGTATAAACAATTTTGCAAAATTGCACCTGACAGGCCAAACCAGCGAGGAAAAAAGAACAAAAATGACCAAACTCCATATTCTAGGTTAAATACATTTTTCTGACCCACCAATGAGGAAACCCAAAAAGATCAAAGGAAGCAGAATTTATTCTTAAAATCAAAAACTAAAATATGGGTCCTTGTGCAAGATTGGAATACATTATAGAGTAATTTTAAGAGAGACAAGGTAAGATGTAATAGTAATCCCAAGGATTTCAACAAAATGACATTTCAGAATGCATTACAACGAAGATAATGTGAATATGTGTAAATTCTGCACACAAAAAAAAGCTAGTTCTCTTGTGACAATCATAACAAAATCAAGAAATAAAATTCATAGATGACAAGGGTACTATAAGAAAAGAACAAAGGACACACGGGTTCTTGAGCCTGTAGTCTCACCATTTATATTCATTTTCCTCTGGCTTCAGTGCTGCATCTGTGTTTGGCTTTTTTAAATTATTATGATCTGTAGCAAACCTAAAATATGGCAAAATACCAAAACATGTCTGCCAGACCAAAATGATTGGAGAGTACAAAAATATAAATTTTGGCCCTGCAGACCCCATACAAAAATGTAATAAAAGTTCTTGAAGCCATAAAACACCCTGAATTTAACTTACTATGCTTAAATACAGAATTATTACCAGTATTTTGTTTTGTTTTTTTAAATAAAAACGTAAGTAATTAGTATAGCTGTTAGTTTTAATGTTTTACTTTTTAATCTGTATATGTTTAGCGGTTGTAACTGACCATATTAATTATTTCAATTAATTATTTTTTTGTCTAAGGTCTTCGTTGAGATGAAAAAGTTAGTGTCACGAGCAGGATTCGAGCCCATGACCTTCGGCTCAATACACTGTTACTCTAACTACTTGTACTCGAACAAGTGGTTCTTATCCCGCTCATGACACTAACTTGTTAATTTCAACCAAAACCTTAGATAAAAAGTAAAACTAACTAACTTTTGGGGGGTTAAATCCCCCCCCCCCCGATGATGACAGAAGCCCCACCAATAATGTCTATAAGTTCCTTCGTAAAAAGAGCCTATCATACACTGTTATACTGTAGCATAGCGCCTTTTTGGGTTTGCCAGCATTCTTCGAGGCTGAAGACATTGTATTGATCCGAGCCGATAGCTCGACAAGGTGAGTGTCGCACAAAGAGGAGAAAACTTAACTCGCAATCGAAAACTCCACATCAGATTGAAATCGTCATCATCCATCTCATATTTCATAACAACTTAGAATCACAGATCAGATGTGGATCAATAATCAGATGATTTCTTGAAGTTTTGAAAAGTAAGAGATTTGAGGGTTAATGAACAAAATAGGTAAAAATGTCATTATGTTTCTTGACTCTAAAAGGAAAGGGAAGTAATTCCTGTCCCACATGAAGGCTAACTGCCCAACTACCTGTTCGGTGTTGCATTCAAAGAGTCAAACAAGTTTACAATACATTTTATATACTATACTAAAAAAAAAAGTCTGCAGGGTTTCAATCCAGAACCTTGGAACCATGGGAAATACGAATCAGGCGCCCCAACCACTTGGCCACCAGGGTTTCCAAATCAACTTTAATTATTAACTATCGGTACATTACAAAATAAATTTTATTTTATTTTTAAAGCAATCGTATTTTATTGCCTCATTTCTAAACAAATATGCCTTTCATATTAGGCAAAGTAAGTGTAGTGTGATTTGAACCTTTTCCTACAAAATAGTAGTTCAAAATAATACCTCTTCAACTTAACTTTTAGCACTGTTTTGTTTTTTTAAATAAATACATAAGTAATCAGTACAACTGTTAGTTTTAATGTTTTATTTTTTATTGAATTTTTTGCCTTGGGCAAATATACTAGCATTTTTCATGCTATTGTTGAAAAGATCTTTTCATTTTTTCTTTTTTATGATGACAGAAGCCCCACCGATAATGTCCATAAGTTCCTTAGTAACAAGAGCCTGTCGTACTCTGTTATACTGTAGCATAAGCGTCTTTTTAAGTTTGCCAGCATTCTTCGTGGCTGAAGACATCGCATTGATCCGAGCCGAAAGCTCAACAAGGTAAGTGTCGCACAAAGCGGAGAAAACTTGACTCGCGATCAAAAACTCCACATAAGACTGAAAATCATCTCTGTCCACCTCGTACTTCATCACAAACTCCGTGTCGGCAATGACCGAATATGAGTACAAATTCGATGCTTGAATATTGAATGAAAGCATGTTTTTAAATATGGGATAAACCATGACAACATGATAAAAGTCTGTATAATTAATCAGCTTCAAAGTGATCTCCGATGCACTTTGAAAAGTTGGCGTCCTGTGGCCAATCCCATTGACGACAATGCGGACCAACTTGGGGAAGTCAAAAGCAAGGATTGACCTACTCTTTTCCCCTATACAGAAAAAGCTGTAATTTCCCGGATTGTCTTTCAACACCTGCTTACCCTTCTTACAGACTTTATTGTGGACCCCACCGCAGAGCCCACGGTCAGATGTGAAAGTGGCCAAGAAGTGATGCCAGTCGGACTGTTTTACAGATTGGCTGAAACTGTCATAAAACCTCCTGACGCAAAGCCCAATCGGCCTGGCGACAGAGACGCTCTTCTCTGCCTGGATGAACCTGGCAGCGGCAACCATCTTCATGGAGCCAGTCACCTTCTGGATGTTGCCGACCGCTTTGATGTGACTTTTCAAGTGCTTCAGACCGGACGCCATACCTTTATCTCGTCCGGTTCTCTTTTTCTTTTTAAAAACAATTCAAAACTGACAAGGCAACCGATAAATTACAAATTATACGTGCCAGACAAACCTCCTCTTCCTGTTTTCCAAAGGTGTTTCCTCGAATTCCTTCCTCTTTCCTATATCAATTCGTTAAATCCGCATTTTATACGGACGACCGGTTATATTTCACATAAAATACAATGAGTAAACCGACCATCAATAGGACAGAACAAAACACTGACTCGATATGAAAAATAATAATTCTACACCATATTTGATTTGGGTAGAAAACAGTTAGGCCAACTTAACTAAGGAATGTGAATGAAAGTGGAACACAAATTCCGTTGTAATTGACATTCTGTCAACGACTTTCATCAACCGGCTGAAACGTTTAATTACTTTAATTCAAATCAAAATTCATCTACAAATCGACATACAATCTTTAAGCACAAACATTACCAACATAAAAAAACATGTAATAAAAGGACTAAAACATTTTGACATTTTTCTATTTTTAGTAAATTTTTTGTCATCATATCATAAAAGAAATAAAAACATCAAACAAACAGAAAAATATAATTAACGAAAACATACGAAATCATTATTTTATTGTCTGCAATTCAAAAAAGCAAATATATCGGCATTCTGTCGGATAACAGTAGGTCAACGTTTAAAACTTTAAACATTGAAGACCTGTTAATTACATTCAAAACTATGTGAAATGTTCAAAGAGAAGTTTAAATATTATAAGAGGAAATCACCACTTCCTGATTTATCTTCAGTTCTAGAAATGAACCCACCTTTCGACCCGAAGGTATGCCATTCAAAATCACACAAAAGATAAAAGTGGTAATAATAATGAAGTGAAAAGAAAAATGAATGAACTCGTTTTCGGAAAAAAATCAAACGTTCAGTTAAAAGTGAACATGCCACCTTATAAAAAATAGTATCAAAAAACTCCGAATACCTTCAATGAAATTAAAACAAACCTTTAAATTAAAATAATAAAGGATTAAATTATTACAATGACTTGCAGCTGTAAACTTTAATCAACAACAAAAACCATATAACACGTAATAGTATTCAACAGTGTATGCAGATTCTGCAAAGAAGCAGAGGAGGCACCAACACCTAATACCAAACTGTGGTGCCACCATTTACCCACAGAAGAAAGTTTTGGGGTGTACAATAAGTAATAACTGTAGAAGTAATTCAACCTCTGAAACCAGCCCTACTAATCAAGTTTCTTGATGGAGTAGGATTCACCAGTGTGATATAAGTACAGAACATACAAAAGCTCTCAAAGGGCACAGTATATTATACACCCTGAACATTTCATCTACTAAATCTATGTCTAAGATTCAATATTTAGATATTAAACAATGAATATTTAGAAATCGTGATATGTGGTCTAGTGTGCTGTAAGTTTAGAAAATGCACACTTTGAGCCCTGAAGATGATCTCATTAAGTTGAATCTTTAGCATCATAAAGAAAATGTTTTTCTAAACTTACATCACTCCAGATTGCATCTCACACTCTCTAAATACTGATTAAGTAACGGTCACTAAATATTACACATATTAAACAATGTACATATATAAAATGTCTGTTGTCCATCCCTACTTTTTATTACCGTTAATAAACAGTTTTTCATTGATAGAATTAGTTATTATTATTTTTTATTTTTTTAGCTGCTGTGATGATATGGTTTAAATCGAGCGATTGTGGTGTCTGGAGCTGCCTAGACACATTATATAGTAGCGATTCTTGAATTTTCCAAGTCATGTGTTTGGGGTCATTGTATTCCCAGAAAGTCCTTTCTACACCCAATTTAATAGTGCTTTCCTTTAAATTCTGTGTTTATTGGTCCATGACCCATCTATCATTGTAAATTGACAATTCCTCAATAGCCCAAACAAGCATGTCACTACCCCCATGTTTATCCATGTGTATTGTATTCTTTAATTTCAAGTGTTCCCTGGCTTACACCACATACTTTCTACCATCAGATCCTGGGACATTAAATTTTCTCTCATCAGTGAAAATAAGTCTCCCAAAATGCATCAGGCTCTGGGTGTAAATGTTCTTTAGCAAACTTGAGGCGCTGTTCCCTGTTCTTCTTGCTTACATAGCACGTCCTTGTTTTTTATTAGTATTTCATACCGTTTAGGAGTGTATCTGGAATATTATAATCCTGTTACAGAATACATGCAAAATATTTTTATTACTTCTTGACAAGTTTTGTTCATTGACATTTTCTTCTTTTTCTGGACCATCCTTTTTTTTAGCACACCAATGGTCACATTTGTCATCAGTATGATCATATTTGATCTTCCTAGTTTTGCTATACGTTCTGGACTTGTGTCTTCTGTGGATTGTTGGGTTGATAGGTGAGAATTGATAGTCATAATGATCATGTGTCATCAAAGTATAAATTAAAATATAATTTCTGTTCATATAAACAGTGGCCAAGTGGTTCGGCCGTCCAATTTGTATTTTCCACGATAATAATAATCGATTATAATTAATAACCGATAATCTGTCAATGTTCTAGGTTCGAATGTCAGTACAGCCCTTGGAATTGTATTGATTAAATTGCAAAAAGTATCAAAGTGATTTTGACCCCTCCGTGACACCCGACAGGTTGGATGTTACGCCCCTCTGTAGAATAAAACTTACTTTTGCTCTTGCTAGTATCTATCTAAAATCTAAATATCTATCATTGTTTGTCAATATGCCTGCAGTATGATCATCCGTTATTGGCTAATGAACCGAGAGACCAAAATTACTGAAAATAATCTAACTAAAGGTTCATCACCCTGTGACTAATATGAAATCTTACTTCATTAAATGTAAAATTGACAACAATTTTGTACAGTTTGTTAAAAGGCAACAATGAACACACTTTTTAATATCAGACTACATTTTTTCTGCTATGTATTGATTATTATTTCAACAATACTTTTATTTAATTATTGATTTTCAGCAAGTTCGACGCATATCACCAAAAATGCCAGGTCCCTTAAATTTAGATTCTTATGGAATTAATAGCCTAGACACATGGGTTCTTTTGGAATTAATTCAGCATCCTGGTTAGCTCAGGTTATATTATTAATAAACTTAACTATCATATTTTACGTTCTTTTTGCTTTATTTAGATTTTTAACATTTCTTGATGTTCTACCATAATCTATTAATATTATGTCCAAATAGGTTTAATTATTTTGAGAAATCCTTTTACCCCTAAGGGACAAAGGTACTGGATAAGAAAATGCTTAGAAGAGTATACAAGACCGCCAAACAAAAACAACTTGTTGACTCATGGACTACTTTCTGAAAATGATGATTGGTGGCACATGTGCAATGAGTAAGTATTTGGAAATTTGGAATTATTTTGACTGTTATATTTTCTTTAATTATTGTCAGAGTAAAATTTTGGTAATGAAATTTATATTTATCTTGTTTTAGTAATGAAGCCAAGAGTAAAATTTATAAACAACTAAGATGGGTGACCCTTGGCTACCATCATAACTGGGATACTAAAGTAATTTATTTTAAATAGAAAAATGTATACTTGGACTGGTTTATACCCATGTAGAACGATTATTATAGGTGTATTCTGAAAATTTGAAAAATGATTTTCCGCCTGAGTTAAATGAACTGTGTAAAATCATTGGAAAATGTATTGGCAATTGGGATGTCGATGCGCAGGCAGCAATAATCAATTTTTATCACATGGATTCAACACTGTCAGGTCATACTGATCACTCTGAACCAAACAACACGGCGCCTTTGTTCTCTTTTAGGTAAAACACTTCTTTCTTTATATATATTCACTCATAGACAAAATAGGACTGGACACTCCTATTTTGTTGTTTATTATTGTTATCATATGTATTTTTACCTTTATATTAATGAAAACATGCTTCTATTAATGTAAACCAAATTAAACATGGTCAGAAATTCATGAGTTTTAATAAAAATCATTTAATTATTATGGGTTTGAAAGAAAATTCTCCAAAACACTAGAAAATTATTTAGTAATAAATTAAAATTTAAATAATTATTTATTATCTGGATTTGCACTTAATAGTGTGTATTACCTTGAGGAGGGATTTAAGTCGTCTAGGCATCATGTAATTAAGTGATCAAATTTTGTTTTATGGAGCAGAGGGTTTGAAACTGGTCAGCGATTGTTGGAAGTAGCGCACGATCTTTTTTCCCCACCTTCTTCGTTTATCATCATTATTATTAATGCATTTATATATTAAAATTGGTCAAATGGGACTATCTATTAATGAATAATGTCTTTATCATGTACCATAAGTGTTCTTTGGGATCATGTCAGGAGAACGTACTGACACTTTCATTATGGTAATCAAAGCGTTCTTCATTGTGTCTTCTCATTCAATCCTGGTCATCTAATTTCCACAAAGTAAACTGGTACTCATTTGTGAAGAGAACAGCTTCTCATTGTTCAAGAGAGATGCTGATTTGCTTTCTACTTGACCAATAGTAGGATGTTGGATGTCTAGAGACTGCTATTCACATGAAGCTTTGTGATGACAGTTTTAGAGCTCATCCTTACATTACAAACAGTTTATAGTTCATTACCTATTAAGGACACCCTTAAATAACAGTTCCATAGTGCAGTACAAGCAATAAAAAGATTGTCTCTATCATATATTGTGGTCGACCACTACCTTCTTTTCAATTGAGACTTCTGATAGCTTTAAATGCTGTAGGCCATCATGGATGATAGACAATGGACAATTAGCACTTAAAAATGACAGCATGATAAAGAAAATGTTTTTCTGAAACCTACGTCACACCAGACCGCATCTCACTATCACCAAATAATCATTAACTAATGGTCACTAAACACCATACACGTTATTAATGTTGTGTTTACATTTTAAAACAACTATTAATCTTTATATCTAGTTATTCTGGAAAATAAACAAATAAATCTGCTTTTTTGTTTTTGAGTGTAAATCCTAGTGATTAATTGATAAAATTCATTTCAGTTTTGGACAGAATGCTGTATTTTTGATCGGGGGCCAGGATATCAACGATGATGCAACAGCGATTCTCGTTGAAAGCGGAGATTGTATTGTCATGTCTTCCCAGAGTAGACTGAGTTACCACGGAGTTCCGAAAATCGTCGCAACGAAATTAAGACCTTGGAGCAACGAAGGGATGTTGTCAGAGGACTGGAAAGATTTTGAAAATTATGTAACTGAGTCAAGGATAAATATGAATGTTAGACAAGTTTTGAATCCTGGGCAGAAACATTTATAAATATTTTAATAAATTTTGTTTGGTCTTACAAAAGGTATAATTCTTTTGTTTTCTAATTATCCCTTCCAGCCTTCTAAAGAAACAAGGCTGAACAGTTTCTCAGAGCAAAAGAAAAGTATCTAACCAATAATAATGATAATAATAATTTCAGAACCTTTTTTTATTTATTTTGTTTTTTTACTTAATTTATTTATATCTACAATTGTATGGCATTGTAGAGGAAGCTATTCATTGGCAACCACTCTGGATTAATCATTCAAGAGGTCTCTTATCCATATTCTTTTCAGCCTTTGACGGGGTAATTGTTAGGCATTGAGTAATTGTATTTGTGTGTTAAATGGGATCTGGTAATTTAGTGTGAAAACGTTTGTAATACGTTTTCATGGACATAAAAATAGCATGTGAAGATCTCTGTGAAGTATGTTCTTGTTTACATAATAAGGGACAGAAGCAATTAGTCGTAAAGACTTTTATTTTTGTTAAACTTTGTAATCTTTGAATATTGGAATATATGGCCGATCTGAAAACCTGGCACGTGTACATCCAAATTGGTTTAAGTAAGCATGTATATTTGAAAGTTTTGATTTTAATGGTAATTTTGATCATTTTTTTGATAGGGAGTGAACCATTTTAAATCATTTGTTGTGTCTGTTTTTTGATCGTTTGTGCACATTCCAAGTTAGCCCCTTATCAAATGTAACCACTAATAGTTCGCCGGATATAGAAACAGGTTCATTGTATAAGTGGTTAAACTTTATTTTCCAGACTTCCATTTTTTAATTGTGGACATATGATTTTTGTAACGTATGGTTAGCTTTGTGAGCATCTCAGAAACTTTAAATACATTATCTTACTATATGTGTAGTTGATTTATTTGTAGTTATAATATACTTTTTGATTATTATTCCATGGCATAAATATTGGTAAAATAAATTTATAAATTTTAAAAAGTTATATTTATGATCTTAATTTGTCTCTGGTTTTGTAACCTTACAAATTTCTTGACCTAAACAAAGCAACAGCTTTATTTTTAAAATTTTAACACTCTCATTTTCATATAAATAAGTGTATAAATACTATAGGCATACTTTACAGTACAATATAACAAAAAACAGATATATTCGCAGTAATTTCAATTATTTATCTGAAACTTATAACAGTGTTGCATTTTGAATTTAATTTTATTTCAAGCCTAATAAAAAAATTATGTAGGATAAAAACTTTTCTTCAAATTTTCCAATCACAAATGTAACATTAAATGGAAATTAATAACAATATAATAACTATTTCGTGAGTATAAAAACGAATAAATAACTATAAATAAAACTAAGGAGAATAAGAATGAGGATAAAACATAGCTAAGGCAGGATCTTCAGCCTCACAAGTTATTAAAACGTCTCTGAATTTGTCAAGAAGCTGTAGAAGTTGAGATCTTCTTACGTTTTCCATATACATGATTTCTTCCAAGTGATGTTCACCCTGAAGATGATCTAAAAGGATAAAAATTAATATAAAGTTTCTAACTTTAAATCATTGGGTTATACCTTGTAGAATAAGCCTAACGAGCAGACGGAGTTGTTCTTGAGAGGCAGGGGTGTTGATAATAGCCGCCCTTTCAGATGCACCTAATCTGCTCAAATAATCCTCCCTGTCCCAGGACACCTGCCTGCCCGTTCCTATAGGTGGTGATGCTTCTTCACTGGACTCATCAATACTATCACCGCTTACTGATAGCGTCTCCGAAGGCGTGCTCGCATCCCCTCCTGCTATCGAGCCTTCACTTTTTGACACAACTCCTCCCTCCTAGAAATTAATTTTTTAAAATCTTCTTGTTTGGTCCTGTCGTTCGTCTTTAACTTACAGGCATGGGCAAGCCTGTGTGAGTTGGCATAAAATAAATATAAGTGTGGAGTTGTAAGAGCAATCTATGTTGTAATAACCATATTATTACTTGAACGTCATTATGATTACTTCCTACCAATGGTGACATTCTTTGGCGTATTGATATAGGCAATGAAAATTCAGACATCACCTAAAAAATAGTACAACTGAAAATGACAAAAAAATTAGAACTGTACATCTATTTTTTTTTTAAATCTACTTTTCATCCATAAAACTATTGTTTCTAAAATTTTCAACTCTTAATAGGACAAAAAATACAACATTTTAAAAATGATTTTTTGCTTGTAAAAACCTAACTTCCTACTTAACTAGCAATGTACAGTTCTTTATTTGTTTTATTACCTGAATTAAGGACTGAGCAGGGAATTGTTCAGAAAACTTTTCCACGAGTGGGGAAGATGCGTGGACTGGTGCATTCGGTGCAGTCATGTAGACATTGCTTTCACAAAGAGGGTAAATAATAATGGCTTTGCCCCAATACACGAGGTGTCCGGCTAAATTGAACACCTATTGATTTACCAACAATTAATTTAATTAAATAAAGGTTTTCTTTTTACTATAGAATTCTACTTGAGCCAGTGTTAAGTCTGCATCAGCAGAAAGTATCTGTAAAGATTTAAGCGGCGTGTAGATTTTAATAAGCCGTATAAGGGCAGGCGAGGCATCAGGTACAAGGCTGTCCAACAACTGTGTCGCATCAACGAGCAGCAACAAGCCATGGTACGGCCTTACACTCTGCAGACATCTAAAACATAAATAAAGCAGCTCTTTAACTAATCGCTGGAAGGGAAAAAAGAACGGAATACAACATAATGTAATCAGGCATTCAGCAATTTTTACACGTTCTGCAAGTCCTATTCCTTTTGACTTGTTTAACAACTGGATATTTTCTAAGACATTGCAAACACCTGAATGCTTTGTGCCACAGCATCATCTGAGTGAATGTGTTAAGATTACATTTATATGTAATGAACAAGAGGTCAGACGATTAACCAATAGTTTCAAATTTTCAAATAAAACTCCAAGAGCAATGCTTGGAATTAATAGAAAGATCACTGCAAATACAATCCAAAGTTTGTTTTCAATGTTTTCAGCTTTCGTAATAATATAATATTGTGTTGGAGTCTGAGGTGAGCCTGTTAGTTCAGATCATTCTGGAATGCCTACACCAACGAAAATGCAGAAATGCATCCAACAGATTAAATTATCAATAATATGCTGACTTGGATATTCAGGGAAGACCTAATAATCAAAATACAGTGTGAGCAGAAGGTCATGGGTTCGAATCCCACTCATGATGTTAACTTTTTCATCTCAACCAAGACCTTAGATAGAAAGTATAGTTAATTAAAATAATCAATACAGCCAATTATGACTACTAAACATATATGGATTAATTTAATAAAAAGGACTGTAACAAATACGAATCAGATGCCCTAACTATTCAGCCATAGCAATCCCCAAGTTTCTTTACTGGCAGACTTCATAAACATCTGAAAAATAATTATGCGAGTCAATATGGGATGCGTAGATCTTGAAAGAAGCAGAAGAGACTTTGTCGCATTTTTTAAAGAATGCAGATTATAAACTTTATATTTTCTTTAAAGAATATCTCACACTGGGCAAAATTATTTCAAGTAGAAAGAAAAAAGTGCCTCTCACTCAGGAAGTGACGGAATTGAAGAACATAATCGACGGCTTGTTGTTTGAATTGTCTCTACTTCTTCAATTCACCAGGGGAAACTTTTTTTATAAATATTAATAGAGAAACAACAGCTCATACTTGTCTATTGCTTCAGGATCAACAGAAAGGGCTTTGTTGTGAAGCTGATGAACTTTTTGTGGCAGGCAGAAGCTGAGAGCGATCCACCTATTCACCCTAATCTGCACCAAGCCAGAATTACAAAGATCATTGTAAATAGTCATTAAATCTTTTGCAAGTGAGCAACGCTCAAGGATGATTTCAAAAGGCGAGTAATCTTCATCATCGCCCAAGTCCTCCGGTCTATCGTCATGAGCAGATATCATAGATTTTATTTCGCTGTTGACATAACCACAGCGCCTTTCTTCATGGCGGAGCGCTGCTCCGAGGCGCTTGCTCAGCTCGTAGTAGCACTTGACAATAGAATGGTTGGCAGCGGCCTGAAGTGCGAAAACGACGTTTATGAGTATGATCGGCCTGTTGGGCGGTTTGCCCCTCCTGGAGCATGGTTGGACGAGTGTCGGATGGCCGACAAATCTGACGTTGTTCACCTTCAGCTCGAACTTGGCCTCGCAGAGCTCCTGCTTGACGGCGAAAAGGTTCGAAAGCACTTCGTCGGGGAAATTGCCCAGACAGCCGTTCTCATTGTTCTGAGGAGGCGGCCCATGGATGTCCTCAGTGATAGTCAGGGCATAGGGGTTCTTCCTTCTAGACTGCTGCCCGTTTTCGTGGCCTTTGACTTTCTCGCACGGGTACCTGAAAAGGAGCCGGTCACCCTTGCTGTCACGTTTCACAAGAATCACGCTCAGAGGGTCCGCATCCATGCCCCAAGTGATTTTTGACCACTTTTGACATAACGAACAGCCGAACTTTAACTTGTGTGTTTTGACTTTCGACAACAACAAAATGAAACCTCCATCCACCTGGTTTTATAACAGTATAAACTTTTTTTATATACAAACTTTCTAATTTGACGTCAAACATAAACACACTGATCTTATTTTCATATCGTGATTAAATCATGAATATTTAAAATTCAAATATTTATACTTACAATGTTTTTCAGTTTCAATCATCAGAATTAAACGCAATACTCTACAAAATCATGTAATTAGTTGTTTATTTAATTTTAAAAGGCTAATTTATAGATAATTATAATATATACATAATAATTTTCCTTCCATAAAATCCTCACATTCTTTATTATTAAATATTATATAAAAATGCAATAATTTTTTTTACAAATAAGTTTGATCTTTCAAATTTCCTTATCTTCTTTCCTTATCAATCACAGGCTTGTCAGTTGTCATCAGAAAACTGTTATATGTAACTCTTCGGCTGTCGATTTTGTGGAATCAAAATATTATCCTCGATATTATTTCGGATGAAATTAAAGGATAATAAAATTATGCTAAAAACTAAATTTTATATCCGTCAATAATTTGTTCACGAAGAAAAACAACAGCAATAAAAGTCCTGAAAAGGTTTCATCGCTCAGACTGGACAGATCGACGTTCCTCGAGGACAACGGGCAAAATGTATGTATTACCACTTATTTTTATACGTAATAATAATGTTTCTTTAAATTTCGTGGCTTGAAATCCTTCCTTTAAAGAAAAGGCTCGATTTATGTGATTATGTTCTGCATGAAATCATACCCATCTCTCGACGTTTGTATTTTGTTTGACAATGTTTTGCCAAAAAATAACGTGGCTTATTTTCAAAATTTGTTTCGTCTTTTGGCCATAGTAGTTTCTTTTGTTGTATTAATTCTGTTTTGAAAGGTATTTGAAGCTTAGAATAGAATTGGAATTCAATTTCTAGCCTAGTGTCCAAAAGGAAGCAGCCACAAGTTAAATTATAAATATTTTATTATTTCATTTTAAAAAACAACATAATATAGAATTTTACTTTTAAATTGTGGTTTATGCTAGGCAGATCAATCTAGGGTTTTATTTAGAGTAGGTAGACTCGACATGGCAAACTGTAAGAATTAATTAGTGTGATGTTACATTGTGAAATAGTCCATCTGTTCTGATGATCATCATGGCTTGACTATTCTTGCTGACTTTGTCTGTCAGATGCGTTTCAGCAGTCATAAACCATTAGAACCATCATCATAAAGACTGTCTTTTCAAAAAGTCCAATACTGAATATGATCGAACACAGACCAAACCAGCAAAAATACGCAGTATGGTTGTTAGGGGCAATCACAATAATAATGCACTGACAGACAAAAAATTCTACCCACTTGTAATATAACTTGATTTGTATATATTTTTATATAATCAAAGTTTCACGTTTTTTAAGGTTTAATAATTTTCTTCGTCTAAAAAAATGTAAATTACTGATGAAAATGACAAATGAAAAAAAAAAAAGACGGAAAGATAAAATTTGTTTTAATTTTGTTTTAGATTTTCAATTAATATTTCAATATCCTATATTTCCTCCTCTTGACTTAATTACATCTCGAAGACGCTTCGATGAACTTTCCACCAGTCTGGAGGTTAACCTATTCTTCATGAAGAGTCGTTTCAAGATCGTGGAGAGTATCAGGAAGTGATGGACATGCTCTTATTTGTGTTTTCAGGTTATCCCATAAATGTTCGATGGGGTTCAAGTCTGGAGAACGGGCTGTCCAAGCTAAGACCCTGATGTTATGCTGTTGAAGGTACGTTTGTACTATGTGAACGACATGTGGACAGGCATTATCGTGCATTAGATTAGGTTTGTCGCTGATTTCATCAAGGATAGCAGCATGATGTTCCAAAATTTCATCCGATAGCAAGTGGCCGTCAAAGACCATCCATGAACAACAACCAACTCTGTAAGACTCTCCATTGAAATTCCCATCCACACCATCACTGAACTCCGTTGAAAAGGTTGGCTCTGGGGGAAATTGCAGGATTTGTACCTTTCATTTTGCCTTCTCCACACTCTTTCACACTCATCTGGAGATCGTAGAGCAAGTCTACACTCAACTGTTGTACATCAGACCAATCGTCCTAAGACCATGGCTACGTTCTCGAGTAAATACAAGCCATGCTACTCCGTATGTTTCGATCAATTCTGGTCTTCTTATGGGGCAAAAAGCCATCAGTTCATACTGATTTAATCTTCTTCGAGCAGTGCGTTCAGAAATTTGGACACATTGACCTTCTTGGAGCTGATGATTGCTTGAACAACAGTAAGGTGCCTGTTTCGAAAAATTCTCAAAGTCACAATAAATGTTCATCCTAGGGTGTCCAGAACCGGGCCTTCTATGGTAGGACGTTCATAGGGAACTCCAATGGAAATAGCCTGCACACCTGATAGAACATCCATCATCACTTAGTGTCACTCTACGCACAACATCCTCAGCAATAAGTGGCACTTTTAAGTTTAAATTGAAATTAAGAAAACAAAGGGTAACACAAAGATAAACAGCTTATTGCTTCAAAATTCAAATGAGACTGAATAAAAATTTTAATTGTTACGCAATAACAGTAAACATTTATCCTTGGTCTGGGTTAAGGATTAAGTGTGTTTACCCCTAATTCATATTCCAATTTAAAACCAAGCTTAAACAAATATTTATTGGAAAAAACAATGAGACAAATGACAAGGGCAGAATTTTGTTTTATTGAGAAAAAAAAATCATTGGGCAGAATTTTTTGCCTGTCAGTATATAATTGTTAGAGGTTCTGTTTTATTACATTAATTTTGAAGCACTGTGATGAGGTTTGAACCTATAAGCATGCAAATGAATGATGTATCTTGGAAAAAATATCACTCAGATCAACCACTGAAGATGATAAAATTCCTTAATCAGCCTGAAAAACTAAACCAGTAAAAATAGGTTGATGATAAAAAATAAAAGTTGATCGTTTCAAATTATGAATGTCCATTTGATTGTAGTTTTACTTTCAAATAAATCATTAATCTCTGTTTTAAGCCTTGGGTTGAATTTTGGGTGGTGTGGGTGATTGAGTTTGGGTGGTGAGTGAATTAGCAAGTGAATATGTGAATGATAGATGAGGTATGTCAATTGCAGATAGTCCTTACCCAGACTAGCCCCTATTCTGGAAACCCCACATTTCCCAAATCTCCCTTCACTGCTTCTCGACCCTCCTCCAAATCCTTCATGCAAGCCAACTCTTCCCAATCTGCACCTGCAAACTCCCTGGTGTTTCGCCATTCAATTATGGTTTTTGGTCTATGGAGGACTTCTCAGCAAGCTTGTTAACAGACTCAAGATAATCATGCTTTGTTCGGTTCATTCTTTAACTCCCTAAAGAGATCACATGTGTCTAATAGGTATCGTGTTTCACATTCGTTCCTGCCCTTCTGATCTCTACCACTCATACAAATCCACTGCTTTTAGTCGCTCCTTTCTTATTCGTTCCCTCAACCACTGGAATTTCCTCCATTCACCATGCTTCAACCCTTTCCACCTTTAAGTCCCATCTTTTTATAACCTCCTGTTTTCGGTCTCTCCAATTGAACACCAAGTATGATTAATTTTCTGTTTTCCCAAAGACGCAAAATAAAATATAGTTTCTTCTTGTTTCTCAATCAAATGAGTGTCACTAGACTGACCACTAAAGGTGGTAGAATATTGTAAAAAACAGACCAACCAACTTGATCATTATTTTTATTCAAAAATAGTAAATCTATCACATTTTGGTGAGGTCTGAATCTTGTAATCTTCTTATAGGGGATTGAATCAAAGTGATAGGTTTAATAATGTGAAGGATTGTATGGTACCATTTCACTCTCCTCATTCATTCACATATTCATCACTCACTTAATTTTATTATTGCATACATTTATCATCTTCTTTTCTCTAGCCATTAGAGAAGTAATAAAAAATACTAATATTCATTTTATTATTATTTTTGATCCAGGCATTCAGCAAGTAAATTTTTTTTTAAATATGACTGTGTATATATAAATTACAATTTAATTTTTCATTTTATTGCAGAACAGACAAATATGGGTGAAACTGAAGGAAATGAAATCGACACAAAAGAGAAACTCAATACATTGAAAAGTTGGCTTAACAAGATAATGAAAATTGTAATGACAGACGGAAGAGTTTTAGTCGGCACATTTCTTTGTACAGATCGGGACGCTAATGTTATCTTGGGTGCTTGCACTGAATACGTCAATTTTGAAGGTAAAAAGCATTATTTTTTAAAAAATCATTAGTGGTGCTATATTGTTATTCATTGTTTATGTTGGACAACTAAAATTTCTTCTTATTTGTTTAATGAGAGTTTGAAGAACAATACCAAGGCTATTTATTTATTTATTTTATTTTTTAATGTTTTGGGTCATCAACAATAATTTTATAACAATGTGAACAGCAAATGAAACAAATAGTCATGTTGTTCTTTGAACTTCCATTAAATAAAATTTTATTGTTTAACACACATATTTCATTAGTCCGAGGTCCGTTCGAAGAGTCAAGAGTTCTAGGACTCGTGATGGTGCCAGGAAGGCACATCGTCTCAATACACTTGGACGTTTCAAACGCATCTGCTGAAAAAGAGTAAGCCAATTTGTATTGAATAAATTGTCTTATTATTAAAAAAATCATCAAACTTTTAATATTGCTTGTTTCTAGTATCTATAATATTTGGTACATAGAAGTAGTAAATTTGGACAAAATAGATTGACTGATGATTTTGAACGTAACCAATATTAGTCTAGATCATTGGCAACATACAAAGCCACCAAATTAATTTAAGGTGAAATTTTGTATTTTGTCAGATAGATTTTTTAAAAAATTTATTTCTTAAATTTTGGGAGGCTCACAAGGTGATAAATCATAATCATCTCCAGTTAAGCTGGTGCTTAAATTTTGGTTTTTAAGGTATTCATGACACTTAGCAAAATACTTAATAAACTTCATTTTATTTAGAAAAAAAGTTTTATAAATAATACATGCAGTAGCTATTTACATACTGTTAAGAAAACTTCACTATCCTACGTTTTATATTTTTAAATACAAGAAATTAAATGATGAAAAATTTACACTTTGACTGGCGTCGGCGGATTGAGCATAAGTTCGATAAAACTCTGAAATTTAAATTGGAACATGTTCATATCATGAGCTTCGGAATTATTCAGCTTTTCAATCAGTGTGAACTGCAGAGAGAGTTTTTTAGCAATGATGTACCAATATCCGTTCAGAAGGATTTTTTTATTTGATGTATGCTCTTCAGTGAATTCTAAGAATTTAATTGCCTGTGATCGTAAAACTGGTAAATACAGTACTGCTTCATCTTTTAGGAAATAATTCTTTGCTTCTTGGCTCTTATCCAATATAGAAATTAAAATTTCATAGATCATCTCGGCGATTTTAACATGCTCCTGGTAGCAGTTGTCTCTTGAGTCAAAAGGGTTGAGTTGATCTATTTTTACAAGAGTTTCAATTTCTTGTTCAGAGCACTTCAGTTGTGACCATAAACAGTTAATGCAGTATTGCGGTGGAAACAGGCCAGAGACATTGTTTTCGTTTAAAAGAAAGTTTAAGGACACGTAAGGGTTCCTGGTTTCTTCTGGTGTAGGACCTTCGACAAGGCTGTTTGCAAATTTAGAAGCTTCAACTCTCACTTCTCTAGATTCATCTTGAAGTAAATTTACAGCGGTCATCCATATTTCTGACCTAGCCTTCAGACTGTCTTGGGTCGCAGAGCGCATCATAATTGGGGATAAAAGATTTATACCCTTGGAACAGAACAGTCTCGAATGTTCACTCTTGCTCGGCTTACTCATTTGCACCAATATTGACATAATCTTATTTAACAGTTGAAAATTTGGCATTCTATCTAAAACAAAAAGTCCACAGGATACGGCTATGGCAAGACTCGACTCTTCATTGCACAGAGTTTCAATAATTGGCTCTAAATCTAAAGTAGGCACTAAATTGCTGTATTTTGATAAAATTTCAAGTAAAATATTTAAAGCAATTTCATCTGGTATTTTCTTCACAAATTTTAAAACCGCGTTTAAAGTTCCATTACTGACGACTTCAAAGTCGTTCCTCTTGATCCTTGAGCTTAGAGCTTGTAAAACAAAGATGTGAAGCTCAGATTCGTTTGTGTCCAATGCTGTATTTAAAGTTGGGAGGAGTTCATTTAGTGGACAGTCTTCTATAATTTGTTTAGAAACGATGGAAGCCCACATAGGATAACCTAATGATTTATGGGGAGAAATTTGGCTAGCACAAAGGTTCAAAATCTGTTCTCTTGCAGGTGTAGTTCTATCAAAACCAACAATCTCTTCTAAAACTGATTTACAGACAAAACTCATGTTAAGTGAGTACCGGACTGAACATAATTCCTCTATTGACTCTTCGACTACAGAATTTTGCTCTCTTAAAGCTTCAACACCTTCCTTTTCTGCCTGGAAGCGTTTGTATAAATAAAGAGTATTCAAAAGAAAACCATGAAGGCCATTTTCCGTTTTGATTTCATTCTGTAATGTCCGATCGTTAACGTAAGCAACTATTTTCCAAACACGTGTTCTCACAAGAGAAGGGAGTTGGCTTAATGAACAAAACCAAGCATTACTCCTTGCCGCTAGTTGTCTCACTTTGAACACACCACTTGACATAAGCGTTTGAAAACAACTGACTAATTTGTTAAATACACTTTCTATACTACGATCAATAATTGTAAGAATGCCAACTGACAAATTAGAGAGGAGGGTCAATAAAGGGACTAGTTTTGAATGAACTGCAAAAGCATCTTTTTGACTGCAGTTTGCTCCAGTTTCAAGTTGTGAGAGAAGAAGGTTGATGAGTTGAGGCGTATGGTAGTACAATTCTTCATACGGCAAATGATAGCAAGAGCATGTAGAGTCAAACTCGTTCTGTTTCCTTTGTCCAATTAATTTTGGCACAATTGCTCCGAAAAGTTGCAACCCTGTATTCCTTTAAAAACAAAATATAAATGTTACAAATATTGGGTGGTATTTAGTGAGCGTTAATTAATGATTATTTGGAGGTTGTGAGATGTAGTCTGGTGTGAAGTAGGTTTAGAAAAACATTGGCACGATAATGAAAACGTTTTTCTAAACCTACCGCATCTCACGACCTCCAAATAGTTACAAATAATTGAGTAACCAAATCAGTACCTGATTGCCCAACTAGAATGAGAAAGAGAATTAAAGCAAGCTGCGGCCAATTTATGATTTATCCTTGCTGTCTCTTGGGATACTGAACTGTCTTTTATAAGCACACCTAGGAGATGTAATGCCTGTGCCAAATCACCTTTACGTCTTTCAGCAAGAGACAAAACTTGGTTTAGGCATTGTTCAAGCAATGGCTGTAAAATTATGTTTATTATTTATTTAATATTAAACAAAAGTCTTGTCTTTATTACCTTATCAGGTCTTGTGTCATTCGCTACAATCCTATGAATTAAAATTATGGCTCCAGCACCTCTTGTAGATTGGGTCTGGCCGACTGTCAATCTGTCTAAAGCTTCGTTAAAAAAAAATTCCAACTCCTCGACATTTCTATCATCAGTTAATGATTTTGTTAAATTCGCTAAAGCCAACCCGGCAGCTTCCAAAGCACCTTTATGTCTTGTTTGCTTTAAAACCGAAGTTATGACTGAAAGAGATTTTATATGATCTCCCACAGGCTGTCTGTACAACCTGCTTGCCAGCATACAACAAGCCTTGAAAAATTCATTAAATATGCAATTTTATACCTTTTTAATTTTTGGTTTCAATTAATTACCTTGAGGTTCAGCCATATTGTATTTAAAACAAGCTGATGCGCGGGTGACAATTGATGTTTGTCACTTTCTTCTACATTTACTGAAGACTCTTCAATGGCAGATTCAATCGCCTCTCCCATTTCCAGAAATGAAGGAGCATAATCTTAAAACACAAGGCAATTTAATAAAGAAATAAAATTACAAATGTAATTAATACATACTCGATAAATTAGAAGTTTTTGAAGCAAGGACTTGTAAAAGATGCTGTGTCGTTGTTTCAATAATTGTTGTTAGCCTTATACCTTCAGAATGGCTTATTTTTCTGTATTCTGGGCTTTCTTTATCATGCGCTAATCTATCTATTATCCTGAGGATCCCATAAAGTGGATAGCCATTCGTTGCCGCTCTTAAAATATCTACCTTTAATTCAGAAGCATGTCTTTCTGCTAAATTAATTAAGTAAGATATCACTCTTTCTTCCTTCAGTTCAAGGCATTTGCTATCTCCTGTGGGATTTTTATAAGCGAGACATGTAACTACAAATAAAAGTAAAGCTCCTGCATCGGCTATGTAGAACATAGGGTCGCAGCAAAGTGTCAGGGCACTGTTGAACAGCTCTTTAAATCTTTGGCCTTCATATTCTGACATTTTGAAATGAGTTATAAGCAACGAAGCAGCACTTTCTCTCACTTCTTCACTCTCATCGGTCAACGTGTACAACAGAGCTTCGCGGCTTACTTCATTAGTGAATCCCCATTTTCCGACTGCTATCGCATATTTCATCACTCTCTGACCATCGGATTTTGGAGTATTTTTTCTTGAATTGCTTTCATTTGACAAGTGGCTAAGTATTACTTTGTACAATTCTAATGAGGTAGTCTTCCGCTGATAGTTGCAGCATATTTCTAAATTTGATCTAAGAAAATTATAAAGCCAATCTAAGAAAATCATGGCTCTTGTTAATGTTCGGCTTTCAACATGACTTGGTTCAATCCTTTGGTTATATCTAGTTCTTAAAACCTAGAATTAAAAGGAAATGAATTTTGGATATTGATTTGTATACAAAAGTTGAAATATTGATAGTTTTCATTGCAAAATAAACTAAAAAAGATTTAGAGTATTGCCTACCTGCAGACAAGCGTCTCTGGTACGGCATAGAAAAATTGTGAAACTGTTAATTAGACTGTGACGTAATGGTGCACAATCTGCATTAATGTTTTCAGCCAGGAATGTTTCCACAATTTGGAACTCTTCTTCACAAGGGAATATCGATGTCTTGGATGAATGGCAAACAGTTGCAAAAGCTTGCGCTCTTGTTATTTCGTCATAATGTCTCAATGCTTTCGCTAAATGAGGAGAAGTTGATATTGACGACCATCTCATCGACTCATAGCCTTCTTTCCTTCCTGTCTTTAAACAAGAAACTATTGGAAAAATTACATCCTTGTGTTTGTTCTCCAAAAGTGAATCATGTATTATTTGTAATGATATCTTATATTTTTTTATCGTGGGACTTAGCCAATAATTGAAAAAATTCTTTTTCTGCAACCTGAAACATAAAAATTCACATTTATTCAACCACTTTATTTTTTTTTTATTTGTATTTATTTATTTTTTTAAATACAAGCTTACAAATATTCAGAGGTTGTTAGAACATTTATAATGGGTTTAAGAAAAATTTGCTCCCACTGATCCAAATTCATTGAATCAATGCAGACTCTGTACAAATCTGTTCCTGCTGAAGCTAAATGAGGATAACACAGACTTGTTAGCAATCCAAAAACAATATCTTCAGAATTAGTGTGAAATGACTGGAATTTAAACAAAACAAATTTACTTTATTACAGTTATTATTATAGGTGAGATTTCTATACCTTCATTAGATTCGCTTTAGGGAGGATAGCAGCCAAGAAAAAATATTTACTCTTTGTCATCCATGACATTTCTGTTATGACTAAACCTAAAAGTGCTTGTGGCTGCAGAGGAGACGGAAGTTCTTCATCATTCTGTGTACCAGTGGCATCTGGGATTTGTGTAAAATGCAACAGTTGTTCAAGCAAGAGAAAATTCTGTTCTCTCACACCGTTCAAAGGGTTTTCCCAGTTGGAAGCAATTATATTCATTATTCTAACAGCCATACTCGAACATATTTGACTATTGATAATAGTTCTAATTCGTGAACACCATGCCACAAGTGTTTTAAAAGATAACAAAGTTAAATTTGAATAACTTAAACAATGTTTTTCCAAGATGGGAAACATTCTTCCTTGAAGAACAGTCATCCAATTAACCTAAATTTTATATTTGATTTAAAAAATATTAATTTATAAATAGCAGCTTTGTTTAAAACATACCTGACTCGAGTTCCAAAATGCATCAGGGACCTGAAGCAGTCCATGACAGAGAGAAAGCCTAAACACTTCTTCATAGATGTCAATTTTAATTCTTAATATTTCCGCAGCTTTTGATAACTTTACACTCAGCTCCCTTGAATTGTCATCCCTCGGGTGTAGAAAAGTCTTTGAATACATCATCGCAACTGCACTCGCATCTGCAACTAGCGACAGCACCAGTGCAAATGCGACGCCACATAATGTAACAGTTTCTAGAGGAATTTTTTTGGCAAGTGTTTTCAACAAAGTTTCTGCAAGTTCGGTCAAACATGGCGGCAAGAGTGCATTCGGGGTTGTTGTCAATTTTTGACACGAATTTATTATAATCTGTAATAATTAAAAATAAGAGAGATACATAAATATAACAGGAAATCTTGATGTGTATTCTTACTCTAAACTGATCAAATATTCTGTTGTTACGGAAATCTTCATTTTCTATGTCAATGTTCTTCAATGTGTTCAAACTCAATGTTAGTGCTGTTGCTATGTTCATATCGCCTGGTATTACTATTAAATATGATAAAGTAATAATAAAATAAAAGTATTTTATACAAAATTTAAGAAAAAAATTCAAATAGTACCTTTTTAAAAGGCCTCTTTGGGCGAAACTTTGCTACTAACTTCTCATCACCTGAAGTTTCAAGTGAACTGTCTGGTATACTAAAACATTTTATAAATTAAATTTAAATTAGTTTTATTTAGTACAGTTTGATAATAGAAACATAATAATTTAAAATCAAGATTCCTCCTACACTTCTTTTCAAGTTTTCCCTCCAATCTTAAAACAGCTGATACATCTTACATTCATTGTTAAATAACAAAGCTTAAAAATTACCACAACCTTAATTGAATTTTGATCATTTCCCTTAAATAAATGGATAATTTTAAAATTTACAAGCACTTTTCATCAAGGATCTTTAAAATTCATTTTCAAAGATGAATTGTAATGAATGTGAATGAATTGTAATTTTAAGTGTTATCTCATTATGAAATTGCGATTATATATAATTTTAATCTAATGTTAGAGTTAAATAGTGTACTCTTGTTTTAAAAAAATCAATATTGTATTAAATAGATTTTTGGACATGAACAGATTTGGCCTGAGGTGTAACGAATCTGTAGTTTGATCCTTTCTGATCATCTTGGTTTACTTATTCTGACTGGTTTTATCTATCAGAGTAATAACATTTATCAATGGGTTGGCCAATCAATAATTAGAGACAACCAGGCTAGATAAATCATGAAAAAAAAAAAAATCATCATCTAAACTTTTTTCTTTTTAATTTACATTTAGGTAGATACAAGTTCATGTTCATTTGCAATTTGTTTAAGAAAATGACCAACAAACGAAAAAATTAATTGTCACTCTATGTTTAAAATTGTTTGAAAACACTAATTAGTTTATTTTACATAATGTTGGGATAATATAAAATTATCTATTTTAATAACAACAATTTTAAAATATCAATACCAAATTTGTTTTATTTATCATATAAAGAAAAATTAACTTGTTTAAGTTATACGGTGACCATTTTATATGTACTTTTAGAATATCATCACTTTTAACATTTATTAATGGTTTTAAAGATTTTTTCCTCAGTTTACAGCTTTTTATTTTTCCATAACTGTTCCATTTTTTTTTAACTCCCTCAAAAATATAAAAAATTTTATTTATTGTTTAGTTTTATTCACAACAAAAATTTAGTGGTACTAGGGTCGGGATATAAAACATGTAGCTTGAACATCTATTATTATCTTGATCTGTATATCTTCATCAGTTTTATCTCTCAAGACATATTATAGCATAATCTAAAGTGATTTATTTCTTATGTTTCTTTCTTTATTTATGCTTATTCTAGTTAGTTTCTAATGTTTATCAAAATGGCAGACTAAACCAAGGAGAATAGGCAGACCAATATGATCGGAGATGATCAAGATACAAATTAAAGGTTAAAAATAAAGCGAAATAGAGAGCGATTTAGAAAAAAAGTACCTATTTACTAATTTGTTATTTCTATTTTTCAAGCTTGAAAAAATTGTGTGACTTGATACTATTTCATTTTTTTATTAAATGCATATTGTAATATTAATTGTAATAATGATCTCTTAAATAAATAAGTATGATTTTCTCATTTGGTATTCTTTTGTTTTGTTTTCCAGGCATATTAAGTCAGCACAAGAATCGTCTACATCTACTCAAGAGGGATTGTATACATAAACACAAAGTACACTGTAAATGATTTTTTAAAAATATAATTGCGATAATTTATTGTTATTATTTTATTATCTACACAATTCTACAAATATCCAATCTGTACAATTGGAAAAGTTAAAAAACAGCAACAAACGTTAAGTAGAAAGGCTAGGAGTTATTATTTTTATGCTTTGGAGTTTAGTTCTTCTAAGGGTTCGTACCCATGTTGCTCTATCTTCTCTTTGAATTTAAGATAAGACCGTTTTCTGTCAAAGTGTTTTACCTAGAAAAGAAAAAAAAAATGTAAAAATTGGAGAAAGCCAGAACAGATGCTTCATATAAAATATATTTAGTATTATAGATTTCAACGCTAAACTTGTGCACATATCTTTAAAATATACAAATCTGTATTTCCCAAAATAATCTGACCTAATAATATTCCTATTTGACTTGGCACAAGATTCAAACACATGCACTTTACTTCCCATTAGGAGATGTTGCGTTTGAAAGCCAGTTAGCTAAATTTTTTAAATGAAATTTAGTTTAATTACTGCCAGTGGTTCATTTATTGGCAATATATTGCCTGATAAGTGAAAATAAAAATTAAATATTTGTTTAAAATTATTAAAGTGAGAACAGGCATAAAACAGGACTGGAAATCGGTTGACAGGTTGTCAAATCTGAACTTTTTTTCCTGTTTAAAACAGTTAAATAAGAATGTGACAAGGAGATTCATTAGAAACTAACTTTTCATTGCTCTGAGATAAATTGGCATTCATAGAGAAATTGGACTATTTTAAATTTTTTCAATGTATCTCCATACAATTGGCAGTTTAAACAAAACATAATACATTAAGAAAAGAGAATTTTTTACACCTTCAGTTTTTAAAAACAATTCTTACATTTGCTACAAATAAATTAAACCATAAAAAAATTATCAGGGGCGTCAGTGACCAAAACAGATAAAGCATGGACACAGCACTCATCGCTGTAAAGTAAAGGTCCAGAGTTCAAATCCAGCGGCCTTGAATTTGAACCAGGCACACTTAATAAATGGGCTTTTTTTCAGTAACACTTGCAGCACCCCGAGGGTTGATAGCCCTCTGCTGTTGCGAACCCTCGTACAAAAAATAATAATAATAATAATAACTAATGAATTTTTTTAAAAATTACTAGATAAGTTATTAATCTAAAAGATAAAAAAGTGAGGTGTATTTTGACATCTAAGCTCATTTTAAATAAAATAAATTATATAGAAAAATCAGGGGAAATGTAACATAATTTTTACATTGTTATCCTAATAAAGAAGTACCTGAAATAAAAATATGAATGATTAACTGCTTAGTTTCAAGTAATTCAGATATTTCATTACAAAATATATATTTGTAAAAAAACATATGATGGTAAATTTCTGCACAAATCCATCCAAGTGTATAGGCAAACATTATTGTATTTACATAATTCATACAAACAAATAAACACACACACACACACATTAAAATAAAGTTTATAAGTTACAATTCAAAATGTAAAAAATGATTTGTAAAAATGTAAAATCTCACTACAACATATCAGATGTGTTTGAACCTTACCAAGAAATTAAGTAACATTAGAATATCAAAAAAGTTAATAAATAAACACTTCAATTTCAACATAAATAACAAAAATTATTGTAGTAGTGTGCATGTATCCATGTTTATAACATTTTCAAATATTTTTGGAATTGTGACCTTGACTTTTTCAAAGATAAGAACATGGTATAATTTTAAACCATATTGGCATATTGAAAAAGATAAATTTTTGCAAATAAACTTCTGATGGAATATAAATCCCACAGGAGCAAGCAATATGGAAGTATTAAAAAAAAATCTGCTACACTTTTGATCATTACACAATTTCTTTAAAATGAATGAAGACTTACCCACTGGACAGGACAAGACGTCTCATAAAATTTCCTTAATTGTGCACACTGTTTTTCAGGTTCGGTTGCTGTATCTAAACATTGCCAATATTTGTCTCTAGAATCCCAGCATGCTTCACGTTCTTCTTTTTTGGGGAAAGACATCTCAACCACGTTTTCTGTTTATAAAGATTTTTAACTAGGCACCAAGCGATGCCCTACAATTACTACAATTGGAGGGAAGGACTTGAAATTGTAAAAAACACATGTCTAGGTGCTGTCTGCTTCTTGTGAAATCAAAATTAAGACTGAGAAAACCTTTGAACTTACAGCTGTGAGGGTGTCGACACTCTGTGTGGTGAATAATTCAGTTGCAAGGCCGTCTTATCCGAGACTTTCAAGTCCTGTCAAAGTTATAAATAATCCTTTTTGGCACGTACAATAATTAAATGTCTATAGCCAAATTCCAATCTCATTTACTCTGTAAACAAACAAAATAATTGTAACTATTTTTTTAATTACATACAAAATAGAAATCCTTTCATTTTACAAATTTACATTAACAAGTAAAGATTGTAAAAGTATTTCCTGTCATATTATATATTTTTAGCACACATTTTATTTGAAAATTTGTGAAATTTATAAGTGTTTGGAATTCATTAATTGAATGTCTAGCATGTACCATTTCTGACGAATTTTTAAGTTTGTTTCAAATCTGATAGCATTTCAAGTTTATTGTATGTACCAATTTAACTAGTAAAAGGTTTCTACCGATTTAACAATCAACAAACAACATAAGTGGTTGAAGTGTTTTTAAATCTACTGGAAAAGAATGTTACAAACCAAGTTCCTCAAAAAGAAAATTATATCGTTTTTAAAAATTAACATTTTCTCACTTATTGTCAAATAAAACTGTTGAACTGGAATAATAATGTAGATTTTTACATATTTCTACACATTAATTTGCTAACAGTAATATTTTACTGAAACATAAAGCAAAAATGTGTTTTTGATCTACTCAATTTCTCTGCTCAGTGATAACAATTCCAGCCTCAAGAAATCACAATCAATTTTTAATACAGTTTCGCAAAAAAAGGAGCAATTTTTTCTCATTCCTCTGACACCGTTTCAAGAAATTGCAATCAATTTTGGCATTGATTCAAGAATTATCAATTTTTTGAATCACATAATTTCTGAATCATGAGCATAAAATTCTGATTGATTTTTCTACTCTTGAAGAAAAAGCTAGTATCATGAGCGGGATTCCAACCCACGACCTTTGATTAAGGTCGTGGCTTCAAATCCCACTCATGACACTAACTTTTTCATTTCAACCAAGACCTTACATACAAAGAATAATTAATTGAAAGAAGTTTGTCAATCAGACCACTAAACATAATGGATTCACACCACTTCAAACAATCATGATAAACATAAATGTCTCATTTAATAATTAATTGAAAAAAGTAATTTCATCAATCAGACCACTAAACTTAATGGATTCACACTAATTCAAACAATCATAATAAACATTAATATCTCACTTTAAAGAACCATAGACTCCTCTCTTTTTGTATAATTAAAATGTAATTTGAACTGTTTGTTCATACAGTATTTAGCTTCAACATCCTATCTTTTTAGCGTAAACAGACCAGCAACTAAATATGGTAAGGCAATGAAAGGCATCTGACAGACATATCCAGCTAAACTAACAGTCAATGCGATCAGAGATGATCAAGATCAAGCTAGATCTTCATTATCTCATAGTTAATTTCATTTTTTTTTGTCTAATGGAATGATAAATCAAATTAGACTTATTTTAATTAATTGTATGCTCAGTCTTCTGATTTAGATTATTTCCAGAGTTCATCACTGAAGATGTCACAATGTCGAAATACGTTTGAATAGTTCAAGAAATCTACGACAGACCCAATAAATGAACAAGTGCCGGTTCAGCATATTCCTAAAGATGACTCATTAGAAACGACTGCATATAGTTATACGATACATATAGTATCATCGCAATGACCTTTGTTTACCCAAAATTTTGAACAAATCAAGATATACAAGAGTAGTTTTGTTTGTTGTACCTTGTTTAAATGGCTTTGCTTTATATATTGGCTAATTCAATCTTGTAGGTGTTGAGATTTTTTTTTTGTTATTATAATCAGTCTGATGGATTTGTTTCAGGACTTGTAAGAATTCTCAAAATACTCCATTCGGTTTTGGTCAGGTTGATGTATATTATCGGTTTTATTTTTGGATTTCTTTATTTAAAGCCGTTGAATTACGACGGGGGTGTAATTTATGCCATACCGTTTTTTAGGTTGTTTAGTCAGGGGGAGAGCCGTATAAATAAAATTTACACAGTCGTCTTCTTAAAATACCTCAAAATTATTTCCAGCATATTTCTTTGAGAAAGTATTTGAATATTTAAAAACTCAGGAATATCCGACACTCACCCGTGTGCAGAAGGTACTTGTGTTGACATTTTGACAAGGGTCTTCACGGCCTATGCATACTCACCGCTAAGAATAAAAGATGAAAATTAAATTTTCAACAAACAGAAAAGAAAAGGACAAGATTTTTTTTAAAGAAAATAATTAAAAAATTGACTTGATATTTTCGCTCGCGAACAAAGAAGGTAACACGTTACAAGTTACAACTGGCAGGGATGTTTTGTTCCTGAACTAACTAGATCAAATGAACGAAGTATGTTGACTAGAAAAAAAACATACATGTGTTTTGTAGTTCACCCAGGCCCTGAAGATGACCCGAATAAAGGTCGTAACATCGGGAAAAAAAGGAAAAAGGTGTTCATCTAACTTTCAACTAATACTTAATTCCTGACTCCTCACTACTTCAACAAATTAGTAAATAACTATATTTCACTGTATTTTGTATATTTTCTTATGTGTACCTAAAGAAAAAAATATTAGTGAATTTCAATTTATTTCATGTATTCAGTTTTGAATTTAGATGTATCCATATTATAACTACCTCATTAATTAAATAACATAATTACCGTATCTCCAGCTCCTAGTTTTTTATGGGTTTACTGACAATTTATTTAACAGTTTAATGTCAATGAAAAAAAAAAACTTTGTCTTATTTTTGTCTTTTTACATAATGGATACAGCAACTTATTTAAATTTATTGTTTTATGTTCATGTACATTTTTTAAATATGTACAATTTGCAGTGTTTTTCTTTATATACACTAGAGCAAGGTATACATGCAGATTTGTCATTATTTTATTTCTCAAAAATCATTCTACAAGTCTGATTCTTATTCATGTGTAGTATATTCCTCGTAAACTTTTTTTTTTTTTTTTTTTTTTAAATTATGAGTATTTCCCATAGAGGAGAGCCATTTCCCCACACTAGCAAGAGATAGATTACGTGGAAGAGTGAAAAATGAAGTACTCGTTGCACAACAAGTGAGACAGTATCTCAAATTTTAAGCATGAGAAAGCAAAGGGAGGATAATTTGTATTTTCTTTTACATATTCAGACCACAATAAATGATTATCTATTCCCTACATATATTTTTTTTTAAATTTCCGTGCATTCATTGACATGTGGTATTTTCCAAACCACTGAGTTACATTACTCAAGGTGTTTTTGCTTGAACAGTCTAAAAGTCATCATGGGAACCATAAAAGGTGAATTATCCCACAATGAAACGTGGTGACATTTTCTATTCCAGGGGTCAAATCCTTAACCTACACAATAAATAAGAGTGGACCAAGTTGTGAGCAATGTGACACACCATGTTAACTAAATATTTCTTATTTGGAAGATAACATTTACAGAAAACAAGAGCAACACCCCTTAGTCCATGTACATTTAGCTTCTCCAACCAATTATTTCTGCCTTTATATTAATTTTGGGGCTCAGCTGCCAGCCTCTGACCTTTTGGGTGTTTAAATGTTATTTGAGGAACTTTAATAAAACACTTAACTAATTACTGTATGTACAAAACTGCCAGTTATTTATTATTTTCAATGGCATCTGAATTTTTAAAAATTACATCAATTATCCCCTTTTCTTTTCCTTGTTTGCTTTTATCTTTTTTCTTTTTCTTAATGTGGTTTCATCATTTGATTATAAATAATTTATATTTTAAAAAATATACTATTATTATTATTTTGAATACTATGATCAAAGTTGCGTATTATTAGTTTATTACTGCAAAAGTTCCTTAAAAAGAAATCTTGCACACAGAATTCTCATTCAAACACTGTCAGGAAACATTTAAAGGTATAAGAACTTGGAAAAAGGCCTTATAAAATGTCATTATAAATTTTAATAAATTTAAGAAAGCTGAAAAGTGTTGTGTGAAACAAACACTGGGGACCTAGTAACTCCTTTAAATCACTCAAAAGGTTGAGCCTTTGCCTAAAGGGTTGCAAAGTGCGACAGTTGACCAAAATATGTTACAGTCAGAACGATACGTTCTCCGCTTCGAAGATATCGAGAACAAGTTGGAAGGTTGTTGCCTATTAAAAGCCTATTGTGGATTAATTTGATGTGACCTATTCACAAATCTAGAGAGAATCACAAATTCTTTTCTCTCAAGTTCCTCAATTGGCCATTTATGTATCAACTGGCTTTATTTCTTTATTATTATTTTACTTTGTTTAAAAAACTAAATTTATTTCTAAGATGTATACATTAGGCTTAAATCCCCCCTATTTGTACCTTTAAAATAAAAACGAATGCATTTTGTTTAGTTTCAACTAAACCAAAACAAATCTGAAAAATTTATAAATGAAAAGAATAAGAATCAAGAAACATTTTGTTTAATTAACCTTTTTAACAACAACATTTTGTTTAGCAGTCACAATTGATCATATTAATTAATTCAATTAGTTATCTTTTAATCTAAGGACTTGGTTGAAATGAAAAAGAATAATTAGTTTAAATTTTTGAACGATCTACTTCATATTTTTCCTTTCCATTTATGTACTTACATTTTGTACTTTATATTATAAATAAAAATGATATTTGGTTTATTTGTCAGTTTGTTTATAAAAATACTGTAATAGTTGTGCTGTAGCATTATACTTGAATCGTAGAGAGCAGAGTTGTCACCTTTCATGGTTATCAATGTCGTGACCTCCGTGGAGGTGGAAGAGGTTGCGTTCAGCTCATAAGTTTTAATGGTTTAGCGAAGTTAACTGGAAGTTCCCTTCCCTTTTATTTTATCCCGTCCCGACCCGGAAGGGAAGATCTTCTCGAACTTCACGATTATGCTGATGTAAGTGGGATAAAAAGACTTTCAAAGGGCCGACGGGCCCGTTTCGTCTCGAATCCATTTATAAAAGAAATAATGCCATCGCTGATACTTGGCGTCGGGATAGGGACTTTTATCGTAATAACGCTCGTCTTGGCGTCGGTTGTCCTCTGCTGCATATCGCTACGGACGCAAAGCAACGTCGGGCCGATTTTTATCGTCTTCTCGACCGTTATCCTCACGATTCTTTTTGCTATACCGAGAGGTCCCGATAGCACTCATGTCACCGCTCAGAAGGTAACAGGAAGAGGCGATGATACTATTATTTCCTTCTCAGATTGATTCGTAGTTGACTTCTCTTTGAAATCACAGAGGCACCTTTTAGTTTTTGACAATTGCACCATTTTACACTTCATGAACTTAAAGTAGATTTCACAAGTGAAATGTCATCTTTCTCTCACTTCCATTTCGTAGATAGTTTTGGGTGTTCTTTAGTATAAGCCCCAATTAAAATCGATATCTCTACTATTTTCTCATGGATCTTAGCATTCAGTAATACCATTGTAAACTATACTTTCTTTAGTGTAAAGGGGAATAAACGGTCCTAGTGAAAGTGGAAATTTATACTAAAAAAACTGACTTGTGAGAAACTGTAATATAACTCCCCTTGTGATTATGTTTGTCTGACCACTGTGTTGGTTCATTGTGCTTCACTTTATTTGCTTATACTAAAAAAACTGACGAGACAAAACTTAGTATAAGTGCCCTCTCACAATTACGTTGTCTGAACACTGTGTTGGTTCATTATGTTTCACTTTATTTGCTTATACTAAAGAAACTGACTTCTGAGAAACTTCAGTATAAGCTCCCACTTAGATTATGTTGTCTGACCACTTTTAGTTCTTTGTGCTTCACTTTATTTGCTTATACTAAAAAAAAAGACTCGTGAGAAACTTCAGTATAAGCTCCCACTCACTGTTATGTTGTCTGACCACTGTTGGTTCTTTGTGCTTCACTTTATTTGCTTATACTAAAGAAACTGACTTGTAAGAAACTTCAGTACAAGCTCCCTCTCACATATTTGTTGTTTGACCACTGTTGGTTCATTGTGGCTCACTTCATTTATCAATACCTTCAATATCGATAATAATCTCTGTATAATAATAACACAGTTTGTAACATTTATCTGTTAAGCATTTGGATTGTAACAATCTTGTACAGGCTCAAGGAAAGCCATAAATGGGTCCACTTTCCTAATCTGGACTATCTTTGCCAAAGAAATTCTGCCAGGTGGTTAGGAACTTTTTTAACTTTGTCAGTGTGAATCCCTATTTTGACAGAACACCATGTAGACTCTATAGTCTGAGTTTGCGCTAAACTTATAGGATCTACAAAGTGGACTGAACGATTGATTGTCAGTTTTTCAAAATGTAGAGTTGTCAGTGTACAGTAAGCATGCCATTGATCAGAAATAATCAGTTGCCTCTTTCAATCATCCCGAATAATCAAGTTGGGATATATTTTCATCTTTGAATTTTTGTTTTGTCAGTTTCAACAATTATGCTTGAGTTGCCAATTATTTTGGATTTACGGTTTTCTGCCCAAAATGAACAACTTCTCGTCAGTAGTTCAGCCAGTCAGAGATTGTAGCCAAATTAGTGGTCACGTCATCATTAGATGTTTTCTGCTGAAGAAACATCATTTTTAATATTATAGCCGAAATAATAATTTAGCAGCACTTTTTTGTAGGACCCACAATGCCTGCTAAAAAAAAGAATTCTTGAACACAGGAATAGTTTTGTTGTATTTTTCTGCACCCATCTTCAAAATTGCATGGGCTCACTTAATGTTGACAAAAATCTATTGGTAGGGAACAGACAGGGCAGTTACGATGACTCATGATCAACCCCTTGTCTTAATTATATGTTACATACTTTTTTTTTATTTTTTTTTTTTTATTGGCCTTATGATCTTGCATATTAGCCATAGTACGAATTCTTGTGTGTTCAAATTGGGGGTTATCGGGAAAAAAGGGCCAGAGGCGACGGTGGGAATCGAACCCACGACCGCGGCGTGAGAGTCTCTTATGCTAACCACTCGGCTACCGCGGTCCCCCATGTTACATACTTGTTAAATGAAAACTATGTTTAAGAACAAGTTAAACTGACTTTACAACAGTGTAATCAAGACTATAGATTACAGTTTTTGTCTAATGAGTTTCTTTAGAATAAGCCCTTTTATTTCTTTTATTGTATTTTTTTTAATGAAATTTTTTATTTACAAACAACTTTCAATTTAATTATTGTTATTTTCTTTCTATTCACAATGGTTAGTATTTTGAAAGGAACCTGTTGAATTTGACACAGAAACAAGGAAGACTTTTTCAAAAATGAGGGCATGTACTAAAGAACACCCAAAGTTTTGTTTTAGTTTAGTTGATTTCTCTTCTTACAGTTATTTCCATTCAAATTTTAATGATATTTCACTTACAAACTTTCAATAAAATTGCATTACAAATAGTTGTACAATTCAACATTTGCATTGTACAAGCTTCAATTTTGTTTATTACATAATAAATATTGTTTTTTTCAAATGGAATTCAAGGTATTTTAAAAATTCACTAATTTTGTGGTCCGCTTGACCAATTAAATCATTACAATTAATTAAGGTTTTTAGTTGAGATGAAAAAAAGTCAATGGCACAAGCGGGATTCGAACCCACGATCTTCGGCTAAATACGCCGCTGCTCTACCACTTGAGCTATCGTGACCTCGATCCACTCGGACATCAACTTCCTATCTCAACCCCACCTTATGAGTTTTCCCTCCTTTTTGCCATTTTTTGGCGTATCTAGCCGAAGATCGTGGGTTCGAATCCCGCTCGTGTCATTGACTTTTTTTCATCTCAACTAAAAACCTTAATTAATTGTATTTTAAAAAGAAGAATTATATGCAATTAGACAATCAATTTTGAAAATATTTGAAAACAGATTATTATAAAGATTACATTATACAGTAAAAACATTATAAAGTATGTAATACTATCACTGACAACACATAGGCTGGCCAAACACATTGCAGGAGAGATTTACCTGTACCAAAAAACCAGAATTGAGTGTCGACTACTTCTGGTGAAACTGCACAGGCATCACGACCTGTTCCGATAACCTAGACCAGATTGAAATTCGATTCTTTCTACCTGCACAGTTGTCTACATTAGGCTGTGTGTATGTGATCAGTGATATTGAAAAGCTGTGTTGTGAGGTATGAGAATTCCAAAATACATAGACTGAAAGAAAATCACAATATGTGTATTTATTTACATAATAATAAAACATTTTGAGAAATACAATGAAAGAGAACTTAATAAAAAGAGCTTGGGATTAATCATTGTTTAAAAAAATTGTAAAATTTATTTCTTGCATATTGTTCTCTCATAATTTCTCTTTGGGGACTATCTACAGATATTTCTTGCAATTGGTAGTTATGCTCAACCGACGTGTTATTCTTCGTTGAACTGCTGAATGTGTCATTGGCCTTACAGCAATCATTTTGTTTGTTTATTGCCAAGTATATTTTATTCGGGAATAGTGATTATTTCATTGATTATTCGGAAATCGTGAGGTGCAGTCTGGTGTGACGCCACACATTATTTACATTAATTTTTTTCCACACCTTAAAGGCCTTGGGTAAGATTATGAATCTTAATCTAATAATATTTAAGTGTTAATTTAAGAATATTTTACTTTCCTGATGGAAAAGATTTGCTTAATGACCCTAAGTTTTCATCTGCCAATCTAAATGAATTGTTGACAGGAATGATAAAATGAGATCATTACTTTTCCATTTATCTTTGTCGGCCTATAGACAAGAAAATTTGCCCTAAAAGAAAATCTGTGTAATGTTTTTTGCAAAATGCAAACTCAATGTTAAAAAGGTTTGTCTTCATTCATTTATTTTAGTTAAGTACTTTTTAATAGCTCATAAAATAATTTTAGATAATTAATAATAGATACAAAAATATAAATAATATAGTTTTATAAATCAGGAATAATTATATTTTTTAAGGCATAAATAATTTTCAGCTTGGACTTTAGTTTGAGGCAAAAACTATGAACTATTCTATTATTTTTTCTCACACTTCTTGCATTTGTTCTTTTATTATAAATATTTTTCTATGTTGAATCTTTTTTTTTGTTTTGTTTTTACAGAGTGAATACCCACTTTTTATCTGGCGGCTTTGCCTCCTTTGCCTTTTAGCGATATCAACCTTAGGGGGGGTTGTTTTCCTGATTGCTGACTCTCTCACATCGATCCATCGCCCAAAACTTTTAAAAGTCTGAAATGGTTTTAACGACTGTTCTTCCCTCTGCTTCTACATTCTTACGAGGGCTGAGAAGGCTGAAGAACCCGTTTCTCTCTTCTTATCAAGTCAGGGATAAGAGTTTTTGTATAAAAAATAATGAAGAATTTTTAAGCAAAGTTAGTAAACCAATCAGTTAAAATTATGGTTACATCAATAATTGTTGGAATTTCACAGGTGATGAACAGCCAAATTCCTGTAATAGTCAACTTCCATGCCGAATGGTGTGATCCCTGTCACATCTTGACGCCAAAGCTCCGAGCACTCACCGACCAATCAGAAGAGGTCAACCTTGCTATTGTTGATGTAGAAGCTAACCCTGAACTCGTTCACACTTTCGAAGTCAAAGCTGTTCCTGCAGTTCTGGCAATAAGAAATGGCCTTGTAGTCGACAAATTCATTGGCCTAGTCGATGCAACCATGATCGAAAAACTCGTTAATAGGTTAACTGGAAAATGTATGAAATAATACCAAATGTTTAACACTTCCTATGTATAAACTTCAAATCAACTGTATATTAAATTGGCCAAAAATTATTTAACAGTCAAATAAATGTAATCATATTAATATTAGTTATATTTTAAGATAAACTCATATGACAATAAAAAATTAGGCTTTAGTCATTTTTTTCTTTTTTTGTTAATTTTTATTAATTAATGTTAATGTCACAGCCTTAATTATAGTAAAAATTAAATTGTTGTTCTTTTAGACTAGTTGAAAATTAAAAGTTTTAGTCTTGAATCATGACATTAGCAGTAATAAGGAGTTACGAATATTACAATATTTTGGTGTAAATGGAACAATTTAAAAAAAATTTAATTTCTTAATTATTGGTTGATAATATAAAATTTTATAAATTTATCATAAAAAAATGTAAAAACTAAAAGCACTGTGAATGTTGCATTATCACAAAAGTTATCGTTCTTAAATTTACACTTTCACTATTCTACTTGTTAATGTTTTGCTTTTTAAACATTAATGTGCATCTAGTTTATAAACAACTTAATAACATTCGGCCAGTTTCATTCGATTGTTTTCAAAGTAAATGTTTTATAATGCAATTTTATTTTATTTTTCCCCCCTAGTGTAGTGTAATATTTATATTTTTATAAGAATAGCTGGTCAGCCTTTTTGGAAGGCAAGAATAGTTTTTTATATCATAAGAAATGTTCAGTGATTATTATTCTTGAAATTATATCAATAATCAAAAGAAGCCACGTTTTTATCAGATAATAATAAAAACTATTTCAGTGCAATTTGTTTCATTATATATTTTGTAACCACATTCAATACACAAAAAGCACTAGTTTTTATTAAATTTGAATAAATTAAATATAATGAATTTTGATTTATTGATACGATTGTTTTGTAATATTGTATCAAATTGATTGTTTACAAGAAAAACAGTTTTTTATTTAACATTGAAGTAATTTTGTACTTAATTCTGTGTTCATTGGTAATGACAATAAAGCAATATTTTGTTTAAACAAATAATGTTCAAAATTTTCATTTTTTCCAAGAAAAACCGTCATTTCAATTTTCTAGTCTATCTTTATGTTACTTATGTTCAATGTTACTATGTCTAGTTAATTAGTATTGTAGTTAATAGTTTGTTTAAAATAAGAGATAATAATTAAATTTGTATCACTTGCCTTTTTATAGTTTTTATTCACATTGTTATTGTTGTATTATTAATAATAAAGACTATTTTAAATTATTGAGTCTCAATTTGTTTAAAAATGATTAAATTTGCATGTGAATACAAATAATTTGCATTAATTTAAATTAACAGGTGTAGATAAATTTTGATGGTCACTGATCTGTGTGAATGTTCATGCTAGTTTGTCTACCCAGCTGGTTTGATCTGTCTGTTGCATTTTGTACAATATCTGTTTTGCACAATCCTCACTATCGAAGATAATGAAAAGGTGAAAAGTGTCTCAAAAAAATAAATAGCATTTTTATATTAAAATTTCTATGAATATTTCTTCCTTTTGTTGATTGTTTGACTTCCTTTAATTAAAAATTCTTATGCAGTTAATTTATAGATTGATTATATTCAGATAGGCTCTTTTTAAATTGAAACTATTCTTTTGTATGGGTTTATTAAAATTTTTATTACTGGCCATTTGCAAGTAGAAAAGACAATTTTTTTAAATATAAACATTGTAAGCCTCTATAGTGATTCGTTTGGATGTGTATAGGGTGATAATTGGTAGAAGACAACCGGTGTATAGAAATTAATAAGGGAACAATAAAATAACATAAAAATAAAAATAACAAAAAACATTCAGTGCAGTACATTGGGTCGTATATCTTCGACACCGCTCGGCCAATTTCGTTCGGGTTACTGCTGCCCAACATCGGCTTTGGGACTCTAGTGAACCGTAGAAAAACCTCTTGCTGTTAGAGATGTTCGGTACTGACTGCTGGTACTAGACTTGTACGGTCCGGTTTCTAAATTGAACTTGAATCCGTTTATGTTTATGTTTGTTTCCGTATTGTAATACTGTTCGTTGGAGATGATATTCAAGCGGTAGTCGATGAAAATGGACCAGACATTACGTGCCCACCTGGCGAGCAGAAAAAAATTCGACGATGAAGGTATTCCCACGGCAACTTCGGAAGCGCAGAAGGAAGTCGAGAAGATCGTGGAAGACGTGTACCTGGAATACAGCTTGTCCAAAGAGGCCGTCGTCAACCCGAATTTCCCCGAGTTGAGGAAAGAACAGCATATAAGCTACCTGGAAAAAACGCTGTCGAGTTTGAGCTCCTATTTTGAAAAACTTGATGTTAGTAGGGCATGGTTCTGTTACTGGACTTTGCACCCACTAGCTCTACTTCATCACGAGGTGGATAGGTCTAAGAAAAAGGCTGTAATACATTTTCTAAAATTATGCCAGGCACCGGATGGCGGTTTTGGAGGTGGACCGATGCAGTACCCACATCTAGCCACTACTTACGCCTCGGTCAACGCCCTCGTCATATTAGGCACGACTGAGGCTTATAAAGCCGTTGATAGGGCTGCTTTGACTAAGTTTCTCTGGTCTCTCCGAGTAGGAGATGGATCTTTTTACATGCACGAAGGTGGCGAGATCGATGTAAGGAGTGTCTACTGTGCGCTCACTGTAGCTAAGATACTTAACATTTACAGTGATAAACTCTTTGAAAATACGGTTGATTGGCTTGTGCGGTGTCAGAGTTATGAAGGAGGATTCTCAGGTGAACCTGGCATGGAAGCACATGGCGGTTACACTTTTTGTGCAGTAGCGGCATTGGTTCTTCTCAACAGTTATCACCGATGCGACATCCAGTCATTGCTACGCTGGACTGTAAACCGGCAGATACCGTTCGAAGGCGGTTTCCAAGGTAGGACGAACAAACTTGTCGACAGCTGTTATTCCTTCTGGCAAGGTGCTTCTCTTGCAATGGCAAACATGGCCTTGCTCACTGAAGAGGGTATTGACCGTCCTAAATGTGACTCATGGCTTTTTGACAATCGTCTGCTCCAGGAATACGTTTTGATCTGTTGCCAGCATGCTCAAGGAGGATTTCATGATAAGCCTCACGTGAACCGTGATGCATATCACACTTGCTATGCAATGAGTGGTGTCTCAATCGCCCAGAACGTCCCACGAGGGAAGGGAGAAGACATCAGTGGTGGTGACAATATCTTGGATCGGGTCCATCCTGCTTATAATTTACCTATGGATAAATTAGCCGATGCCTTTAATTATTTTTATAACACTTTTGTAGAAGAACCATCGTAAAGTTTAACCTCTCATTTGTATGAATAGTTTTTCCAATATCTTTTATTAAAATAAAAAATGAAATTTTACATGAGTGTTTTATCAACACTGTCCATAATATAAGAAGTAATTTCAACTTATCTTGATCTCCATATCATTCAATTTGTGATAAATGAATCATTATTCAAATTAAATTATTAATTAAAATACAATTTGATAGACTTTTTGATTTCTTATAATTAAACAAAAGATAAAAACATCAACAACAGTTTAGTGTACATTAAAGTGAAAATGTCATTTTGTGACAATACAAGGAAGAATAAAGTTTTTGATGTTGTCCATTATATTTGGAACAGCACTATAATAATAGGTTTTTACTAAAATATTTATTGTAACAATAACATGATTAAAATTTAAAAAATCCCAGTTTCAGTACCTTCCACTGGCTTTCTTGCCGGCTCGGAGTGACGAGAGGAAAAAACATTATTAGCAGGATTATTCGGAAATCGTGAGATGTGGTCTGGTGTGATGTAGGTTTCAGAAAAACATTTTCTTTATCATTCTGAAACCTACATCAAACAAGACTGCATCTCACGATTTCCGAATAATCATCAACTAACGGTCACTAACCACCACACATTATTAGCAGGCTGTAACTGAAATAGGAAGCACCCGGTGAGTCTTACTTTTTTCCTTAGTCCCTTTTCCCGGAGTGCGCCTGCTTTCTTTGTCTGTAAATAAATTGTAATAATAAATTACAAATAAATAAAACTCAGAATAGATTAAACCTTATTGTAGTCATAATTGACCTTATTAATTTTTTTTTAAAAAGATATTTCAACTACAAGGTAATATGAACCCTTGGGGTGCCGGTGTTTTTGAAAAAAGCACATTTGTCCTTGCCCTGCATGACGGGTTCAAATGCTGGTCGGGCTCTTGCCTTACAGTGGTGAGAACTATGTTAATGTCTAAACCATTGTGGCCACCGATGCCTCCTTATTACACTTTTTATCTAAGGTCTTGGTTGAGATGAAAAACTAGTGCCATGAAGAGCCGAAGGTTGTGGGTTCAATTCTCGATCTTTTTTTTTAAATCTCAACCAAGACCTTAGATAAATGGTTAAGTAGTGAGGAGTGGTCAGGTTAGATGTATGACAAACACCTTTTTCATTTAATTGATCATCATTCATCCTAATCAACATATTTTTGTAACTTATCCAGGCCTTAAAGATGACCCGAATAAAGGTTGAGATGTCGGCAATTAAATGAAAATGGTGTTTTTCTGAAATAGATCTAACCTGACTGCTCCTCATTTCTTCAACAACTTAACAATATTAAAGTGGGGGCATTCCATTCTAGTAGAATTTTATAGGGAGTGATTTCGACTAAGGGCAGTTCTCAGCAAGGATTGCATTAAGTGATATAGCGGATCCATATCTTTTTTTTTTTTTTTAATTCCCTCCACAAACTTAAGACATTCAGCGTTCCATTGGGACTATGGGATCCAATTTCAATGTTGAGAGAAATTATCAACTTAACACTTAGATGTTTACCACTTATTTTTATTACATTATGATTCAATAATAAATCATTTAATTTTTCTAAAGGTTCTGTATTAAAATTTGGCTTGTGAATTTTTTGGAAAAATAATTTTAGTTGCTTATTTAAAACTGGTATGACAACATGGTATGACATTTCAACATAACACAATACTTTTACACATATTCGAAATTTATACATTGATGTACTGTAATGTTTCCTTAAAAAAAACAACAAACAATTTTTAAAAATTTATTTATTTAACATTTTCTTCATTGGTTTTTCCCTCAATTGTAGCCTATTTGCTGCACAGCATATCATTCTTGTTTGCCCATGCATTGGTTAAAATGTGACACTGCAGCTTCACGCTTCACTGTTATAGAATTGAAATCGTCACCTTCAATTTATTCATAATTATTCCACTTCCATAACGCTATTTATTATTTCATCATTGTTTTTAATGTAAATTTGTTCTCTTTCAGTCCATAATAAAACGTCGTGTTCTATGTTGTTCAGCCTCTGTGTCTTTTTATCAAATTGGGTGACTTGTTGGCTGATGTCATCAATGTCTGTATATTCTTCACGGATGCCCATTCCCAGCAATAGATTCTACTTGATGTAGTGTAGTTTTTGATTGAACTTCCTTCACTAGAGTTAAGAAAAATACATCTTTAATATTAAAAGCTTTCAGAGTAGATATCTTGTGCAACAATGTGGACGATTAGAGCGTTTTTGTATTTGAACTTGACTTTTTGGAATAGATTTTGTCCTTTGGTTGCAAAAGAGGCATACAATTTGGTGGAAAAACAGTTATTTTATAATCATTGCTGACTAACACACTTTCATCTAGATGAACATCTATGGTGAAAAAAGAATGACTTTATATTAAAGATTCTTGAATTTAAAATTTTTCTCACTTATGCAATAAATTCATTGTGAAACCATTCCTTAAAAAGAACAAACTTCATTCAAGCTTTTGCCTTTGTAAAAAAGTGGAAGTGTGCAATTTTTGAACACACAAGGTTTCCAGTAGCAAACATTCTTAGCTTATGTTTACCTATTGTATTTGAGCAAGGTATGAAATTTATTTTCTCTTTAGATATTTGTTGTTCACAGGCTGGAACTTAATTTTTATGAACTAAATCTTGTTGGCAAATGTCTCCAGAACAGGCCACTCTCCTCAGCATTGTAAAGATAACAAGAATTAGAGAATCAGTCATGTAATCAGATTTCTTGTTAAATGGCTTTACTCATGCATTATCACTTGATAAGTTTTCTACTGTTCTAGATAGTTAATAGTTGCAATGCTATTTATCTAACCAATCTTCATTAGCGTTAACTTTTTTGTGTACATTTAACCCTACAATTCATACATTTTGTTCTTACTAAGAGACTTTCCCTTATACCTTCACATATTTTTCAGCATTGTCACTGGTTAGGTAGGATAGTTTATTTGGCATTGTCGCTGATGGCGGTAAAAGTTTTATTCCTTCTATTTGTAAGTCATGTATATCCAGTTTTTTAAACAATGGAAACAAATTTTGTAGAAACCACATCTTTGTTTGCATGATATGAAAAAGGTGTAAGCCATTTTTTTTTTCCACCATAGAAGCGTTTTGTGGGTTGTTGGGTAGTAAGATAGCTTTTGAACTCCTTATCCTTGATGTACTTACAAATTCTGATTTATTTACTCACTTCAAATGAAAATTCCACCCAAACAATTTTAAGGCATTGAAAAGATAATTTGGTTTACTTTGAACATACTTGATTTTAAATTTGAACACAGATGTTCTTGTTAAGTAGCTGCCTAAAAAATTATCGAGTTTCCTTGTGTGATCACTTAATTTTATTTCGATTTCTAATCTAACTTTGGAAATTTTCATTTTCAATTGGCAACCTTATTAGACTATTAATATTGAAACTGAAGCCTAGGAAGCAAGTTTGTAGGACTTAGTCCTCTTCACTCATAACCCAAGGTGCTATTGTTCTTGTAGCGTTTGCTTCAATGTTCAGACGTCCTTGGAGATGCGATTAACGTTTTTGGCATATCACATTACCCAGTAATGTCTGGTCTTCTCACATATCAAGAGGTACCAACCTAGTTTCTTAGTTTGTTTTCAAATTTTTATTTGGTTGTTATTCTTTTTGGCACAGCCCCACAACTGTACGCAATTATCCAGATTGATTTAAGGATTATTTTTGCACATTGTTTTTAAATTCTGATTTTCTCTATGTATGATTATTGGCTTTATTGGAACTGGTTGAAGTTGCCAAGTATGCTGAATATTCTTGTTCATTGCGCTATGTACAGTTACAACAAAACCATTCGTTGTAATGAAACGAAAAAAAAAATTATGTATATATTTTTTTCCTTTTAGAGTTGATGATGGGTGTTGGTCTACAAGTTGGTGAACTCGTGCCATCACTGGGTCACTTACTGGGTCTGTCTCCATTCACGGTTTTTTTGTTGTAATTATTCAAACGCGTTTTGGCAATCTTCAGTGAGAAACTATCACTGAAAAGGGGGTCTAATGGGAGAAAAATGTTTCAGCCTGCTAATAATTGTTTCTCCTTTCACCACTCTGAATTGGTCAAAATGCAGGAGAATGCTTTCTCCTAAGGATTGTAACATTTTTCTCTTTTAAATTTTTGGTGAGGTTGTAGTAAAATAGTCCTTTTTATTGTACAAATTGTAGAAAGACAAAAACAAAAAAAAGGACTATTTTAAAATATTTATTAAATATTTTTTATTATTAATCTTGTGTTGTTACATGTCAGAATGTTTTATAAACAAAAATTTATATTATGGAACCAAACTTTGTTGAACTTTTAACAATTGGTTTTTGTTTTAAATCTTCTTATCCTGTAAAATCTTACTTCATAGTTGAATAAATAACTACCAAAACATAAATGAATGTTACATCTGGTTGTTAATTGTTTTGATCTTAGAAATCAATAAAAAAAATCTTTAACTTGATAATTAATCAAGGTGCACATTTTCAGCCAGTTCTGCATAATGCCTTTTTGAAAATCATTGATCACACCCACCCATTTGGTCTGGTCATTCATCTCAGACAAGGATGGTTAAATAAGACACTGGAATGGCTTATCTAAACATCTTTTTTAAAGTGTCAGTTGTATCGACGACTTTTTTACTCACAAATAATCTGGATCTTGGTATGGTCTGATGAAAAAAACAAATTCAAGCTTTCGACCTATTTTTAAGGTCATCATCAAGGCAAAACAATCTTGTCTACAAATTGACCTAATTAAGTTGTTTATAGGTGGTTTCAAATTTCTTTGAAGACTGATTCAGTCCAACATTCAATAAATTGGCAATGTTGGGCCTGGGTCACTTCAAAGAAATTTTACCAACTACTAAAAACTTAATGATGTCAATTTTTAATATGGTTTAGGGGGGAATTGAGTAGCATTAAAACCAGTTTCTCATTGGAACGTCATATTGGCACGTCACTCTTACAATTCATGATGAGACGTGTCAACCTGACAATGAGCATTTACTGCTTGAAATCCAGATAGTTATTGTAATAATAATAAATCTGTAGTAGTGAGTAGAATCATCATTTACAAAAAGTGAATCGACATACTTACCCCACCTTTATTATTTCTATCTTTAAGATTGTTTTGCCCTGCTTTTTTTTTCCTTTGTACCAACTGGCCATAAATCTATTATAGGGATTAGTTGGGGCTCCCTATCTTTTCTTCTATTTTCTTAATTTTTTTTTTTAACTATTACACTCCTCAATTCAAGAGGGTTTTATAAATGTCATTGTACTCCACCACCAATACAGATTTGTAAATGATGATTACTTTAAAATAGGTCAAAAGATTGGCAGATAACAACTGAATTTGTTTCATCACCCAGACCATACCAATATCCAGATTATTTGTAAACATCTTTTGAAATCTGCATTCCTACTATCTGTTCTTCAGTTAGCAGGGATCATACCCATAAAATATGCGAAACATGATCTTCAAATTGTAATGTGATAAAAATGACTACATTTTTACTTGGCATTTTACTCTGGTATGAACAAGCCTATTATTGTCTTTTCAACAAGCCACTGTAATTTCCTTTGAGAAGGTCAACACACAATAAGAAAAACATACATGCGGGTTTTAACACCCAAGAGATCTGTCTTAGTAACTTTTTTTTTAACTCTTGAACGAAATAGACTGGGCAAATTGTAAAAAATTTCATTTGTGCACCTATTATAAAATTAATTATATATTTCCATTTAATTTAGCATTTCTATCACTGCTACTACATGATCTTCAGGAACATTTGATAATAATACAATCATTGTAAAATGGAAAAAGTTTACTACCCACTGCATTTTCATCATTGAGTTAAAATAAATAGCAAAGTTTCAATTAAAAACTACAATAATAAAGTTCACCACAAAACTGACTTTTTATTCACCAGAAAGTGGATATTGACAATTTTTTTTTTTTTATAATTGAAATTTTATTTAATTGATAATTACAATACAAAACTTTGTTAAAATGCCATACAAAACTGTATTTATGATTATTGGAAAATAATTTACTTAAATTGTGTACTGCTTCTCCCCTAAAGCACACTGGTCTGAATGGGTTCCACTTAACAACTATCGGCTCTGAACATTGAGGCAGAGATTATGTAGGTTTGTATCAAAAAATAAAAATTCAGTTCATCTTATTTCTTACAGAATGCTTGATTATATAATAATTACAATATTAACTAGTTTTACAATCAACGAGTTAATTTTCACTTACAATAAAAGTGTCAATTCTGTTTCATTGTTTATACTGACCGTTAAGATCGCACATATCATCTCTAATGATGAATTTCATTACAGGTGTCTGGTTGGGGTTTTTTCACAGGAAATATTCGGCTTGTGGCTTTTTTGATGGTACGCCACGAGAATCTTGTGGTGCAGCTTCAAAAATTGTGAAATCCCTTTGTAGGTGTTCATTTAATTCTAATATAGCTGCCACATTTCCACACCTGTAGGGAGAATAATGGTTATTTAGTCATAAAATATTATCTAAAGATGAGTAAATGACATACCTGTAACAATAATTTGGTGCGGACCAGACAGTAAGAACAGTTTCATTGAAATGCCATTTGTACCCCTCCATCACTAGCTGGTGGGCTCTACAAATCATGTCTATTTGGTTGGCTATGTTGAACTGGGCTACGACGTCAGATCCAAAAAGATAACCAGCGCCTCTCGGAGATACGCCCCAGCCTTGGGTATCTAAAGAAAAACAGTAAACATAAATCATGATAGAAGAATAATTTGTAAAATAATTTTTGAAAAAATAAGATTTGTAGGTTCAGTATGTATATATATGTTACAGGCAAAAAGTGAATAATTGGTCATTATGTTAAAAAACTATAAGTATTCCAAATATTCCAATAATGTTATTATTATTATTAATTTTTAAGGGTGTTTTAATGGCTAAGGTCATTTCACGCCCTAACAACGCAAACCTTCTATCTTAGTTTAGATATATTCCTTCTGAGTGCTATAAAGCTCTGACTCCAAACATTCACTCGTAAACTAATTTATCCTATTGCCATCCAAGCTTTAATTTATCCTTTTAAAATTCTTAATTTGGAAGGCCAAATGTATGCAAAAATCCCATTTTAAATTACATATAAATTTTTTTTTTTAATTAGAATTTTGAATTTTTGTTCCATAATTTAAACATTTCCCAAAGGCTTGTATGGCTAATAATAATAATAATAATAATGGAGTCAGATTAGCAACAGTCTCAGCATGAGTATAGACTCATCCTTATCCTTTTATTCTTCCATTCAAATATGATAAACTAATTCTACATAAGAATAATAAGAAACAAAAAATAACTTTTTTTTTTTTTGAGGGAGCTATCTTTCTTATTTAAATTGCGATTTTGGACAATAAATTTGAGAAAGCTGAAAAGTGCTCTTCGAAAGAAACACTGGGGACCCAGTGACTCCTGTAAATCACTCGTAAGGTTGAGCCTTTGCCTAAAGGGTTGCAAAGTGGGACACTCGACTAAAATGTTTTACTGTCAGAATGATACGTTCTCCACTTCGCATAAATCGAGGACAAGTTGGAAGGTTGTTGCCTATTAAAAGCCTATTATGGATTAGCCTGATGTGTTCTATTCACAATCTAGAGAGAATCACAAGTTCTTTTCTCTCAAGTTCCTCAGCTAGCCATTTATGGACAACTGGCTTAATTTCTTTCATATTATCTTTACAGACATTCCATCTTGTCGCCCACTTTCGTTTGATAATATTTTTAACATAAACGACTATATCATCTGGAGGAAATTGATCTGTTCTTTGTGGATGGTTTGCAGCGTTCCTTGCCTGTTGATCAGTTTTTCATTACCAGAAATGCCGGCACGACTAGGAACCCAAACGAATACCACATGTTTGTTAAGTGTTCTGATTTCATAGAGATATTTATGAATTTCTAAGATGTATGTCCAATACTCTTATTTTACCAAATCCCATTTCAGCAATATAATCAGTGTACAAATTGAATAACAAATTATCATCATAAAACGCTATTTATTTTTATATAAAATAGGTATTTAATGTTATTACCATTACCTAGCTAATGAAATAATAAAAAACATACACCTAGTAAAATATTGATAAAAATACTAAAAAACGAACAATAGATATGTAGTGTTTTTATTCAAAAAGTACGAGTAACGTATTGAGGGATGTAAAAATAAAAATCATATTAGAAATCTAATCAATACTATTTTTATTGAAACAATTGGCACAAGCACATTTTGAATTGCAATTTTTTTTTTGCTTTACGGCAGTTACACTTTTTACTTTTGCACCCGCTTTTGCAACAGTACAGCAACAGCTGTACCCCTGACCTCCTGACACAGAAGACTTCCTTGTGCACTCTTTCAATGCTATTTCCAAATCAGGCACTTCTTGAGGAGAAATTAAATTTTTCTTTATAAATTGTAAACTCATTCCTGGCGTATAGTTGCAATAATCTTCCATGCTTTGTTCCCAATTTGTAAAGGTTGTTTCCCTCAACAGCCACTACTGTAGCTAAATTTTTCTTCCATCACTCCTTGCCCTATCGACAACTGGTACTCTCACAGTATCGCCAACACAAGCCACTGGGCATTTTGTGTTGGACAATTGGATCATTTTTTCTAATTGTTTTGCTAAACAGGGCAGGGCTTTCCCTTGTCCTCTTAGCATGAGTAATTTTGCTTTGGATTGGGTCATCATCAACATTCACATATTAAGTGATGATTTTTCAGTTGATGCTCAACCACCTCAACGTTCTCTTCTAACACTCGGTTTTCAGGACCCATGGCGTCGTTGTGGCTACACATTTCGTTTTCATCGGTATCACCCGCATTGTTGCTTTCATTAAGAGCATCAAGGTCTTCTTCGGTATGAATATTAGATAGTGCTTCATCAGAAACAAAAGACCACACCAACTTTCAACTTTGTCCCAAACATTGCCTCATAGGGACAATCAGCACAACAAGTATAAAATATAACACCTCGTGTTTTGTTGTTGACGGCTGATAACATTGATAAGTTGATAAAACATGTGGGAAGGCAACTCTAACACGCCCGAATGAAACCGAACATCAATCTTTCTGTCTTCTTTGAGATTTTTTTCAATTTGCTCAACAATGTGCCAGCGTAATGCAAAATGACTGGTCTAAGTGATAAAACGCAAAGGAAAACACTAATTTAATCACATGGCACATTTTCTGTGGTTATTATTCATATTGCCCTGTCATTGTACATAGTGACCAGGGTCAGTTGGAGTTTGTTGCTGTCTTATTTAGCCTATTATGTTTTGTGTCTCAATATAAGATTTATCCTAGGTAATTTTAATAGACAGATGATCTCAATAAAAATCGAAATATTGGCACGATAAAGAAATTTTTTTCTAAACCTACGTGACACAATCTCCAAATAATCATCAACCATTATATTGAATAAAAAGGACATGAACATAAAGGGATGCACAGATATAGTAAAGTAATGTAATTCCTGTCGTACAGGAGGGCTTCAATTGTCCAATTTGTTATGTGTTGCAAACAGGGGCCAAACCACTTTACAAAAATTTCTTTATATTATTCGCAATTAAAAATCCATGGGCTATGCGAGGGTTGAAACCCAGGACCGCCCTAACCATTCGGTCACCAAGATCCCCTACAGACCACTTAACACACTATTTAATTAACTTTAGCTTAATAATAAAATGTAAATATATCTTACCTTCTGGATCAGACCAAAGTAAATCGCACATAGGCCCGTCATGAGGTACTTCTTGTTTCCTATCAATTATTCTAATTTGATCGAGTGTTTGGATTGAAGGAGATAGTCCACCGTGCACACAAAATATCTATAACAATGTCGTCACAATGTTAAAAATTTGATATGTGAATAAAAAACAACAACAATAATAAAATAAATTACTTTTCCATCGATTATAGCAGAAAGGCTTAAATAGTCGAATATCTCTGTACAGTACTTCCAGACAGTCGCACTACCGTATTTCCTTAGGCATTCATCGTAGAATCCATAAACTTGGGTGATTTGACGTGATTCGTGGTTACCCCTTATTAATGTTATCCTATCAGGGTAGCGTACCTGAAAAAAAAAAAAAAAAAAAAAAAAAAATCTTTTAAACACTGTACACGTATTTGAAGGCAAAGAGAAATATAAAGCTGTAGTTACCTTTAATGCAAGAAGTAATAAAAATGTTTCGACGCTGTAGAAACCTCTATCGACAAAGTCTCCCATAAAAAGATAATTTGTTTCAGGAACATCTCCACCAACTTTAAAAAGTTCTTTCAGGTCATAAAATTGTCCGTGAATATCTCCACAAACCTGTTGACATAAAACATGATTCCATTTTATAAAGACATATAGTAATAATAAATATTGTAATGAAATAATTTAGTACAAAAAAAGATGATCAAATACGATGTAACTACATAATGATTGTACTCGAGGTTTGGTCAAATTTGATGCAATTATTGCCAATCTGCCGATTCTTGCTGTTCCTGCCACATTTCCACATTTTGCCATCTTCAGCACTTAGTTGTTGATTCCCCAAATGTATATTCCTTTCAAATTCCAATGATTTGTAAAATGCTGATATTGTACTGTTAGATAAAACGAACAAGAATAAGCCAAGTTTATCAGATGCTACATGTTTTCGTTACCTTTAATTTCATTCTAGGATTTATTCTAGATGACAACATAGTAGACAGATATTTAACTGATCATGAGAAACGGTTGATCAAATATGATGTAATTATTGCTAACACATATTTCACTATGCTTTCTTCTTTATTCTCTAATCATTTTGATCTACCTGTAGTTGTCTGTCAGCCATGTTTCAGAATTATTTTATCTTCAGTAGTTGATCATTAGTCCTCCCACCGTCTTTACATTCTTTTTTAAAGATTCTAATGGTTGACAAAATGTGTTAGACAAAACCAGCAAGAATGGACTAGGATGATCAGACCTCACCGACCACAATATATTATTTCATAATTTATTCTGGTTGAAAATTTAGAAAACTTGATGATGAGAAATAGTTGATCAAATTTACCAATCCGCACATTTTTACTGTGCTTTCTGATCAACTTGATCTGCTGATTCTTGGTGGATTTAACCGTCAGACAACTTTCAGTATTTATTCATTGGTTCCCCTTATTTTGACAGATTTTCACAATTTTTAAAAAGCTGAAATTGTACTGGGAGACAAAACCAGGAAGATTAAAACAAGTTTATCACAGTGATCAAGCTTCAGGTCTTTGTAAACTAACAAACCCCATGCAATGTCTCACAATTTATTTTAGTCAACAAAATAACAAACATCTAAGGGCAATGACAAAACTTTTTGCATTTTGGACTCAACAAAATATTAAATAAAAATATTAAAAAGTCAAAAAGTGGTGGTATCAATCATACAAAGAAAAGCCATGGGTATCCCACTGAATTTAATGCAATTACTGAAAACTAGGAGTTTTCAAAACCGACTCACAGAGTAATCTCGAACTCTCGACCACTATCAGACTCAAATTCAAAACTGACAAGCGGCACACACTGCTACCCACATTGCACAGTGCTACAACTATGGATGAATCACAGACTCGGTTTTCCTCTCGATAAACACTTTGGTCAAAACTGCTGTCTTTGTCATTACCTAACTGATAATGAGAAATGTTTGACCAAAACGTTGCAACTCACACATTTTTTACTGTTTTCTTCTTTAACACATTCACTGTGGATGACGCCACGGTCGAGTCAAGCAATCAATTCTTTTAAAAAATAACATTGTTCAACCTATGTTTATAATCTTTCTAAAGATTCTAATAGTTGAAAAAATGTGGAAACATCCATTATTTGTATTCATTACTTTGCAAAACTTAACGCAATATTTCATAATTTGTAGTTTAAAACGAAAGTCATGATGATGAGAAATATTTAATCCAAAATAATGCAAATATTGTCAACAGATATATTTTTTACTCCACTTTGTTCTCCGTGTTGGTTTAAATGTAAAAACCCTATTATAACAATTAATTAAATTGTTGGCAAATGACACTTCATATTGTTAGCACACTTGATATAGATGACAGTTTCGACCACTACCAGGCTCAGTTTCAAAACTGACAGGCAGTATGCACTATGCACCGTTACTTGATGACGGTATGGTTGTATCATAATTTATAGTTTAAAACATAAGACACGATGATGAGAAATATTTGATCCAAAATTATGCAATTATTGTCAACATATACATTTTTTTACTCCGCTATGTTCTCAGCGATGGTTTATATGTAAAAACCCTAGCTAATCATAAATTAGTTTGTTGAAACATGATGAAAGTGCTGTCAACGTTATATTTTTTTTTAAATGCACATTTTACTTATGAATTTTAATTTATATTACCGTAACAGGAGAGTCGATACGCTGAACGTTGCTCTCTTCAACCAGAATCTCTCTTGCCTTTGCACAAAGGGCTTTGACTTCATCTTCTTTGATGATCTCACATTTCTTTAACTGTTCTATCTGCCTGTCGAGATTGCTTGTATCGTCCATTCTCTTGTAAATAAATTATATTAAAGCTCAAATGGTGTTTGCAATGTTGAGGGGAAATGATGCAAGCGAGCTGCAAAAACAATTTTTAAAAAAATACAGATATAAAAATCTGAAAGTGTTTCCTCAAGTGATATCACCAGACTGGAAAAGTCCAGTGTTTCCCTCTAAACGGAAACTTTCACCACTCACCTATTACTGTCGTGAAGAGGCACCGCTTGTCCTCGTCGCTCGCGGATCAATCGAAGCACGGCAAACTTGCCATTATCATTGGAAACGAAGTCGGAAAAAAAAAACCGGTGAAATTTCCAAGAAAACGGCAGATTAAAACTATCCTGGACCGACAGAAGAGGGCCGATGTTTAGCAAGCGGTACAACACCGGAGTTTAAAGGTTAAGTCGATGAGGGAAAGTGACAAGGGGTCCGCGTACAGTGTTGCTCGTCGTCGTTCTTCCATCAATCGTGAAATCCCGTTCAATCTTGATCAACAAAAGAATGCGACAGAATGATGTCCTGAAACAAACTTGCTTACTAGATTTAATCAACTCACTCAAACGACGTTTATATTATTGCACAATTGTACAAACGTTGGGCAAACTGGTATTTCATAAAATAAAATCATTTATAATTTTTTTTAAATTTTATTAAACATCATTTTAAAAAAATCCACTTCTTTAATCCTTACTAACGATCAGACTGTTACATAAAACCTTACTTAACAATCAAATTAAAATGAGACAGTAAGGGAGAAAAAAATTTTACAGAAAGATTGCGGTGAAACATCAAATTAGAGTTCCCTTCCCGCTTCGTATTCAAGCTGTTTTCTCTTTGAAGACAATTGTGTTACCTCGTTTCTTTCTTCTTGACTTGGAATTAATTGTATCGTTGTGTTCAAGAAAGAAGTAAAGAAGTTGAACACACCCAGTAAGAAAACATTAGGTCAATTTTTTAATTCAAACATTTACAAGATTTGTTAAATTTGAACTCATTTATAATACACCAAGTATGCTGAAAATGAAACTGAAAAAAAAAAAATGAAAAAAAAAAAAATTATTGGGTTGTCCAGAAAATAATGCAGGTTTTCATGCTTTCTTTCAATTACCCCTCTATATAATAAACTGTTTACATTTGAAGGAATTATTTTTTTGAAGTTGAATACACCCAGTAACAAAACATCACAGTCAACTTTTTAATTTAAACATTGACAAGATTTGTTAAATTTGAACTCATTTATAGTACACCAACTATGCTGAAATTGAAACTGAAAAATAAAAAAAATTATTTGGTTGTCTGGAAAATAATGCAGGTTTTCATATTTTCTTTCAAATACCCCTCTATATAATAAACTCTTTTAATTTCAAGGAATTATTATTTTGTATGTCAACACTTTTTAATCCTTTTTGAAACAAAAATGTTTGTTTACCTCAGTAGCAATTCATTACTTGGGAATAATTTAGTCTTTACTAATGTAAGATGTCAATGCTGATTTTTATAATTACTCGTTTAGTGTTTTTCCTGGTAAAGTTCAAAAATAATTTTTATTTATTTTTGCTTTGGTATTATTTATGTTATTTTTAGGGTTTTTTGTACACTTCACACTTCTTATGGTTTTTTTTCTGCAGAGGAAGTGGTGTATTTTAGATTTCAGCAGGCCTACTGAAGATGGTGAAATGCAAAAACCAGTGATACTAGACAAACCAGGATGATTAGAGATGGTCAATTTCAATGGTCAATTCATCTTTTCAAAATATTTGTTGATTCTGTGTTTGCTCGCTTTAAGTGAAATTAGCGAGTTAGATCTTTAAGGATTGGTATATGTCGGTGAAAATCAGTAAGCTAATTGCTTCTATAATTTTGCTGTGATGAGTATTCTTTTAGTTTTATTTTATTATTTTTTTTAGTAAAGTACATACGACTGATGGTTGTTTCTAGAGTTGTGACAAGTGACTTCCATGTTATGCTCCACAGTCATGCTTATCGCATGGTATTTTTGTTAAATCCCAAATAATCCTGCCAGCTAGAAGTTGATCAAAATGAAAAGCAACTTCAACCATAAAACACTAAATGTAAGCTTTTCTGAAACTGGTGTGTTATTTTGTTGCATATTTATTATGGTTCAAATGCACGAATTTTTTTTTTTTAAACTCTAAAATTTAGGTCTGCATTATCTACATGTTCTAGCAAAGCCCATGGCTTTTTAAATTGCAAATAATGTAAAAAAAAAAAGTAGTATAAGGTGGTTTATCCCCATTGTTCACAACATGCAATAGTAGGAATTGGTAGATATGACAGTAATTAATTTACTTTTTTTCTCTTTATTTTCATATTTCGTAGTTGAAGATGTCTGAGATCGAGTCCAGTAGTTTCATTTTTATAAAAACTTTACATGAATGTATGGCATTTATTTCAGATGACAATTTGAATTCACAAGCATTGGGTCCATAATAATCTGAGATAGTTCCTACTAAGTGAAAGAAATTTTGCTGAAGGACCTAGTTATTCAATTAGATTGTTTGGTTCCCTTTATTTATTTTTTTTTCTTTGACCCACTATATAAAAGCTTTAACTAACTATTAAATATTTAAATTGTGAGTTTTCCTTCTGTAATCTGTGGGGTGATAAACCAATTGTTTGATAGTCACCTATTACCATCCTGGTCTACCTATCCTCGCTGATTTGTGTTAATTCATTAAATATTTGTCATAATCGATCAATATTTATTAGCAGTTGTTCAATAGATCTGGATTTAAATCTGAGGTGTAAGTAATCAAGTCAATTAGTGGTTATAGATTAAAACTATTATTTATTGCATCATTGTACAATTTAATTTAAAAAAAAAATACTATATATAAAAACCTAAATACTCTAATATAGGTTTGTTTCCTTCTGATAGAACTCTCTAAAATGATAAAATTTTACGATCCAAAAAAGGTCTATCTTGTTATGTTATGTTAAACCTTTTCTATTTATTTTTAATTTTGTACTTTTAAGAAAACTCCAACAATTTATCAATTATTACAGTACTAATATGGATAAAAATAAATACATGCATGAATTCAGCACGTCGATTATTGGAAGCCCTATTGCAACGAGCTCGCCTTCCAAAATATCCCAAAACAATTTTCAAATTTATTTTTCAGATTGGGGTAAATATAATGTGGAGAGTTAAACAAAAATATCATGTATCAATAAACCTGGATGCAATTTATTTACAGTTAAACATGCCACTCAAACTCTAGAGGAACATAACAAAATTAGACTCAACACCATCAAGCACATAAAAAAATTAGCCGCAGAAATACTACAGCCGGTGGCTGATGTTGTTTTCTGTGATGCTGATCACATTTACTTGGTAAAAACATTTTGCACAAATGTTTCATTTTTATAATTTTGATTGAATTTTTTTTTTTTAAGCCACCACTTACCCTTAAAGATGTCATCAAAAATCTCATTGTAAACAGCAGAGGTAAGTTTGGTTTTGTAGGTTTACACCTTCATTTGTAATAAACTGAATAATTTTATTGTAGATAGTGGAATAACAAAATCAGAAAATGTAAGAACTCTTTCCTTTTATTTAATTTACAAAAATTATATTAAGGATTGCACATATTGTTTATCATTTGTAGGATTCAAGAAATAGTTCAAGATACAGTTCAAAAAATAGCATAGGATTCCTTAAATCAAATAAATGTAGTAGACGAGTTTCTTCTAACATAGGTAAGAAGGCTATTCATAATAAAAATACTTTGTCTACATTTCAGTTGAACTTTATTACAGGCACTTTGAAGATAGAAAACAGAAAATCTAATTTACATGTGAGTTTTTTTAATCTTTATTTATTACTTACTTTATCAATGTTCCTTATTTTACAGGTGAAAAAACAGTCAAAGAAAAAGCAAAATTCAAAATCTAAATCTAAGAATAGTAAGCTTGATTGAATTATTTCACAATTTTTTTTTTAAACATTTAAAAAATTCAAGGTAAAACTGTGAATAATGTCATGTGCACACCGATGCAAAAAATTCCATACAACAATTTGGCAGTCGTCACCCCAGGGCCCAATATAAATACACCATCTCGAGTATTTAGAAAACCGAATGATGGAGAACCTGTGATATCTCTTGGCGGAAGCCCGATTCTAGCCTCGACAACATCTTTGTGCTCCAAGGTACCACAAATGCACATACCTTTAAAGGATGGCAGGGTAAGAATATTGCGTTGATCCTCAAGCCTCGGATTGTTATTAAGGTAATATTTTTAAGGTCTATGCTGTGATGGCTGAAGAGGGCTTGGAAAACTCAGAGTTTCCAGATGTTGATGAAGAGACACTGAACAGGATTAAGCGACTACATGAGTTCATTGGAGATCAAATACTGGGAATACAAAAACATTAATCAGTTCTGTACCTAAAAAATGAATGTACATTTTTAAAAAAACAACATTTAAGACCATATTTTCGTTCTGTTGAATTAGACCACATTTTTAAAATATTTTTCTAATAAAACTACAAAAATATTAAAATTTGTGCAAATTGCTTTTATTTCTTTTTATTCTTTTAGAGTGTTAATTTGTTGTTTGTTATTGCTTCATTTTAGATCAATACATTTCAGCAGTGATTGATTTGCCAGGATTCAAGAAGCTGTAAACCAGATATGGTCTCAATCTGCTCTACAAAGTATTTTTAGAAATTTTTAGTCAAAACTGAATTTAGGGGTCATGGTATAACTGTCATCCTCATTGTTCTGTTTAGCTGAAGCTCTCCTCGATGTTCCTTGTTATGTGGGTAGGCTACTGGAGCCTGTCCCTCCATTAGCCTATGAATTGTAGCTCTGGCCTCTCCCTGGATAAAGAAGTGTAGTGGTGGTAGATTCAGAAGGACTTCCGGGGCAGCCTTGAGGGTTGTTCTCATTGCCCCAGTTATGCTCAGACATGCCAGTCTCTGTAAAGATTGTTTAATACTCATGAAATTTTTTTCTTTGTGTTCCTAGTTTTGTTTTATGTATCATTATATTTTATATATTGTGAAATGTAGATGATTAGTCAAGGTGTATTTTATACTGTACCCTTGAAGAGGTATTGTATCCAATGTTCTGTGCTTATAGCATGCCTGTGAGTCCTAGTTCATCGAGGGAATTGATCAGTAGGCCCGGTTTTAGTGGTTGAATTTCTTCTCCAGTTACACTGTATTTCCCAAAGCACTTCCTTTGCATGTGTAACACCACAGTTTGTTAATAGGTGTTTTGATGTTTCCTCTGCTTCTTTGCAGAATCTGCACTCGCTATGTTGGGCTATTCCAATCTTCTTCAGAAGTCCATTTAGTTTTCAGTGTCCTATTAAGAACCCTATTAGGATTCACAGTTTTTTCCTGCTTCCTGTAATACATGCTGTTTCTTCCGAAATTTGTTAGGAGTTACCTTGGATTTATTGAAGTAAAGAGATCAGGGATGAAGCCATGTAAATGAAAAAAATCAACTTTTCTGCTGTTGAGCTTTCGGCAATATTTGACACCTTCCTCAGGACTTTGAAAAACTATTTTAAAAAACTTTACAATTAATTTGGACATGTGGTCCAAATAGAAGGGGCCAGATAACTCCCTTGGATTATTTGTGTCCAATGAGTGATTTCCATTTTCCCTCATTTTCTCTTCTGTCTGAGGTGCCACAGAAGGGTTCGAGTCCTATCTGTTGTGTATCTTCTCTTTCTGTAAGGTTTTCCGTTTGGACCCAGCAGAGGCTGTGTTCTGCATACCAGTTTGTTTAGTTCAGTTTTTCAGTTCAGCACCATCTTTGAACTAATGATGTTTGAACTTAGTGCTTTGATGGCTGCTTGGCTATCCGTCATGGTAACAATGTTCTTGTTTTTGTACCCTTTATTCAAATTGAATTGAGTACATTTCTTGATTGCGTAGACCTCAGCTTGGAAGATACTGGTGTATTTTCCTATGGCTTCCGAGTATCTGGTTCCAGGACTATATATTGTTACATTTCTACATTTAAATGTTTTTATAAATTGGATTCAGTTTGTATTATTATTAAAAGATAATGTTTTCAGAACAACGCCATCTAATATTGCTCCAATGCATCCATTGATTTTTATTTAATGTGGAAAATAATTTTCATTACGAGCGTATATTTGGTTGCAATTGAACATTTTTATTAATACATTTTTGGGTAAATCATGATTATAATTAATAATAGACGTGATTCCCCACTGGTGGCGACATTCTCGTCAAGGGTCATTTTGAACGAGGCCACCTCGTGATCGGACCCTCAGTTTCTTTGATAACACGACCTCCGTGCTCTGTGACGTCACGTCAACAGTCCAGAAAATGGGTGATCAAGACTTGAACATCGATTTACTTATTAGCAAACTTCTCGAAGGTATTTTTAAAATTAAAACAAATTCAAATCAATTTGTCAACTGGCCTTTTGGGGAATACGTGTGAAAAACGACACGGCTTTCTTCGGCAGGAAGGAAGAAAGTCGATACTCCGTTTCCCCATAACCCTCTGACAAATCGACCTTCTAATGTCAACCTTTTAAAAAGACAACATTTGAGTTTGTCAAGTCGTTTCTCGTGGAAATTTCAATTGTTTTGAGGTTTTGTCGAATTTTCCGGGATGTTAAAACTCTCCATTTGAAAAAAGCCTTTTTTTCCATTTCATCTTTTGTGTAACCCAAGGCATTTCGCCTGTTCCAGTTCGAGGATGCCGACCGGGGAAAATCGTCACCATGTCCGAGGCGGAGGTGCGCGGACTCTGCCTCAAATCCCGGGAGATATTCCTCAAACAGCCGATCCTCCTGGAGCTGGAGGCCCCTCTTAAAATATGCGGTGAGTCTATTTTTAATCTTGACATTTTGATTTTCAGCTTGGAAGCCGTTTTATTACATTTTCCAATAAGTTTTACGGCCTATTTTATAGCACTTTCCAAATCGCATGTGGTTACTCGGGACTAAAAATAAATTCCTGAAGGTTAAACCTTTGTGGAGTTATGACCTTAACCATATCAGGAAATTCTCTGATTAGCAGATTTTTCCTTATTTTTGATTAAATAATTGGAATTGTTCAATCTTATACTACACTTTTCACCTTTTAACTGTCTAGATTTAGCAATTTTTCAATAAAAGAATACATCGGTTTAAAGTTCAGTGCCCCAATATAGGAGATTTAAATTTGGAGTAGATGACCTTTATGATTAATTTTGTTTGAAGTTAGGATGCTCTGTCAGGTAGACATGGAATATAAGAGAATTAAGTATGCCAACGTTTTGTCAAATTGACTTCCTCAAGTTGGGCTAGGGGCAGAAAGACAACAGTTCAGATTCTATTCAAGTTATTCAAAATGATTAAAATTATTATATTCACACATATATGACTCCTAATTGAGCATTTTCAGTAAGTCACAAGTTTAAAAATTTCTTATTTTAAGTTATTGGATATAAAAACATTATTTTTGTAAATGTTAATACACTGATGGACAACTTTAACACACCACTTAATTTATTTAGTTAAAAATTAAATCCATTATATTTATACATTAGTTACAGGTAGTTAGGATGTATCATAGTCAAAATAAACAGTAAATAATGCTAGCAATAAAATCATCGTTATGCAAAAAAAAAGTTTACATTCCTTATGTAGTAAGTTCACTATTTTTCGTGGTCCGCTTGACCGAAAGGAATTAAAATGAAGTATACGTCACTAAAGCTCTCCGTGGCCATTTCACTTGTCGCCGAGAATCAAATAGATTACATTTGAAAAATGGCAAAAAGGAAGGAAAATTCAAAAGGTGCAGTCGAGATGGGAAGTTAGTACCCGAGGGGATTGAAGTCACGACAGCTCAAGTGGTAGAGTAGCGGCGTATCAAGCCGAAGGTCGTGGGTTTGAATCCCGCTCGTGACACTGACTGTTTTTATCTCAACTTAAAACCTTAATTAATCTTATATAGTAATTGTTTTCCTGTTGGTCCCATAAATGTATCTTGGACAAGATGTTTTTATGATCCATGAATTTATGGTTGGCTTGGTGGACTCATTCATAGTAAAAATCCAAACTATTTTCGATATGTTTTCTTCTACATGCAATATTCTGATGAATGAGATGGGCACATAAGAAAAAGGCATGGACATGTGTTTTGATCGTCCACTAGGTTTAAGGCAAATTAGCATTTTTTGCAGATTTCTGGTCCCATAGGTTATGAAGCCTTAGCACACTTTTTGATGTGAAGTTGTTAGGAGGACACAAAAAATTAGGTAATTCTTTTAATTCAAGAAATTACTTTCAAAATATTGAAAAAAAATGACAACCATAACAGAACAACCACAAACGGCTCCAACAAGCCTGTTCCAATGTGAAAGCTCACGCTGGATGAGTAAGTTTCATTCATAGTCGCAGTTGGGTGTAGTTAGTTCCAGTGTGAGTCCAGCCTTATCCTACGAACGTTTGCATCTCCCATTACAACTTGAAAGATTGCGTGGGGTACAATATTTTCTTTGGTGATTGATCAGCCTTCTCAGTTTATATATATATTTCCCCCCCCCAAAAGGTAGATCGGGGATGAGGCCAGGAAGACAGAAACAACATTTATTTTCTTGCCGAAAGTTCGAACTTCGAAAAAATCCTTTAACCGGGTTCTACCGGCTATCCGTTATCCACACATGTACCTGTTCATATAGTATAACGATTTTTTTCGAAGTCCTGATGAAGGCGATATATTCTACCGAAAGCTCGACAAGAAAATAAATGTTGTTTTTGTCTTCGTAGCCTCATCCCCGATCTACCTTTTGCAAAGAAAAAAAAAAAAAAGAAGTGGGGTACAATGTTACTCCTTCCCAATTTTTTGGTTATTATTTATATTTCTGTAGATTTCTATTTTTTTTTTTTTTTTTTTTTTAAAGAAATAAAACAAATGGTTCACACAAATAAATATTTTGATTACTAACAAGAATAATTTTACTATTAAAGTAATGTATACAATGATTTGCTCATATTTTGTTGTTTTTGATGTCAAGTTTTTATAATAGATCATAATAAAGGCAGTAAAATAATTTATAAGTGGTGCTAAAATTTATATTATGTCGAATTGGTGATTTATTTCTTGTACAGAAGTTCAGGCCTATATTTTAAGCTTGGCGTATTACTTATGACAAAAAGTTAGGTTAACAATGTACCTTTGTTTGGTACGAGAGCATATGGGGGAGAGAGAGAGGCAACGGGGGGAGGACACTTATTGGCTTTGAACCATTTTGTGATATACCAAATTGACAAAAATACAGATCCAACTAACAAGTTAAAAATAAAGTCCTTGATCCAATGGGAATGATTCCCCGGACAGAAGCATGAGAAGTCAATCAAAGGACCCTCACAGAAACTAACAGCACAACTAATAAACCTAGGCATGTTGGACTAGAATAACACGCTTGAGCAGATATTGCAAAGAAGAAGAAAAACAGTGGAATGTGTCCTGTGTTAATGCGAAGGCTGCGATTCCTACTCTTGGAAGAGGAAAAGCCAAGGCCTGAAGGCACATAGGAGCCCTTAACAAAACTTTGGGATCTGGTAAAAAGCTTCGAGCTTAACAAAAGCTCTAGTTAGGAATGAAGATTGGGCAATAATAGTGAAGGGCAATTAACCAATACATATTAAGGTGTGCAAGGTCATACAAAGGCGGACACCTTTTAACCTTTACCTTAGGCTAATTTGTTTCACCTTTTAAATTGTTAGATATAGCAACTTGTTAATAAATGGTATATTTATTATTCATTCAGTCTGAAGTTTAACAGCAAATAATGGACAGTTATATTTAGAATGGAAGTTCATGGCATTTTTTTATATGGGATTTATCATAATTTTAGAAAACATTTTATTTTAATACTAATATCATCAATTAATACTATTATACTTAACTTACACAATAGTATTTATTATGCTATACCCTAACCATCTCTAACCATTCTATTCAAACCTGAACTTATGTTTAAATTTTAAATAATACACTTTGAATATATTATAGTTAAATGTATATATTATAAATTAATTATTTTTCTTTAGGTGATATACATGGGCAGTACACAGATTTATTGAGATTATTTGAATATGGAGGTTTTCCTCCTGAGGCTAATTACCTTTTCCTTGGAGATTATGTTGACCGAGGGAAACAGAGTTTAGAAACTATCTGCTTACTACTTGCATATAAAATCAAATATCCAGAAAATTTCTTCCTTCTTAGGGGTAATCATGAATGTGCTTCAATCAATAGGATATACGGTTTTTATGATGAATGTAAGTAAGTATTTGAGTTTCATTAGGCGTTTCAACAATTGGCTTTTTTTAATCCAGGCAAAAGGCGATACAATATTAAATTATGGAAAACATTTACGGACTGCTTCAATTGCCTACCGATTGCAGCTATCATCGATGAGAAAATATTTTGCTGCCATGGCGGATTGAGTCCGGATCTGCAATCAATGGAACAGATAAGTAGAATAATGAGGCCAACCGATGTTCCAGATACAGGTAATATTGACTTAAACACCCTGAAACTCACATTGTTTATTTAAATTAAACTTTCAGGTCTGTTATGTGACCTCTTGTGGTCTGACCCAGACAAGGACGTTAAAGGCTGGGGGGAAAATGACAGAGGTGTTTCTTTTACATTTGGAGATGGAATTGTATCGAAATTTCTTGGAAAACACGAACTTGATCTAATATGTCGAGCACATCAAGTATGCCAATAAGTGTTGAATTTTAAGAAGACATATGATGTGCATTTTTTCTTTAGGTTGTGGAAGATGGCTACGAATTTTTTGCCAAAAGACAGCTTGTAACTCTTTTCTCGGCCCCTAACTATTGTGGAGAGTTTGATAACGCTGGTGGTATGATGTCAGTCGATGAGACATTAATGTGCTCTTTCCAGGTAATGGACAGTTGTGACAGCTATTTTAGCAACTGTATATTAAGTAGTAAAGTAATTTTCAGATTTTGAAGCCATCAGAAAAGAAAGCAAAATACCAATATGGAGGCATGAACTCTGGGCGCCCTTCTACTCCTCCACAGAAAAAATAGGGTTTGGTAATTAATTTTTATTTTCTCAAAAAATTCGCTGCTTTAAAACAATATCATTGCCACATTCAATAGCAATATATTTTTTTAAAATAGTGGTGATAGTATTGATTTTTAAGTATTTACTAATTTTTGTAGGACTGTTTTTGAAGCTTAATTAAAAAATGCAGTTTCACAGCTATTTGTATGTAACTACCAATGACTGTCGATGGGTGTCCGCTAAAATAGATTCCACACCTCATTAACATTGGTATATTAATCGCAAGAAAATTGATTAATGGTCAATTTAATAATTAAACTGTCACTTTCTTATTCTTGTACACTTCTAAAAAAAGAGATTTTTGTAAACTATGGGATCCGTATACATTTTTTTATTTGTCTGGATTTAGTATTGAATTTTTTATAGTTAAATAAAATACATCTTAATTTCTTCGATGGTAACACCTTCTAACTTAATATACCATTCTCATAATATGTATTTTTTGCATGCAGTTTCACAGCTATATAAATTTGCATGTAAGTACCAATGACTGTCGGTGGGTGTTGGTTAAAATTGGCTTCTCACCTCATTTACATTGGAAAATTAAAACCGCAAGATAGTGAAATCCTGGGCAGTTTAGACATTTAATTGTCCTCTTCTATTCTTTTGCACATTGCTCAAAAGAAAAGTCTATGAAGAAAATCTAAGACTTTGTGGGTTTATATTAACGTTGAAATTTTTTCTATGTAGGTTCTAATGACTGTCGGTGGGTGTCAGTTAAAATTGGCTTCTCACCTCATTTACATTGGAAAATTAAAGCCGCAAGATAGTGAAATCCTGGGCAGTTTAGACATTTAATTGTCCTCTTTTATTCTTTCGCACATTGCTCAAAAGAAAAGTCTATGAAGAAAATCTAACACTTGTGGGTTTATATTAACATTGAAATTTTTTCTATGTAGGTTCCAATGACTGTCGGTGGGTGTCAGTTAAAATTGGCTTCTCACATCATTTACATTGGAAAATTAAAACCGCAAGATAGTGAAATCCTGGGCAGTTTAAACATTTAATTGTCCTTTTTCATTCTTGTACAATTAAAACCTGATATTTTACGTTTATACTATAATATTAATAATACACAATTTAAGAATATTATGTATCAAAATATAAAAATCAGATGCAGATATGACAGTTGAAGATTATATTTATAAAAGTATAAACAAATTACTTTGATGTTTGTATGCACATTAACATTATCTCTTTTTCAGTCAAGAATTGCAATGTTCTGCGGGATAAAACGATACAAACAGATAAAACAGGAGCCAGAAGCAATTTGAAAACGATATTTTTTTTTGAATTTTTTTTCTTTTACTGTGATTACAAACTCATGCAAGGCATTTGTTTGGTAAAACATAACAAATACACATCAATTATATATGAAGCTAGAAATCAGGCATAATATTTTTTAAAATCACTAAAAATATTTTATATGCACAATTTTAATTTCAGTTTTTTGTAAATAACTTTGTTAAACATTTAAAAATAGAAATGTAAATGTTATGTGATCTCTGGCTATTGTCATCCCAAGAGTATTTATTTTGGTATATTTTGTTTCCACGAGTGAAATCTGTTTTATGTATTTCCTATATTTTTGTCCAAAGAAGCATTATTGTAAACCCGGTATTACAAATAGCAAATTCAATTTGCAGAATATTTATATTTTAGTGTTAAAGAAGTTTTTTTAATGAATATCTACTTCTTAAGAAAAATATTATTTATTTTATATTTAAAATATGTGCAAACTTTATTTTAAAAGCAACATTCAATTTTTTTTTTCCATGTCATTTTTGTGTTTATTCATTTAGGTGTGATTGAACAAATCACAATGAAAATAAAATAGTAATACTTATAATAATAAAAAGAAATTTCCGCCCAATAAATATTAAGCAAAAGTTGCCATTATGGTTAATTTTGCTTGCGTATATCTTTTCTTTTTAATTGCCACAATATATTTTTATCATACATGAGAGAGAAGCTCAACCAATGAAAGAAAAATATTTATATATTTACGGAACTATTTTAAATATATATTCAGTAAAAACAAGTATATTTGTGTAAATATTACAAGAGAAAGACTAACTCAATTTTAATCATCTTAAAATTTAGCTTTTTTAAAAAAACAAACTATTTGGTTTTTACTTATTTCAGCACACTCAACTTGTTAATATTTTCATTCTTATTTTAAATGCAGTATTAATGATTTCTGTGTAAATCTGTTTTTAGCGTAAGGTTTTTCGTTAACGATTTAATCCGAATAAATTAGATTTTATAACAACTGTTTAATACATGTGAATCTTAATGTAAATAAATATAAAACGTTTAATTCATTGTCTTTTCGTGTTTTATTTGCTTTAACCTTGATGTATGATCTAATAAACCGTTTAAACAAAAATTAAGTAAACAAGGTGAATTTTCACAAAATTCTACCCAAAATCACGAATTTACTGGAAACAAGGCTTAAAGAAATGGAAAAAAAAAATAAAATAAACAGGATTAAGCAGACCAGGTACAGGTACATCACCTAGATGTACCCTAGAGTACGAGATTTAATGAAGATTATTATTTGACAATCTCTGCTCAAATAACATTTGGAAGTAAGTATAAGATTGGAAATTATTTGGATATATATTGTAAATGATAGTGTAGGCATGGAAATAAGTACATCACAGAGAATAATAATATTTATAATAATGGCCAATGTTAACTAGTGATTGATTGAAAATAATTAATTTGCTAATTAACGTAGAGTTGATTTAATTGATGCAGTTTAATTGTTCTTAATATTTGTCCAATTCAGATTTGTCTTCAATAACCCTTTAACCAAAAATTAACCCTTCTCAAAATTTTTGATCATCTTTGTCAGCCGGAGACCTGATAATAGGCATCGTACAGATTTATCACTCGCAGACCTCATCACATGTCACGATTAAACTAAATACTTTGTAAGTTTAGGACTTAATGACTTTTTAGTGCAAATGCATAGATGTTCTCTGAACTTGTTTGAGTACGGTGAAAAGTTCCCCTGAATCTTTTGTTGTATATGTAAAGCGTGAAAGCAGCAGAAGTAAGATTCATTGTTCCTTAACAATACAGACAGTTAATGTCCTGATACTTGGTCTGCGTTATTTGCAGGTGTCAAGATGATCGGTTTGATGATTCATGGGTTGTTTAAATAATTAAGATTATGCAATCGCACTTGAGAACGGTTCATGTAGTTCACCCTTTTTTTTATTGAACTAGCCTGAATAATTTGTCTGTAAAGGGATTCAGCACATTCTTAACTACATATGTAATGCATGAATTCAATGTTTTACATAAAAAGCCAGGAGGTTAACGATTTATTTATGGTTTGTAGATAAACGTATGTCGTTTGACAGACCGGGGGCGTTAACTGTCATGTACATCTTTTTATTTGTAGTCTGGGAAATGACAACTGTCGGTATGGCAAATTAAAGGTTTTGCCGATTAAAACGGAAAGGGGGAAGGAAACAGAGAGGGGCAATCGAGCTTTTGTGGTCGTTCCTGTTGTCAGTTCCTGCATGGAGCAGCGTCTGAATGTACTGATAACCGGTCGTTTTCAACGATGCATTCGATTCGATTTGCAATCCTCACAGGTGAGCGTCGTTCCCGTTTTCCTTACATCCTAGCAGTGTAAAGACATGGCAGTAAAAAAATCTACGTTATTACCCGAGAACATGTGAATTTCAACTCAAGACATGACTTTTTTTATGATATAGAAACAGTTTGTCCTAGTAACCACATTTACATTTTGATTATATGAACAAACATAAACAGTTTTAAACTCATCTGTTTAAATGGAACTAAGCAAGATTTAAAATATTACACGCTATAATGATAATTAAGTCAAATAATACTAAAACGTGTAAATTGAAACCTTAGTCATATAGTCAATTTTTCAGCATGTGGTTTCAAAATAGCTTGAAATACAGAATTAAAAGCTGCTGAGGCTGCCAAGTTTATTTTAAATAAAAGCCTTAGCGAGAATTTTTTAAATTATTAATAGATCATTTATAAAGTCTTTAATGGGATAAAGTAAACTTTGCAAGGATTAAGGAAACGTTCGCTGCATCTTAACTAAAATGGTTAACAATTGGAAGAAAACAATAATTTGCTGAAAATTGCTTCAAAATTTTCATTAAGCCATAAACTTATATTAAAATGCAATATAAAAAAGCAGATGAATGTTTATGTAGAAATTATATTACACTTTTTGAACATCTGAGTCGCTATTAAGGAAAATTGAACAGCGAACAAGCATTAAAAATTGCAATCTGGCTGATATAAATTTAATTGTACATTAATGTTTTCTTTGGTGATTGATCAGCCTTCACAGTTTAAATATATTTTTCTTTCCAAAAGGTAGATTGGGGATGAGGCCAGGAAGACAGAAACAACATTTATTTTCTTGTCGAGCTTTCGGCAGAATATATCACCTTCATCAGGACTTCGAAAAAAATCGTTATACTATATGTTCGTACATGTACGGGTAGAACCCACATCCGTTATCCACACATGTACCTGTTCATATAGTATAACGATTTTTTTCGAAGTCCTGATGAAGGCGATATATTCTGCCAAAAGCTCGACAAGAAAATAAATATTGTCTTCATGGCCTCATCACCAATCTACCTTTTGGAAAGAAAAATATATTTTAATTGTCCATCTGATAAAAGGGATTAGTTATAATTATTGTATATTAATATAATAATAAATGTATTTATTAAAATAAATTATAAAATTTATCTTTCTAGCATACAGAAATTAACACTTAGCCATGAACATAAGGTTCGTCTGGCGAGTTGATAAATATAATTTTACAATAATATGATATGTAATATAATAATGGAAATAAATATTTTATGCTTAAAGAAATTAAATTAATTTTTTTACTGGTACAAAGAAACTTCAACAGAATCAAATAAAAGATGTTAAATTATTAATTGATCTTCGTTATTAAAAAAATCTCTATATCTTTTGTAATTTTTCAAAATTTACGTAAGTTAATCCAGTTACTTCCATTTAAAATTTTCCTTTGGCAACAAACTGGATTTTCCAAAGCAATCAGCCTGGATTCAACTAGGAATGGACAATTAGTGGTGTAGTTCCCTATTCTCTCCTCTGTTGCACATTGAACAAATTTTTTGGTTAATTATGTACCATGGCGTATTGTTTAAATTTAAAGTGTTACTAACACATTTGAAAATTAATGAGCGACTGTGTAAAGTTAATGTGGGATTGCTTAAATATAAGTTTGTTGGATTATCAAAAGATATGTTTATGTGTTTGTATATTGAGGTCGGTTGCTCTTGATTGGAAAAGATTTTTTGTGCACTATGTTTACGGAAGATATAAGGGAAACGGGAGAGTGGATGGTTGCAAGGAAGAGGCTGCTACTCCGTTAGTAGATCCTGAACCCTTCTGTGGCATAGGGATTCTCACTATCGAAGAATATCTTAGACAAAAAGTACTACCAATTAGTAAAAAGTATATGGTACTGATACCAGAACAGGAAGACTGGGCCAAAGGAACATTGCTAAAAGCAAACTCCTACTGGTACATTGACAGCTCCAAAACCGTCAAAGGCACAGGGGCTGGAATCGGGATGAATCCAAAGACTGAACTTTGGTAAACCTGGGTAAATATGCTTCAGTTTTCCAGTCTGAAATCAGCGATTGAACAAAGTGCCAGGGAAATAAAAATACTAGGAATATATTCCCTGAAGTTAGCCATCTTCTCTGACAGTCAGGCAGACTAAAGGCCCTAGCTTCATGCGAGGTGAAGGCAAAGAGTGCTTGTACCTAAATGGAAACCCTGGCAGAAGTTAACAACACTAATGACCTGACCCTGGCATGGGTCGCTGGGTATAGAGGCTTTCCTACTAATCAAATTCTTTAACTAGGTTTTAGCAGTGTGCTATGCTTACATCAATATAATAGCCCTTAAAGGGCGCAGTATATTACACACCTTGAACGGTACATCTTACATCATGGAAAAAAGGTATTTTTATTTCACTGGCAGAAAAATTCTATTAGTTGAACATTTGATCTGAAGAATCAAATTTGTTCTTTAAATCTCAATGCCAAAGAATGTTTCGCCTAATAATCTCTTTTAGAAGGATTTTTGGATATCGTTCATTGGGCATATTTTTTATTATATTTAGATAATTCAGGTGACTTTTCAGCATGTTATATACAACAGGGTATAATGTCCAGGAAACATTTGGAGGCTAGTTAAGTGCATAAATTTAAATAATTATAACTGCTTTAAATTTTTATTTTTATTTATTTACACCTGTGCCAATTGCTGCGCCTAAGTAAATTTGACAACATTTTAGAACACACAACAAAATGAACATGAAAAATATAAAAATATACATAAGAAAAAAAAGAGGAAATACTTATTAGTAGTCACTCCTCTATATTAGCAGCTGTTAATTAAGAGTTCGTGAGGACAGTGACACTTAAGTCTTCAGGGAGGGTGCGGGATGAAAGGAAGGGTTGTGTGACTGGATTATTGTTTGCAAAACTTTTTGTAGCGGTTTTTTTCTACTTCAAGGACATATTGGTAAGATTGGATAGATAGAAAGGAACATTGATGATGGTTCGGAGAAATTTTAGATTGTAGGGATCGGATATGTTGGAGGTTAGGGTCAGTTTGTATATCTTTTCTCCAGCAATCTTTTAAGAAGTCTCAAATGTTTGTTTAGATATTGTATTTTGAGTCATGTGTGTGAGTTCCATGTATGTTTTTTGGTAATGTATAGCCCAAGATAGGGACCATTAGCTGGAGGGAGAGGGATACTATTGTGGTACATAGGAGCAGTTATTCTCTGAAGGGTGAAAGTGACAATGTTCACATTATTGTCATCTTCCCTCACTTAAACCACTGCTCAAGGAATGTGACATGGGTTTGCAAATTGCGACAGGATATTTATGAGAGCAAAGGATGGTTGTATCAACTGAAGATGGTAAGGATTGTTTCAGGAAGATAAAGTAAGGATTGTCTGTGGTATATACTGTGTAAATGATTAGAACCTTAAGGTATAATGATGAATGATAAGACCTAAGATACTTCCTTGTGGTACACCTACATCTGTGTGCTACCTGGCTGATAGAGGGGACACTGATGGCTTAAATGTACCTGTTGGTTAGGCAGGATTTTAAGATCAGGCAGTAGGTAAAAGGGAGGACACTCTTAAGCTTCCAGAGAAGCCCCAGGTGCCAGAGTTGAAGGCATTTGAAGGCTTGCTTCATATCAAGGAATACACTGGAGGAGCACTCATTTTGCCAAAGAACGGCAGTATTGATGTCAGAGTGATGCCACTGCTGAACAGTGTAATGAGGTCTGAATCTTAAACTGGTAGTCAGGAATAAGTTTACTGAAAAGAAGGAACACAACAGGGAGAATGTGTTTAAGCAGTAGTTTTTCAGGTTTTTGCCCGTTATGTAGTATGTCTGTTTCAAGACTGAGATACAACGTTTATTGAGAATTCCTGAAGTCTACAGGGTGATGAACATGTATTTTGGTTGCATCCTGATCTGACCATTCTTGCTGATTTGGTTATCAAATGCGTTTCAACATTTTGCCATCTTCAGTAGTGGGTTGTGTACATCTCCTTCAAGTGAATAACATTATCCACAACATAGTGAGAATAGACAAACCTGGATGGTCAGGTCACAAAAATATTTATGATTACCTGTCGGCAATAACATCTTAGGACATGCATGAGTCCTTTAATGCATTATAGATTTTTCAAATGTATATGAAATTAATGATGAAGTTGTTACAACTGGAATAAAAATTGGTTGTGGAACAATTCTTTTAAAATAAAAAAATGTGGGCCCCGGTGGTCATAACAGTTTAGGCGTAGACATGGTGCTCATCTCTGTAAAGACTAAATCCCCAACATTCTTACAAAATTCACTAGTTTCGAGGTCCGCTTGACCATTTAATATCTTACAATTAATTAAGGTTTTCAGTTGAGATAAAAAAGTCAATGGCACGAGCGGGATTCGAACCCACCTGAAAACCTTAATTAATTGTAAGATATTAAATAGTCAAGTGGACCACGAAACTAGTGAATTTAATAAGTTTAAATGAAGTACCTTCACTAAAGCTCTCCGTGGCCATTTCATTTGTTGCCGAGAATCAAATTGATTGCACGACATTTGAAAAATGGCAAAAAGGAGGGAAAACTCAAAAGGCGTGGTTGAGATGGGAAGTTAGTGTCCGAGTGGATTGAGGTCACAATAGCTCAAGTGGTAAAGCAGCGGCGTATCAAGCCGAAGATCGTGGGTTCGAATCCCGCTCGTGCCATTGACTTTTTATCTCAACTGAAAACCTTAATTAATTGTAAGATTCTTACAAAAGTTTTTTTCCCCATAAACACTAGCACCCTGAGAGTTCATAGTTCATAATTGAAATACCCTTGTAAGTTAAAAACTAAATACTCAAACTAATTAAATTAATAAGTTAGCATCTTTCTTATTGAATTGGACTGAATTGCTGGCTCTCCAGTATATTGTTTGCCATAATTTAAACTGTTGTTCGACATTGAAAATTCATAAATGATTGTATAATTAATTTATTTTGTAGATAAAAATTATCGGAACATAAACTAATATAAAATCAGTAATGAAATACAAGTTTCTCATATTTTTTCCACTATGAACTTTTAGTTTTTGAAATGTTTTGAATATTATAGTTTATAGTTTATTAATAATACGCTTTCTTTTGATTTGTACGGTTTCTATAAATAAATGTAGGACAGTATGAATAAAAATAATATAGAATAGCCAACTGTTGTGTAACATCAGATCAATGATCATTAAATGCCTGAAGGATTTAAAAAAAAAAATGAGAAAAACATTTGAGGATGTGATAAATTACGTCAGATTATTAAAATCAGGGCATCCTAGTCAAAACACATTGTTTTGCTCAACTCACAATAGTAAAACTAATAATTTCCTTTTGAATTTTCATGTTTTTTCACTACACACTACACTCTACTACTTATACGCAAAATGTAGTGATATGATAAGTTCAAATGTGATTGTACCTTTTATTTCACATTTACATTTAGTTATTATAAACAAGGTGTGATCAAATTATTGATTACATTTTTGAATGATGATAAAAAATAATCTAATTCTATAAATAATATTGTTTTGGGTATTGTAAGGTCTTTTAATCTCTGTAGTAAATAATTTTTTTTTAAAACTATTTGTTGGTTCTATATATGCTCACTTTTAATTTCTTATATATATATATTGCATCGGAAATGAAACAGTTTAAAAGTTGAAAGGAAAGTTTAAAATAATATAGTAATTTACTAAATCATGTTAATTTTAAACTTATGTTGAGGTGAGTGGCCCAAGAAGAAAAGTCCAAATGCTTCGTTCAAAACATTTATTGACAACGTTTCGGACATCTCACGTCCTTCATCAGGTACATAATCATTGTTTTTTGTGTCAACACCCTTTCCGGTGTCCCAGACCAACAGCAGCTCACCTCAACATAAGTTTAAAATTAGCAATTGATTATCCAACGGCCGACTAAAACAAGGACATTACTAAATCATGTTTTCATAGCATAGAATGGTTGTTAATATTATTTCTCCGTTCTAATTATTCTACACAACTATATTAATATGATCACAAGCACTTTAAATTTATATTATCATAGTTAATCCTTACAGGAAAAACATTTATTTTCTATTAAAACTAATTGTTTATAACAACTAAATGTAAATATGAAATAAAAGGTACAAACTGATCCATTATGCCATATTTGATCATGATTACTTAGTTTTATTTATTTATATGAAATTGTTAATTAGGGATTTATTTTTAGTAAGTGATAGATGCGCTTTGGGCACGCAAGCTGATCTAAGTGGCCCCACCTTAAAAAATGCAGTTGATGGAATTGTTTTGAAAGAAGCTGTAGTGCCTGACGAAGTTGAAATTATTGAGGTAAATTTATTCCGTAAAATTCTAGGTAAAACAGATTATCACTTTTATTTTACTTTTTAATTAATTAATATTTTTTATTATATTAAATTTTTTTAAGGAGTATCTTAGACAGTGGAGCAGGATTGGCAGCCAAATTGACATTATACTCACAACTGGTGGAACAGGGTTTTCTCAAAGAGATGTCACTCCTGAGGCCACCTTGAAAGTGATTGATCGAAATGCTTCTGGCATCACCACAGCCATGACCATTGCTAGTCTTAAGGTTACACCAATGGCTATGCTTTCTAGGTAATCGTTCATTTATATTTTTCAAAACTGATCTCAACATTAATAAAACGATCCAATAGATCTGTTGCAGGCATAAAAAACGATACGATGATCGTCAATTTGCCTGGAAGTGTCAAAGGGGCAGTACAATGTTATGAGGCTATAAAACCATGTTTGCACCATGCTGTAGATCTGTTAAGAGATAGAAAGGAAAAAATCAACGAAGTGCACGCAGCATTACCTATTAGTAAGGTACAGTGACTTTTAACGGTTATTTATTTTAGAATCAATAGTTCCAAAAATCTTAGTTAAACCTATTAAATTACAATTATTGGTTTTTGTTTTTTGGCAAATATTCTCATTTTTACATTTCTCACTATTAGGTTCGAACGGATAACATAGCGAATAGATTGAGAGTATCGACATGGCCCATGATATCAATGGAAGAAGCTACAAAGATTGTGATCAGTCAAGTAAAACCTCCAAGAAGAACTGTTCTCCCTCTGAAGTAAAATATTTTGAATTTTTAGGATCAATTAAGTGTAGTTAGCGGCCCTAAAATTTTTATTACTGTGCCTACATCCTTTCCGTCACTTTTTGGTGATTAGTAGTTGTATTGAAGTTCCTATAGAAAAAAGAACTCATTTAGTTTAGAAAAAAAAATTGTATCCCAGGAATGATATGATTCACAATTTCATCTTCATCTATTTATTTTATCTAACAGAATTGCTCACAATTATAAGTTCGAGTTTACGAAGATGGCCTAGCTAGAATAAGTTGCAAATGTAAAAAACAAATAACTTAATTGCCTTAGGTATGAAGGACACTCGCTCTAACATGAAGGATGCCGGTTAAGACATGAAATACGACCATGACAATAATGATTTGTCTTTTTTTTTTAACATGGGTATTTCAACTATGAGGTTATTTGAACCCTCGGAGTGTTATTGAAAAAAGCCAAATTGTAAATATGTTGGACCTTTACATGATGAAAACTGTGTCAACGCCAAAACCATTGCAGATACCGACACCCCTAGATTTCTTCCTTGCAGTGTAGAATTAGCTTTGATGTTAGCCCTGACATGAAGGATGTTAACCTTGGTATGAAGGACATTAGTCTGTCCTATAATGAAAGACGGTACTGATTTAAAGGTTTGCCAAGAAAGATGTCTTCCTTGAAATGAAGAATGTAAGCGTTGATATACAGGTGGTATATTTTGATGTTTGATAAGGGATTCCAGCATTGGTATAAAGGACATTAATAGGGACATGAAGGGCATCAAGCCTGACGTTTAGCTGCGTTTCCATTGCACGAAAATCACTTGTGCAGCTGTTTCACAAAACTTGTTTCACATTGTGGATACCTAGCCCCTATTCTGAAACTTTTTGTGCGAGGATGTTTTGAGGTAAGCAGACTAGCAGTCGATTTTTGAGTGTGCATCAAAGTGCTTCACGTTGTCTATTCTTTGTACGTATGTAAATACATACATGTCTTGGGCTTCAGAATGAACCAGGAGTTTGACTTATCCAGCAGTTTTAGAAATAATCAATTTTTATCAATGCTAAAGATAAAAGTCATCATAATAAGAACAAGAAAAAGGATGCTTAGAAGGAAACGAGCATCAAAATAGGACAAACTGTGTCGCATATTTGGCATGCTTGTCACAAAATGGATGGCTAAACTTGTTTCACCTCTATGTTGTGAAATGTTTCGCCTTGTGGAAATGGTTATCCTGAGTTGGCCGTTTTGCAAACGATTCTTGCATTTAGTTGTGTGAATTTTCGCGCGACTTTAAGTATTTTGTCTTGCCAAATGTATGCCAGACATAAACATGAAGAACATTAGTACAAACATAAAGGTCATTTCCCCCCTTAACATTAAGTGTAATATTTGTCTTGCCAAGAAGGACACCAGCCTGTCATGACATGATATTAGCACAGATATTGTTACTGCTTCATGAGGTGTACTACAAACCTTGATGTTATCTAAGACATAAAGGACAGTTTTATGGTTCTAATAATAGAGAAAATAGTTAATAATGTGTGGTGATTAGTGACCGTTAGTCAATGATTATTCAGAAATCATGTGATGGTGTCTGGTGTGACGTAGGTTTCAGAAAAACATTTTCTTTTCAGAACGTCACACCAGACCGCATCTCACGATTTCTGAATAATCATAATCAATAATTTCTAGGCAATGAAACAACTTGCTCTTTTAGCTAGACCATCCTTTAATTCCACTTGTAACCATTAATAAAACTGGTTGATAATCGTTTAAAATCTTTTTTATATTTATTTTTGAGCACATCAGTTCTATTTCATGGATGCAGTGCAAAAGGCACTTCACATGGACAGACATTTAATTAATTTTTCATATTTATTGCTTATAATATTTTAACAATTTTATCTGTTGATTATGTGACAAGTAATACTTATGAGATGTGTTTTTATTTCAGAGAAGTTTTGGGTAGTGTAGTTGCTGATGATATTTTTGCAATGGAGCCTCAACCGCCTTTTAGAGCATCTGTCAAAGACGGTTATGCTGTTTTAGCAGCAGATGGCAAAGGGGAGAGAAGAGTAACGGGAAGTTATATTGCAGGCAGTGATGTAATAATTGAAATTGAAACATTCCGTTACACACTTACATATGAATTGAATTGTTATAAATAGCCAAAGGAGTTAACTCTTCAATCTTTATGCTGTATAAGAGTAAACACAGGCTCTCCCGTTCCTGCAGGCGCTGATGCAGTCGTGCAGGTAGAAGACACAAATATTCTTAAAGCCGATGAAGATGGGAATGAACAACTTGTAGAGATTTTGGTGTCACCAGAAGTAGGACAGGATATAAGGTACATTAAAATAAAATATTTCAAGTGCTTAACTGTTAAAAAGTAAATTACAAATGTTTTAGAGAAATCGGGTGTGATTTAAAAGAAGGAGAACTTGTTTTGAATAAGGGGACTTTAATAAATAGTGCAGTCCATGGTTTGTTGGCTAGTGTCGGAGTGTCAGAGGTTCCCGTATATCAGTATGTTTATTATGCTATTTTATTTTGTTTGTTACTCTGATATAATCATCAATTCTAGACTTCCAAAGGTCGCTGTTCTCTCTACTGGAAATGAATTAGTAGCACCAGGGGAAAAGTTGAGAGATGGCACTGTGAGAGACAGTAATATGACGACGCTATTATCTCTTCTGAAAGAGAATGGATATAACGCACAAAATATGGGAATAGCTCGTGACGAGTCTGTAAATTAGTTTTTGTCCTTTTAAAGGATATTCGTCTGAATCAATTTGATTTTCAGGCCTTCTGTCTTATTGGCTGCATTGTTGAAAAGTATGTCTAACAGTGATGTTGTAATAACTACAGGAAGTGTTTCAATGGGTGATAAGGATTATTTGAAAAGAGTCTTACAAGAAGATCTAGGAGCTACTGTCCATTTTGGACGATTGAATATGAAACCAGGGTAATTAAGGCGAACAAACCTTTTTTTTTAAAAATAAATAAAAACATAATTCCAGAAAGCCAACTACATTTGCCACATGCACTGGAATGGATGGTAATACAAAGTATTTGTTTTGTCTGCCTGGAAATCCTGTATCTGCTACTGTTACATGTCACCTACTTGTCCTGCCTATGTTGAAAGCTTTGTCCGGACAACAAGTTTATTACCCAACTATTGTTAATACAATTGTAATTATTTTTTTCAAATCAACAATTTTACAAATTAAATCATGAAATAATTTTAAAATTTCAGATTGATTTTGATGTGAAATTAGATGAAAGGCCTGAGTATAGAAGAGCGATTTTGGAGTTTGTTGGAGAATCTCCTGGTTTTTGTGCCAGGTCAACAGGTAGAATGTTTACTTACTAAATCAGTAATTAATTATTACATTGCTATTATTTTATAAATTACAGGAGGACAAGCTAGCAGTAGATTAATGAGTTGCAGGGATGCAAATTGTCTGCTTCTATTGCCATCTTCAAAAGTACACACTAGCGGAAAGATCTGTAAAGGTGCAACTGTAAAAGCAATGATAATAGGAAAACTGTAGAAATTTTAACATTGAATACATTTATGATTTTCACTAGCACATTAAGTTTTTTCGTTAATTATATCACAGTATAGTTTGTATTTTGTTATTATTCCAGATTGTTGTAATTACGAAACTTTCTGAACAAACTGTTTATATCAAATATATTAATGGCAAAAAAAGTTTTCAAAACAGGTTTGTTTTTATTCCCAAATTCATGTGGAATCTAAATTTCCAAAAGAAAATTAATACGGGTATGACAAGGGGATGACCAGGTTGGTGGGAAATGGATTTGGACCAAAGTTTTTTCAGTAATTCTACACTCCAAAATATCAGACTTGTATCCACCACTTCTTGTACTGGTTTTGTCAAAAAATTTTTGAAAGTAGAAATTTTCCGTTTTTTAAAATATTTTTATTTCCCCATTCTACTTGCTGAAATCAACTATGTGAATATATCATTGTACTGAATTTGTTATCTAGATTGCAATAAAAGTAAAAGTAATTAAATATTATCAAAAACCAAAAATTTCTAAAAACAAATTATTTTTCAAGTAAACTAGGTCATACATTTTTTTTGTGTGAAATTAATATGATATTTCATTTTATCACCTCTAGTACCCTTAAATATAAATTTATGTTTGAATTTAAATTGATCTATTTTTTGGCCCCGATTTTTTGAGTTGTTATCGGAATATCTGATTGAAATGGCTATATTTCCACAATGGCTAAAAGGATTTTAACGCCAAACAGACCATTTGAAAGTAGAGGAACGTAGCTTTTTAACGACGTATAAAAAATATAACATATTTCTATAAGAAAATGCTCAAAATAGCAAAATTATTTGAAATTAGCCTTGTTTATTTTATTTATTTATTTTGTAAATGGAAATAAAATTCCGATTTTAATGTTTGATACAGTAGCGTCGGTTTAGGCGTTGACACGGCGCTCATCACTGTAAGGTAAAGGTCCTGGGTTCGAATTCAGCGGCCCTGCATTCGAAAAAAAAGTTTGATACACTTACAAAATGCACTCGAAAATTTCGTTAAAACGAATTTTCAACCATGAAAACCGGTCCACCAGATTTGGAGAAAAATGATGCCTAAGAATGTCAGTCGGTCGTCGAAGTTATCAGTCAAAAAATTAATTTTCACCGATTTCCGCGAAAGTCGGTATTTAGGGTTTTGTAACGCTATAATCACGACAGTGAGGGCAAATCCCCTTTCTAAGCTACTTTGCTTACAGAATATTTGTTGTTACTGCTTTGTTGCATACTTTAACGAGTCTTCTAGCCTAAACCTCAGTAATCTACTTATAATAACTACGTATAAAGATTAATAGTTGTCTTAAAACGTAAACGCTGCCTTTATCTTTATGTAACATTATGTCATTAATCCTTTTATATGCTTGAGATTAAAAATAGTTCAATTTGAGCGTTTCCAGAGCCAACTTGTCGAGTGAATTAATTGGCTTTTTAAATTGTTTTTTTTTTTTATGAAACAAATTTGAGTAAAAAAAACCCGACGGAAATGTATCGTCTGATACATAGCCTAAGTCGCGCTCTCCCATCCACGATGGTCTCAGCGGTTTAGAACAACCGGAAGTCTCAATCGAAGAGATGGTCGATCGCGACGAGACGATCATTTTATTGCTATTATTGCATTACGGAACCGTCGTTAAGTCGGAAGGAATTTAACGGCTTCCTTGATAAGTAGACAAACGGTCCGGAATGAGGGTGAGCTCTATAAAACAGTCATCAGAAGGCTTGAGAATAGCCGTCTCTAGACGTACCGCCTCAGGTTCTCTCTCGACTACTAGAAAGGCGTCAAGGAGACTATTATGTCTATGTAAATCAGCATGTCGCTTGGACACTTGAACAAGGGGGGTGCTGTTCTCTTCACAGATGAGTGCCGGTTTGGATTGTGAGAAACAGATGACCGGGGTCGTGTATGAAGAAGACGTGGAGAACGCTTTGCTTCATATGACATGCGTCACAGCCTTTTCAAAGACATGTAGTTACTGAATGGAGTGGAATCAACGTCTATGCCCGTACCGAACTGATTATTTTGGAATGGATATATGACTATGCTAAGGTACATTGAGGAAGTTCTTTCGGAAGCTGTGATCCTATTCGCTCCATTTATTGGGGACGTTAATGTATGATAACCCTCGACCACAGGTAGTCACCAATTACTTAGAGGATGTAGGGATTACCACAATGAATTCTCCAGCACGTTCTCCTGATATGAATCCAGTAAAATGGGATTTGTTAAAGGACGGGTTGGGCATCGTTCGCCGCCTCCAGCAATAGCTGAACATCTTCAAACCCTTTTGTTGAAGAATGGGATTTTGTCTCACAAGACGAAATCCGGTCGCTTATTTGCTTGATGCCTAAAGGTGCGTTTACGCGTGAGAGGTGTAGTTGTATAGAGTACTCACTTTTGCACGGGTGAGTGAAATTTACCCGAAGGCAACGCATCAGACCATTTACACATACGCTTGGACATTGTTGAGAGCGATTTTTAGACAAGATGTCTCCAATATTAAACAGAAAACTAGCAGATCGTTATTAGTTTTGTGCTTAATTAGAAAAAAAATCTAAAATAAAGAAGTATGCCCAGTCATGGTTACAAAGGAGTATCATTTAGGGGTGCACAACGCTTTAGCCCGGGAATTGGAACTTAAAGACGCCAGCAATTTAGGAATTTTTGCAGATTAAAAAAAAGACACTGCAATGAGAGAAGCAAATTCTGTTGGTGAGCGTCTTATGGTTGCCTTAGATTAATTTCAGGGGAAGCTCTCATAAATTTCTCCATGACAAGGTTTTTTTAAATCTGGGTTCTGGATGTCCCAAAAGGATTGGATTCAATTTGTACGCTTCAATGAGCTTGCGTTTTATTGGATTTGGCGTTTTACTCTCAGGAAATTCAAATTTTTTAAAAATGATTGAGGGTACTCTCTGAGAGCGTTGGGAAAACGTTTTCACTAGCGAGGAAGATGCAACGTCGCACTTCTTGGAGAACTCTCGGAAGCCTTTAAACTTGCGAGTTTTACTCTCGAGAGTATATCTGCCACGAGTGTCCGTTTTTTATCTTTGATTTTATGTAAACTATGTACCTCAGACCAGATTATGCTCATGAGAATAACTTTAACGTATAACGAGAAAATAAGAATACTAATTTCATTAGGTCTATAAATTCTCAATACAATGTTTTTAGACAATATTGGGTCGTTACCAGACGAATGGGTGGTGAAACGCTGAAACACGTCTGACAGACCAGTAACGACCAAAAGTCTTCACCCCGCAGATCACACAAGACATCTCACAATTTACATAATAGTACATTCACTCCTAAATACCTCCATACCATTTGATTATCCTAAAAGTGGACCTTGTTCTATAAGAAAATTTCCTTTACCAGCTACAACCGATGGGGTCCCAACGTTTCAATCGAAATCAGGCGAGATTCATTATTTTTGTTATTGTATAATAACAATTGCGGAGGCGGGTGGCCATTGAACTGAAACGATCTTGCCACATTTTCGGTTACTGCAATTACTGGGACAGATTTACTTTCTGTCGGCCCTATCTTACGCAACGGCTGACTTCGTACTTGCACCTAATGTAACTCAATTTGTAACATAAAATTGAAGAAATTAAAGTTTGGTTGTTCTCTGTTTCAGAATCGTTACCAGATGAAACAAACTGAAAAATTACGCTACTTTTTGTTGGCAAAGATTCTGAAAGGTGATTCAGATTCTGAAGAATTATACTACAAATGATGATAAATAGCAACACTTATAATAACAATTATAAATCCCAGGCCCTGAAGATAATCTCAATAAAGATCGAAAAGATGGCTCGATAAAGAAAAGACCGCATCTCTCGATATGTAAATAATAAATAACAACGTTAAAGTTTTTCCATTGTTGCATGCTAATAGTTAAACTATAACAATTTATTGCAATAAAATAAGTGATACGAATAATAGACAGAAAAGTCCATGAATATCATGGAACATAAAAATCCCACAAGGTTGTAGAAGAAGAAGACAAAAATTGAAGATTTCTGGAGGTAGAGACTGTTTTTTGGACGAACAGCTGATTTTTCCCCTACTTTCAATTTTTTAACTCACCTTATGGATTTTAATTTCGATGTACATACCTTTTTCAGAAGTGTCTGTACTTTCTGACTGAGCATCAAACTATAAAAATTTTCAAGGCCATTTAGTTGTTCAAAGAGATGCCAAAAAGTTGGCTATTCCGGTACCACCTTCTCAAATTCTATTTGGATTGATACACCCAATATTTTTGGTTGTATTTCTTTCAGTATTCTAAGAATTTGTAGCTAGGGTTTGTTAAAAGTTGTTGGCAAAAACCTAAAGTTATGACCTAAATTTTCATCGACTTTCTTACACAAAAATAATTTATCACTCCGCTTATGAGTTACTCAGAGGAGTGGTAGGACTACTAACCGGTCACTGGTATCTGAGAAAACATCTACACAACATGGGTATATACAGCGATGACCCCATTTGCAGATTATGTAATGAGGAAGAAGAAACAGCCACTCATATCATCTTCGAACGCGAAGCAACAGCTCAATAGAGGTTTAACCAACGTACGGAAAAGACTTAGGGAATCAAATTGCAGTAGCAACAGTCAATGACCTGATACTTCTAAGAAGAAGGATTGAGTCTATTGACTGAACTAAGGAACTAGGAAGGTACAATAAGCCAGAAAGCTGCAGTGCCTGGAGAATACAAACCCCGCTTCCTTGCATCCTTTCCACCATACCATACCGTACTATACCGCTTATGAGTTTTTTGTTAAAAATAATTTCTCGTTAAAATTGTTCACCTATTATTGCTGTATAAAATCTAAAAAGAATGGTTTGAATATGATGAAGGTTTTGGAGAAAAGTAGACAGAAAGGTGAAATAGTATAACATTTCAGGAGAAGCGATTTTATTATCGAGTTCGAATTTTTCCTATACGATGTAAAAACGTTTTAGTTGTGAAAATAGTTTTTGCACAGAATATATATAAAAGACGAGATTCTTCAAACAGCAAGGGATGGCGTGTTCATCAAGACCAGAACAATGGATTCGCATCTTTAAAGAACTTCTAAAGCTCGGAATATCATTTGACCAGTCCCATTCTGTGCTAAAAAGGTTGACGTTTAATTAATATAAAACCATATTTAAAAAATGCACTTTGATGAAAAAAAGGATACTAACATTTGAGCTGAATTTGACCAAGATTTAAGATTATTGGGTATAAATGTGTGGTGATTATTAGTGACAGTTAGTCTATGATTATTCGGAAATCGTGAGATTCTGATTCTTCGTGAAGATGCTTCAGGGTTGAAGATGATTTCAATAAAGATCGAAACGTTGGCACGACAAAGAAAATGTTTTTCTGAAACCTATGTCACACCAGACCGCATCTCACGATTTCCGAATAATTATTGAGTATAAAGAATCATTATAAGAATTATAGGTTTGTTAACAAATCAACAAAAAGAAAAGGAGTAGTGTTTATAAATGATATAAGCTAAAATAAGAAGTGTATTTTTGGTTTGTTATTTGACGTTGACCTTTAGTTAGAACAAAACTACTAGTTCACCCCTGTAAAGTAAATCAGTGATACTTAAGTAAAATTATATTTATAAGCTAATAAACTACGTGACTAAAAGAAGTCGCACTGCCATGATAACTAGAGCAAATGTGGTGTTCCGCATCACCAGTTTGATGATTGGAGGGGATGATGATCGGAGGTGACACCGGCAAGAATTGGATATATAATCGAAGTCAGCTGGAAAAGTTTATCATTTACCAGTCAGCCGAAGTACAGGATGAACAACAAGGTAAGAAAAAGAACAAACTGATTTATGGTTTCATAACTATTGGATAAACTTCTCAACATTCTTTTTCGACTTTGTAACATCTTCAAAGCAACAGCTTGTGCTGTTGGAGGTGCAATGAACTCCTGAAGTTTAACGCTATTTTAACATGTCAACAGATTTTTTTTTTAAATTAGAATGCTTAAAATGAATCACAAGTAGCAAAGCATCATTTAAAAAAATCGTTAAAAATATTAATTTTTATATTTGCTTTTCTTAGATATTTAGATTAAACAAATAATAAAAATATTAAAATTTAAAAATATCATTTTATATGTGTATATTGGCTTACTATATTATAATAGACTTAATTAGATATATGGTTTAGTATAAATAAATTATTTTAATACCATTAACTTTAATACAAAGACGGTTGAGGAGAGAAATTAGTGTCACGAGCGGGATTCGTACCTACGACCTTCGGGTAATATATATAAAAAATTGGAAATAACAATTAATTCATAATAAACCGATAACAAACAAAATAATTAAAGTTTTAAATTGTTAAAAAATAATGTTTATAATAAAGTGAAAAAAGTATAATTTTATTTATATACTGGTACATTAATACATTAATCATTTTTATAACTATAGGTAAATTGTTTAACAGTTTAATAAAAAAAAGTTTAAAATATTTAAAAATGGTCAACAGAAAATTATGTGTATCTTGTTTATTAACTATTAACTAGCTTGAAAGTAGACTAAGCTAAATAAACAAAAATGTTGAGAACGTGCGGTATATCTGATATAAGAATGCAAAAAGTTTCAAGAATGAAGGTTGGTCGTCGTCTGCTCAAGAGAAATGTGAAAATTTTAAAGGAAAAAAATGTTTTCACTTTGTTTCAGGTCTTTTTGGCAACTTTGCTTCTCGGGCTTGTAGCTCTAGCGACATCATTCCCTCAGCTCGGTGAACACAATCATCACGGCCATGTGGATATCGACTATCACGTACGTGCACCCATGCGAACCAGATCGCTCATTTTTTTTTTTAATTTTTAAATTTAAATTTTCAGGCTCCCGCTCATTATAAATTTGACTATTCCGTCCACGATCCTCACACCGGGGATGTCAAGTCGCAATGGGAACACAGAGACGGTGACAACGTCAAAGGCTCGTACACCATCCACGACCCTGACGGTTCTTTGAGGACTGTCGAGTACCACGCTGACAAGCACAACGGCTTCAACGCGATAGTCAAGAAGCACGGACATTCTCACCATCCTCACGTCTACGGCCATAAAGATAACGTTTGATCAAATTTTACCTGTTTTTTGACTTTGACACTCGTTACTATCAAAAATCCAAGCATTTGTTTGTATTCACATGTTATTTTTTAATAAAAAAAGTTAAATTTTATATATATTTTTTTAAATCGCAGAATGTAAAGAGATATATCAGTCGATATAAACTTGCCAAGGTCTTTAACAGTTCTATATTACTGTCACAGTCCTTGGCAATGTAAGGACTGAATCGGTCTTCAACGTATTTTGAAAACGCCTGTAAAAAACTTAAATACGGCAATCAGTAGATACATTAAGATTGTTTTGCCGTGATGACCTTAAAATAGGTCGAAAGCTTGGCAGTAACAATAATGAATTTGATTTTTTCTTCAAGACCATACCTTGATCCAGAGAGTTAGTGAGTGAAAAATGAAACGATTCTAACATTGAAAATAATATTAATGCCCACTCAGTTCCTATTTAAACAAAATAATTTATTGTGAATTTTACAAAATTAATCACCCATCTCAACACATGGTTAAAAAACGTAGGTGTTATAACATTTGATCATGTGTTTTCATCTTCATTCAATTTAGGTTCTTCCGTGTATGTGCCGCCCAAGCGGTACATGCACCATTTCAAGTGTCCCTTGCACACAAAATTCCCGTAGTGTTCTCTCTTCTTTTAAAGCGTACATATTGCCGTGAGCATGTTTCGGATTTTGACCCTTGTTTTGACAATGTGCGACAGCTTTTTCACGAGGTCACTTCAAAAGCAGACTGAAATAATCTCTTAAAATCACTCCATATGGCAACTAGTAATTGGAAATAACCTCAATGGATAACGACAAACACGAAAACAACCTGGTCTCTCGTAGGCAGAAGGACAAGAAAGCGAAACAGGACCGACCTTCTGTTTCTATTTTAATACCAGGGATTCGTTTTCCACTGCGCATACTTTTGCCTCCAAATAATTCTTACTTGTCTCAAACTAACATCGATGGTGTTGTCGACGAAGAAGAAACGAACGAATCACCGCCCTCAACACCAGTTGTTAAGTTCAACAGTTTAAACGAAGAACGTTCCCCGCTTTCGGTTTCGCCCTCCGGATCGGTGGATATTTCGAAATTCCTTACCGAATCTTCACCTCACTGTCTTGGGGTTGCTTCTGGTCAAGTGAACAAACGTAAAAGGAATAAAGGTAAGAATCGCAAAAAAGCACGTACTCTCGTCGAACAAAGCATAAACGAAAATTCGGATGGTACACCTGATATATCCAATTTAGAAAGTTCTTCTATGACGAATATACACATAAAATCAACTGGCGCGCCCAATGAATTAATTTATCAGGATATAAGCAGTGGCCATGGACATGTGTCGTCCACGACAAATCCGTCTAACTCTGCTCAGCCTCATGATTCAAAAAGCTTAACGCTGTCTCCTTCCACAGAAAACTTTATTAAAGCAATTATTTCGTCGGTTGTGAAAGTAGAAAGTCCAACGGACATGAGTAACAAGCCTGAAATTCGAGATGAATCGATAATAAAAGAAAACATTGTTGGTTTACCTATTCCATCAGTCGGCATAACAGGCTTGAAAGAAAGTGCGGATCAAACTGAGTCGTCGAAAGTGGGATCTTCCCAGGGCGCACCGTCGAATCGAAACCTGGTTGATGCTAGTGTTTTGACAATCGGTAACGCAACACAAATTGATCAGAGTGATACATGTTGTCAAACAGATAAATCAACTGATATAAACAGTACATCGGTCCAGACAGTGGAGTCGAATGATTTGACCCATAACCATACTGTCCAGGATGGTCCCAATAAAACCAACGGTCAGCGATCGAGCAATCAAGAAAGAATGCCATCTAAGAATTCGTGCGACGACAAAAAAGTGACAAAAACCCGTCGACCGAATGCCAGCGGAGGTAAATCGAATGATAAACGTCGAACGAGCGCAAATATTCGTGCTGAAAATTCTACAGACAAAAGCAATAAAACGCAAGAGGGTAACAATACGAAAAAACCGGACGAAGAGAAAGAGCACCCTCCAAAAAAGCGTGAAAACAGCAACAAAGGATACGTTGTCAAGAATAGGCAAAATCGCACCGATTTAAAGCATAAAAAACATAGCCAACCTGCAAGAGCCAGCAGCGACGAAAAAATAGGAGCAAAAGCCGAGAAAACAGAACGATCGGGTCGTAGTGGCAAGCAAGCGGATCATTCTTCAGCCAAATTGATGGTACCGTCAAAGAGGAAGTCGAACGAAAGCATCGGTATTCGTATAATTCACGTTAATAAAAATTACGAAGAGTCTCCTTACATTGACGACTCAGAGTCAATGCGCGCCGTTTCTCTTCACGATGTCGGCCGAACTTCTGAAGAAAAACTTCACGTCAAAGATCTCTTCACGGAAACGATACAGCAGGGTGCGACGGGCATCGTCATTCAACACGCCGCCCCTCAAAACACCGCGAATAGTCAACCGGAACCGATACAACATAAATCACCTTACGTCAAACCCCAAGAGGCAGAATGTTCCACAAAAGAAGAGTTACACGGAGAAAAACCAAAGAAACCTGAAGACCAACTTCCTCGTACCACAAATGTGAAAAAATCTAATCGACGTACAAATAAGCCTGATCCCCCTCAACGAGAGTTCAACTTGATGGAAGAAATGAAACGAATTCTTTCGGCGATGTGGGCGTTGTTATATTATTTCTGGAGTACATACATTTAGCCTGGCCCATTTTCTGATAGTATCGGCAAATACGACAGCAAATTCTTCCATTTTATAAATTCCACACTTCAACAACTGTCAGAAAATCTTGTTTTTTAAAATTCAGTATCCTAATCGACTCAATACACAGATTCTTACCATATTTCTTCTTGATTTGTCTTGAATTTCTTCAATTCCTCAAAGTGATCTCTATAATTACTTTTCTGCAAGGCATTTAGATTCACTTAGTATTATTCTCGCTGATTAATTATAAATGTCGTCGAACAACATTTTAATAAGTTTCACCTTCTTTTTCTACATATAAATACCAAGTTTTAGTTTTCGTGTAAAAAATAAGATCATGTGGTTAGGTTGAGAGAAGCAACAGATGCAACGTGGTACTCATTTTTCCCCAAATAGTTTTATTCTTTTCACCAGCTGGAAGTTATAAATAAGAATAAGAATTTCTTAATTTCTTCAAAATTTATTAGTACACATATCTGATAGATTTTGCAGTACATCTGTAATTTTTCTTGTTAACACGATACATTATAACACCTGATTATTTTCATTTTAAAAAGTTAATGTACAAGAAAAAAGTTTTAAAATTTTATTAAAATGTTTAAGAAATTGGTGTAATTTTACTACTTTTAGCGATCGAATCCGATAGTGCTCTGTGGTAGATAAAGTTTTTTTGAATTGTAGTAAACCTAAGGTCACTTTTGCAAGAAATGTGTGATGTTTCGTAATATTCTTTTATCTGTAGATTGGTCGTTTCCGATCATTTCTATACCTGTGCCCATCTTCACTGTTTCAGATCAAGCTACAGGTTCATCACCCAAACGACCTCAAGAAGTCTTACAATTTTAGTTGGTCTATGGTTTAACATTTTATTATGTTCTTAATAACTAAATAAACGACCTATATTTTATGTAAAGATATTTTTTCTTGTTTAGACGTTTCTAGAAATATTTCTTTCTTTGTGTTGCTTCTTTTAAAATCGGTGTGAAATTTCATATAAAGTTAAAATATGTTTCGAATCGAAACTTGTTGCCAATTTAAAAAAAAAGTCCAAATGATTTAAAAGTAAATTACAGACATCACTGTACAGTCATCCGACGACAATGTAGGGTTTTAGGGAGATAATTTCGGGGGATTCGCGACGATGCCCTGCGGTTGTTCGAGCGGCCCCGACAAGCCGCGGACATTACAACCACCGAAACACTTTGTCCAGCCGGGGCAACGGGGATTTTACCCGGATCAGCCTCCGCTTGAAAAGCCGCCACATCTCGGGAGGAAAACAGGGGTCGTGCCTCAGAAGGAATATCTCGGGCCCACTGTCATCCCTCTTCATCCAAGGACAGAAGACTCGGACAAGCCTTCAGACCCATCGGACAGAGCCAAGGGGCCCGCTTCTGCCAGGTTTCCAAACGGCCCTGTCAATTTCCCTAGGTCACCTGAACAACGACGACAGCAACAGCAACAGCAAAAACGGAAGAAAGTTCTTGAAAGTGATCTCGATGTGCGCCTACCAGACGACAGTTCCAAATAAACATCAAATATAAGGAAAATTATTATGATTAGTAACAAATGAATAGAAACGGTAAAGAGCAACACAAAATTTAAATCCACATTGCCGTTTAAAGGTATCACGTCTTTTATAGTATGAACAAAATGTTGAATCTATAAAAAAATTGCTATTTACTATAGTGAGGTTTGTGAGGCAATGCACCAGTAGCATTTTATTCCCGACCATAGTACAAATACCCTGCCTAGCTCCACTATTCATTGCAGGAATGCACATTTTTATTATACAACTGAGGAGTGCTCGGTGAAAAAATGCATATGTAAGATTTTTTCCCAACCAAAGTCCATGCACAATATCCTGCTCTAGTATTGATTGCAGGAATTGCACATTTTTAACTATTATATAACTGGTGTGAGATCTGAAAGAAAATGCCTCTATAGAATTTTTTTCTACAACCATAGTACATACAACCAACCCTGCTCCAGTATTGATTGCAGGTATTACACATTAAATAACTGGTGTGAGGTCTGCAAGAAAATGCCTCGGTAGAATTTTTTTTTCCTCAACTGTAGTACATACACTGAACCATGCCCCAGTAATGATGCAGGTATTACACTTTATGAAACTGTGGTGAGATCTCAGGGAAATGCACCTGTAGATTTTTTTTTCCTCCAACCATAGTACATACACCCAACCCTGCCCCAGTATTGGATTACACTGAACCATGCCCCAGTAATGATGCAGGTATTACACTTTATGAAACTGTGGTGAGATCTCAGGGAAATGCACCTGTAGATTTTTTTTTCCTCCAACCATAGTACATACACCCAACCCTGCCCCAGTATTGGATTGCAGGTATTGCACATTTCTAAGTATTATACAACTGTG